GATCGTTTTGCTATTATTATACTCCGTTCGCCATCGGGAGATTTTGTGTGTTGAAAATAACACGAGTAACACGATGAAAATTCATGAAATTCTACAACTTTAAGGCTAAAAAATGCTTGTTTTATTATTTATCTACTCTATGTATATTACAGGTAATTGTTAATATTATTACCTACTTCAGAAGTATCTATCTATATTTTATTTATTAGGTGGATTTACTGCTTCAAAAAGGTTTAATTACCATCTCCTGTGTAGCGAACGGAGTATAAATGTAATTTTTTAATAACAAATGTATCGACATTAAAGCGACCCGGAATGTCGGATGTGAAAGCAAAGTCGGAGATAAATCTGATTTTCGTTTAATAAGATTTAGACGTTTCATTTAACTCCGTAATCACCGGATGGAGTTTTAGCGTAATATAGTCGGTCTTAATGAGAAATATCAATCCGGACTCATTCAATTACGCCGCCTCTTGCGGAATCCTTCGCGAAAAATCGTCGGAGAAAGGCCCCCTTTCTCCAAAGCCCGTTGTTGTTGATGTTTTTAATGAAACGTTTTGAATCCGAAAAAAATATAATTATCTCGGAAAACATTCGCGTCGCGACCCGTTCGAATTCTTCCCGCCGACACGTTTCTAATATCCCATTGGCGAAAGGCAATTCCGATGAAAAAAAAAATCTTATTATAACTTCTTCCGGCCTGAAATTCGACTCGAATCGACGCGCAGAAACGTACTCGTGTATATTTCCTCTGTATAAGTAGCTAATCCAAATCCTCGTTAAAAATTTTAAAAGCGATCAAATTCGGTAGTTCAAATTTGTAAATCAAATTTGATACTCTCTCATTACCACATTGAAAATCTCGCGATGCTTCGCAAGCTCTAATCCACCGTTTTCCACCTATCAAGTTTCATAAAATCCCGCTGTTTAATTTGGGTTAAATTCCAGATAAACCTCTTTACGTTTAGGGCTGATTCGCGCCCTTTATCGGGCCCGGCGCTGCGTCAAACATCGCAATTTCTGCGCCCAGTCAACCGCGGTTTCCTGTCTCGCGCCTACGGCCTTCCGCTTCCCGTTAAACAGGTGATTCGGCCGCTTTATCGTGCCGTCGGCGGCCGATAACCCGCAGATAACCGCCCCCGGATGGCGTCGCGGCGCGGCGCCTTGTTCGAGCCCTTCCTGCCGCGCGTCGCGAGACGTCGACGCGAAATGGGAGGAAAAACCGGGATTTTTTTTGTACTGTCGAGTCGCGTAAAAGTTGGGAGAAAAGTCGACAAGATGGAAGAGGCAATTAAACTAGGAGGAACGTCGATTGAACGAGTTCGAACGAAGTTGGAGTTTGATGGAATATCAATTAAATTAAAAAAAACTTCTTCATTAGTCGTGGTGTTCATTAGTAATATCTTACAGTACTGTGCGGATTGGTATAAGATATTATTGCGAAGTTCCGCGTGAGGGTGTTTGTAGATACGTTTTTGGGTATATACTTGGAAGTCGAAGTTGCCTATCGTTGTCCCAAAAGCAATCGAAAATCCGAAACTCCATTAGCAACTTCACGGGGCGGCAACTTCGAGGGCGCTACTTTAATGCTGATTTCGTAGTTTACAACACATAACTTTGGGTGTTTTCGAAATTACATGGGTCTGTTCGCCTTTGCCTTGGGAGTTGATTCGGTTAAAAATTATCCGCTCGCCCGAATCCGTATGTTATATATAGCATTAACGAGACGAACTCCGTTTCGCGCTATGTTAATTAACATAGCGTTTTTTCGCGCTAAAAATAACGATATAAAAACGTTGCGATTAAGGGTTGGTTTATTATTAAATTGGGATGTCCCGTTGTTAGTTGGATGCATCCGGAAACGTCACGCTCCTAAACAATTAGGGGATTTAAATAGAACGAAACCGGTATCGATCAATCATCCGAATTAATCTATTAATATCCCAGCGCTCGAATTAAATTCTCTCGCGTTTTATTATTTAGCGTTATGCACTTCCCGCTAACTCGGCTGTTTTTTACCATTCCGCAATTTATTCATATCCGTGGGTCGTCCAGTTTTTCCTGCATCCAGCAGGACCGGGCCTCATCCCGAATTCCACCTTCGTCCAATCTGAAACCAGGTCGTAATTTAATCGGGAAAAGATATTCGATCAATTCCCTCTGTTCCAGCCGAATTAATAACCAAAACAGGGAGTTGCGGGGTAATAGATTCGAGCAAAAAATAATCGAATTCGGCCCTGCATGTAGCCGGAAATGATTGGATTTGTCGATCGCGATAAAAGTGTTGTTGCTCTAATAGATTTCCGAAATAATCATAATGGCGGGTCACGATGGGCCGGATTTTCGCGATAAAATCAATGGTATATTTATCCGGTTAAAAAAAAGAAGATTGCAGCGTTCAACGGGAATTGTTAATGAGCTAATTAAATGTTTCTCCGTGTGCGGGATTTAATATGAAATGTGTGTACTTTGAGCGAATTGCAGGAATCAACCGTAATAGCTCTATTGTCGAGAGGCACTCGAAACGTCTGCGTAACGTTGATAATATAATTGCGCAAATATACCGCACGCTCTAATTATCCGCTCTATTAGGGCTTCGAGGAGGGAATTATGTTTAGTTTCCTGTCCTTTGGCGTTTTATTACTTTTCGTCGAATTTCTGTTTTATTCTCGCTGTCCCCCGGGACGACATGTTCGTCAAAACGATCGCAGAATAAGCGGCTTATTCCTGGGCGAAAAGGTCGCGTTTATGTAAAATTAATCCCGCCATTCAGATGCGCTATCATAAAGGTATTCGGAACAAACGGTCGAATTTTCGCCAAAAAGGATTCTATTAGGTTCCGCCGGGCGAATTAATTTGCGCATATGGAATATTTTATTATGAAACATCCCGAATTCGCGCGCGCAATAATTCCCGCATAAAGTATATAGAGAGCGTATTGTGCGGAAAAGAGTTTTCCCACGAGATACAAGCCGAAAGCTGCAATTCATGAAGTTACCTTTACAAATCGTAATATTTCAAATTCAATCTCCCTAATACGAAAACTCGGAATACAGAATGATTGCTTAACTCCTATTCCTTCCTTTTGCACTGCGTCGAAGCCGCACCGTGGCCCTCTTTACATTTCTACCAGGACGTTATTTTTATATCCACTGTACAACATACACACCCCGTACAAACACAATAATCCAAACATTAAATGCAAGTACCTACGAAAAATTTCTAAATTAACACTAACAAAATACGGAAATATCGCGAAAATGTCCACGCCGTTAGCCGCCCTTACCCCCGGCGAAAACCCCAAGCATTAATATCTGTTATAATCCTTTTGAAGGAAATTCAAAGGGCCTCTAGGTGAGGGAACGGTTCCGGGAAGATGGATGGAAATCACGACGTCATCTTCTGGAGTAATTAACGTTTCCCAGTTTCGCATCTGCAATACCTACACGCGCATACATCACAGCAGGAACGTCTCAAATTTCCCGTTTACTCAGCGCTAATAAATTATTCAGGAAGTCATTCGTCCCTCGCCAGGCCTTTTAGATGGAATCGCTACGCTAATTCCTACACATGTAGCTATTTTTTTCATTCGTAGCTAGATAAATTATGAGGTAGTTATTAGGATAATGAGATAGTTATGAAGATAATGAGATAGTTATGAGGATAATGAGATAGTTATGAAGATACTGATATAGTTATGAGGATAATGAGATAGTTATGAAGTTAGTAAGATAGTTGTGAGAATAACAAGGTAGTTATGAGAATAATGAGACAGTTGTGAGGATTTTGAGATAGTTGCGAGGTTAGTGAGATAATTATGAGGATAATGAGATAGCTACGATGATAATGAGACAGTTATTAAGTGTAAATGTGGAGGCAATGCGTTGTACGTGTGCAGTAAACTCTCCTGGTTGAATTAAATCGTTGTGGAAACGGGGGCAGGAATTTCTAAAGGAGCAAAGAGGAAAAAAACTGGGAGCATTAATTAACATCGCGCGCACTTAGGCGGATTGCCGGGGGCCCCGTTTAATTCGCAACGTTTAATAAAGCGCATATACGTATGTGGAAAAATTGAAATTATAATGCTAAACAAAAACCCGTGCGCGCAGAGCGCCACTCGCAAGAATTGAATTAAAAAAAAGGAGCGAACAGATTAAAAAATTTAATATAAATTGCGTCCGGGAAATTTTTGCCCGGGCGTTTTGTTCGTTTGCGAAAGGGCGTTTTCCGTCGAGGTTTATTTTTAGTTTACGGCGCAAACTTAAATTGTTTATTATAAAGTGCATGTTTGCGAAGTATGTATTTAACATTGTATGTGAATGGTAACGACAGCGCTCGTATGTCGCCGGAGTAATACGCCGAATAAATAGGAAAAAATGAATAAATTCCTGCAAGTTATGAATCGTAAAATAGGGAGTACGTACTGGAAAAATATCGCATAATGTACTCGTGCCCTCCTGCTTCTCAGCATTGTGCGGCAGTGAGACGCGATGCTTTCATGTCGCCGGCGCAAGTAAATACGATAAAGGTACATAAAAACCCGACAGAATGGAGCGATATTGAAAAAATGTCGATAAAAGTGGATTCCAGATATTTACGAGATGGAAGTATAGGCGAAGAGTTTATAGCTTTTTCCCTGCGAACGTACGAATCCAATGAAAAATTTAAATTTCTTTTCAGTGATTTTCTCTTCCGCCCCAACGCCGGCCCGGCTCCTTTTAAAGTTCAATTTTTTATTATATTTACGCTAACGCTAAGAAGCTTTTAGTACTCACTACTATACCGACTAATTCGATTTCCTTTTTGCCAATCGAAAAATTTCGGCAACTTTAACCAAATATTTTTTAAATGAAATGTGCACCAGATCAAATTCTTCTTTTTACCCTCTTATAATTTTTAACAATGAAGCAAGTTCAATCCCACAATACCACTCTTACCTCATCCATCTTGCTCCTCTTCGCTACCGATCGCTTCAAAACAAGTCTACCATTTTTTTCTAGGTTATGGTTCGGTGTCCCCGCACACGGCCTGGGGCAAATTGGTGACGATCCTCTACGCGCTGGTGGGCATCCCCCTGATGCTGATGTACCTGTCGGCGACCGGCGACGTTCTAGCGCGCTGCTTTCGCAAGTTGTACGGCAAAATGTGCGGCGTCTCGCCGAAGACCTTCCAGTGCCCGTGCACCAACAAAGTCAGAGTCCCGGTGACGCTGTGCCTGGTGATCGTGCTGGCGTACATCTGCTCCGGAGCGGTGCTGTTCCATCGATTGGAGAATTGGTCGTTGTTGGAAGGTAACCGCTCGGGAACTCCGGCGATTTCGGTGGGTTAATGCGGTTGTTTTCGATGCAGGTAGCTACTTCTGCTTCACCAGCTTGGGCACCATCGGTTTCGGGAATTTGGTGCCCGGCCAGCGGACCGAGGAGATCTCGCTGTGCGCTTGTTCGGCGTATATTCTGACCGGTATGGCTTTGGTAGCCATGTGCTTCAGTTTAGTACAAGACGAAGTGCTCAGCTTGTTCAGGTACTAGTTAAATACTGCATCAAATCGATTATACTCCTGCGAATTTTGCAGATACCTCGGCACCACCTGCTCCAAAAGCGACGCGAAACTAAAAGATGAGGAGGGTTCCTGACAACGACCCACCACGGAAGGCGCCGCTCCCACCAAAAACACCCCCATTCGCAAACCCCCCGCGCCCCTACACCACAACAGCTTGCCCAGGAAGAGCAACTTCCAGAGAAACACGCCCGGCAGAAGGTCCACGGGAATGGGTACGAACCTTCCTCCGCCAAATCTGTATCATCTAATCCGCGTTGTTTCGCAGGAGCGGAGCCCTTGGTGGAGTACTTCGTGCCGCGTAGCGTCAGCGAGTTCGACCTGTCGGTGGCGTCCGGCGACACCCCCATAGGCGGCACCTTCCTGCCGCTGACGGTGCGCATACCGCGGAAGATGCTGCCCAAGCAGAAGGAGAAGGTGGTGACGTTCGAGGACGAGATGGCCGCCCGCCTGGCCAAGAACAACTCCGACCTGCAGGACGTGTTCATGTGACATAAGGGATAACAGTTAGAGGCGGGTGAGTGGGGTATTTAGAGCTAATAATTTGTGCTGAGGGAGAGAGGGTTGCTTCCAGGGGGCGGTGGAAAGGCGACTCCCGACCTCGGCGGCGAGTACATCACGAAGCTGAGCGATCTGGCGGCCAAGACGAGCGAGCTGAGCGAGCTGAGCGCCGCCATCAGCGAGTTCAATCACGCCAAGAAGGACATGAAGCAGTTCAAGAACTTCAAGATATGCGAGGACCTTAAAAAGTGCGAGGACGGTTGTTCGTGCAACGCGGAGGCGGACTGTGACATTTGCAAAGTGCTGGATTTCACCATGAAGAAAGATAAATTATAGTCTTTCTAAATTCGTTTTGTTTTGTTTTTTTTTACGCGGCTGTTTTTGTTGGAATTGAATTGCTAACTCGGTGTGTTGTGGTTAGTAATCGTTCGCGTTGAATTGAGTTTGTTACGGTTAAACTTTCTGTCGAGGAGTTTCTGGAATTGAAATCTGCTCATTTTTATACGTTATTGATTATTGGAAATGAATCGGGAAAGTTTGGCTGTAAAAAAATAACAACCACATAGAGTTTCTATAGAGAAACGTATTGAAGTTATAGAGGAAATTATATACAAACGTAAATCGATGAAAATGAGAAAACTTATCTCTTACCTATTTGTAATATATCAATTTGGATTAAGATTCTTGTAAGTATTAAGTGTATATAATAGTATGTACAAATTATGGCATCAACTGATTTGTAATTAAACCACAGTTATCAGATGTTACTGGAATATTTCATTTATTTTATCAATTCATGAATATATGTACGAAAATTCTGAAAAAATATTTAATTCTTCTCGATTAATATTAGCAAATTTATTCAGTTTTATATTTCAAAACAAAATACAACTAACCTTATTATTCCACGAAGTATCAGCAATTTCTTGTCGAATGGATGGAAAATATGGCAACTGGAAAACTAGTGATGAGTGTTGCCTAACTTTGAGGCAAAGTCGAGTACCTATTTTTTCAAAAAGTTATTAAAGCAATTCTATAAACGATTGATTAGGGTAAAAAAGTAGCCTACTTCTATAATAGAATATAATACATATTATAATTTTAACAAAAAATGGTCTCACAAACTCGATTTTCGACTAATTTTCCTACAATTTCTACCAGTACAAGTTCGAAACTTCCTCATAATCCCCTTATAACTCATCAACGAAGTTGAATTTAAATCGTTCACGACGTTATTCAATTCGTACGGATCGGTAATCAAATCGTACGCTTCGTAAGTGTGCTAGAACCCAAAATTATCAAAATTACCGCCCAAATTATTCGGACTTTACCCACTTTCTCGTCGTAGAATTCGCAAAATTTGAATTTTCCAACGTCGCTCAACTCCAAAACGCACGCGTAAGTGTTATTTCTGGAGTCCTGGCATTTGCACCACTGTTGCACGCTGCATTCCTAAAACACATGAAATTTAATTGATTAAAACTCATTTTGAATATACTAGGGTAATTATACGCTTAGATGTTTGTCGTATTTCCACGGGCAATCATCGTCTATAGACTTCGCGTTCGCTTCTCCTCGATATTCGATGAAAATTCGCTCGTTATAAAGCTTTTTTCTGCTGGAAAACAACCTTTCCTTGAAGCTCCTGCCGTCGATGTTAGCAGGAATCGGCACTCCCGCTATATCTAGTACAGTAGGAGCTATATCAGCGGCGCTAACAGGAAATTCCTCCAGCGATTTTTTGCTTATATTTGGCCCGCTGATTATCAAAGGAATTCTTAAATCGGTCTCGTACGGTTGCCGTTTATCCCAAGGTTGACCGAATTGCCCTGCAACGCGGGAATTTATCCACGAAATTATCTACCAATTATCCCGCAATTACCTATGTGAAACCCGTTATCAGACATGTAAATAACGTAGGTGTCTTCGAAGAGACTTAGAGACTTTAGTTTCTCTACTACTTTATCCACTAATTCGTCCACAGCTAGCAGAGACTCCAAGCGAAGTTGCTGGACGTTATCCAGAATCCTGGCATCGGTGGGTAGGAATTCAGGCGGCATGTGCACCAGCCAATGTTTCTATAATTATAATTCAAGCATTAATAATAACGCAGAAGGTTTATTAAAGCTCTTACGTTGGAGGAAGAGTGATTGAAAGACGGGGTTCTCGGTGCTGTGGCGTTTTTAAATACGTTTTTGTGCCTTTCGGCCGGAGTGAAAGGAGCGTGCGGGGCCGGGGTGGCTATTGTCATGAAAAACGGTCTGTTTCCAGGTTTGTTATCCAGAAAATTCAAAGAATATCGAGCCAAAACGTCCGTTAAATAGTCGCCAGAAAAGTGCCTCGATGTACCATTAATAGAGAGCGTATAGTTGTAGTATTTCGAGTTTCCTTTCAGTCCTATCCACCAATCGTAACCTTCAGGAACGTGGTGTAGTCCTCCTGCTGCCTCTGAACCATACTGGATTAAATAAAAATTATAGTAATTTATTAATAGTACTGATAATAGGAGATATCTATCTACCTGGTTCATGTATTTCCCGGCGTAGAAATTCACGTAGTTCTTGTTTTTCTTCAAAAGAGAAGCTATGGAAAAGGGTTCGAGATTTTCCTGCCAGGCGGCGCTGGAGCAGTTGCCTTCCAGGGAATTGTTGGAGACTCCGGTGTTGTGAATGTATTGCCCGGTGAGGATGGTGCTTCGGCTGGGGCAGCACAAAGGCGTGTTAACGTACTAAAAAATGAAACAAATTAGCATTTGATTCGAATCTAGGGTTTTCGGCATTTCTCTAAAAAAATCCCCTAAAAAGTTTAAGTTGGCACAAGTGACACTTGTCACCTGTCTAATCATTGAACAATTTATTCGTAAAATATTTGTAAGTAGGCGTACTGGTTAATACAGGAATCTGTAATTATACCTGTTATTTTATAAAAATGGCGAATAACAAATAATTTTTTGTTAATTTTTTATGCAATACTTACAGCGTTTTGAAACGTTTTTCCATTGTTGGCTACTAATTGCACGGTTTTTGTCATCGGTACCTGCCAATCTAATATTTTAGAGTCTTCTTAATAATTTAAAATTTAAATACTCACCATACCGTTTAATAACAAATCCTGATCATCGGTGAGAATCAAAACGAAATTCGGCTCCCCTTTCGCGAATTTTAAAGCACATATTATTAAATAATAAATTAGCATCTTTATTAGTCGAGTATATTGTAAGCTCGAGAGTTCACAATGCACTGAGTGCTCGCTTTATTTGAACTATATAATTGTACCAATGACCTTTATTGTTGAGAATGACGTTTCTCAGGCTAGCCAATCCCATTACTCGTTTTTATCACTCAGCCAATAAGATCTCTCGTTGATTTGTGAGATCATTGTCAAAAAAATACAGTTTCCTGTAAGGATGATAATCCGAATATGGGCGGAATAAATCGAAGTGCTATTAAATACGGTTTTATTTCAAATATATTTAACAATTTAAATATTTTATTCGAAAATTTGCCAAAAAGCTAGTCGTATATGTTAAAAAACGGCAGTGCAAACGTACTGAACATCATATGCTATTTTAGACCGATCGGTACTACAACGAATTTTCCATCTGCTCACAGCAGGAAGATAAATCTACTATAATCACTATAATTAACAAACGTAATGCTTAGTTAGAAATTAAGTCTCACTTTACAAATCAAAATCGACTAGACATCTATTTTGTGTATAGGCTACAAGTTACACTGAAAAAAAACTTAGAACAAACGAAGTAAAAGTGAATTGACATTGGAAAAAAATACTTTTACGCCGAAATTTGTTCTAAATCGTTTCCAATTCACAATATCACTAAAGTGTTCTCTTTATAGTCCTTACATTACAACAATCTAACAACAAAGCGACGATATTAAAGCGAACGAATCACAAAATACTAATTTTTTTGGTTCCCTCTTGCGTTATTTTTGAATACTTCGATATCACAGTAACGTCTTATTAATTAGTAAAATATCTTAAATATTAAATTCGAAAGCTACATCTAATATATCATCAACATTGACTTTTCGTGTAAGACAAACGAAGCCTCAAAAGTCGGTATCAAAATAATATTATTATCATTTGTCGTCTTTAAAATATACTTTGATTTTTTTTAGAATTCGCGATTGATCGGTAAAAAGCCGAAAGCAAGTCAACTGATCGGTAAGAAAGTCCGTTTAAAAAATAATGGAATATACAAATAGATTCGACAATACGCATTCAGTCTTGTAATATTTATCTCTTAAATATTCATTACATACAAATCCATTTGCAAGGATATTTGCTATTTAGTGCCTCGATCGATGATAAATTTACCGTACATCTACACCTAACCAAAGTAACAGCAATATTCGCACGCCTACCATCACACCAAACTACAAAAAAAAATAAAAACCCCAAATTGAGATCCACGCATGTACACCCAGGTCGTTCTACACCGATTCTCACACGGTCAATCTATGTCAGTTGCTCCTCGTTTGCACCAAAACGTGCTCGATGTTGATGCACTCCAGCACAGCCGCCCCCAGCGAGCTCCTCCTGGTGCCCATCGGCGACACTATCACCCATTTGTTGGTGCCCGGATCGTACTGCTCCACGGCGTTCAAGCTCGACGATCCGTCGTTGCCTCCCAGGGCGTAGATGAACCCTCCGATGGCCACCACCTCGTGCGTCGCCCTGCAACCCACCACCAAATCATCCAACAATCATCCAAAAATCTTCTAATCACCCACCGTTTGCTGTTCATGGCGGTGATGGGCTCCCAGGCGTTTCGGCGCGTGTTGAACCGCTCCCCGCTCGACATGGTGGTGGTCTTGTCGTGGCCTCCTACGCAGTACAGGTTCCCTTCCAAGGCGGCGACGCCGCAGCTGCTCCGTCGCGACGACATCGACGGCACCGATTGCCAGGTGCCTTCTCTCGGATCGAACCTAGCATACAAATCGAAATTATCTCCTACGATAATCCGGAAATGCATCGACAATACCTCTCGACGGAAGCTTGGTAGTCTGTAGAATCGAACCCTCCTAGAGCGTATATGCAATTTTCTGGAAACACAAGAAATTTAGAACGTTGTAAAGAGCTGGTGGATGGTTAGAAATCGAACCTACTACGGCGATTCGACAGTATCGCCTTCTGGTGTTCATCGCTGGGCAGCTGCACCAGACTCCTGTTAGAGGATCGAACCGTTCCATGGAACTCAAGCAGGAGGCTCCGTCGTAACCCCCGCACACGTAAATTAATCCATCAAACGAACATACACCTGCACCACACATATTTTATAAATCCTCTAAAAGCTCCTCCTCTAAACATTAATACTAACCCAAACAGGACCTCTTGGTGCCCATCGGTGTAATGGAAGACCACGTGTTGTTCAGAGGATTGTAGCATTCCGCCGTAGCTAAATCCGACGCTCCGTCGTAGCTAAAAAACCAGGAGTTATTGCAGGTTTCGGCGAGTACAACGTGGAATTAATTACCCTCCTACTACGTAGAGTAATCTGCGCAAACCGGCCACTCCGGATCTGGATCGGCGCCAATGCATCGGGGCTATGGCCGACCAAGTATCGGCTTGGGGGTTGTACACTTCGCATTCCGAGTGGGTCGCGAATAAAGAGCTACCGCCTGCGAAAAAATCGCTATTTATTGGAACGAATTAAAAAGTGCATCTGTTACCTATAGCGAATAGATAAGGCTGGGCGCCCTTAGGCCTCCTTTCTAACGTCCTGGAACTGGATAGAACGCACCTCCTTTCGGGCACCAAATGATACCTCATCGCCTCCAACAGCAGTTCCTGGCAATCGCTGTTTTCCCTTATGAGTTTTTCGTTATCCACTCTAGTCATTAGGAACTCCCTGTTAACTAAAGGCAGCCGAACGTGCTGCATTAACTGGAATCAAACGCTCGGAATTTAATCATTTTATTTAACAACGAAAGAGAGATGTATATACCTTCGATATATGTTTGCTCCTTTCGGCTAAATTGTGCTTCACCCAGTTCAAAACGGCGCTGAAGACGTCCTCCTCCGACGATATATTCAACTGGCTGTTCGATATCAGATCGTTCACCTCCTTGAAGGGCAGCAACAGGAACTCCTCGGTGCCCACCACCTGCTGGAAGTTCTGCAGCGCGTACACGTGCGACTTCGAGTGCAGCTCCTTGCAGGAATGCGTTTCTGAAGCGCACCAAATCTCATCGAAACCGGTCTAAACTCGCCTTACACAACCACCCACCTGCGAAGCTCCGGATGCCGAGGCAATTGGTCGGGTGCAGCTGGCGCAGCAGGAACCTGCAGCACGCCTCGCGCACCTCCTGCATCTGCAGCAGCCCGCTGGCCGGCAGCAGGACCTGCACGTTGTCCTGCGTGACCGTTATTTGACCGCTGTAGGCGTAGTCTATCAGGAGATCGATGGCCGTCGGGTCCAGCTCGTGGATTTCGATTTCGGTGAGATCGTGCTCTCTCATTTCGCCTGTTTCAAATGAATTTATGACGTCGTTATAGTGACGTCGTGCTATTTCTAATTCGAATGTAACATAAAAAACGATCTACTTGTTTGTAATTGGTGGTTGTTTAGGTTACATTTTTTTATGAGAAATGTGTAGATACTAATGGATTACTTACCATTAAACATGGCATAAAAATAAGGACTAACTGACGCTAGAACGACCTTATGGGCTCTAAATGTTTCTAATCCTATTTTTAACGTTATATCACAAAGCTATAACAGAAAAAAAGGCATTCGTTAAATACATATTACAGTAATTTAAAATGCAAAAAGAAGCAGTATAAGCGCGCTAATTTAGTGAGTACACTCTGTATCATCAAACAAATCGTAATACTATGATACTTCACGTTGAATGGCTATTACAATTGCCAGACTTCGATTGCTGCTATGAATAAATATCGGCGATATTTTTCGAATAAAAAAAAAGTGGATAACGATTGACCCATTTTCCCGCGTTAAAACGCCACGCAGCTTCCAGACCTTGGCGAAATCCTTCGGCGTCCTAAGTGCAGGCACTCGATATACAGGGTGTCCCAATGAAAAGTAGCCCCTTTAGTCAGCTAATAATTTTTAAACGCCTAGTCATAAAAACATGCGGTTTTCGCGGATTTATTTTATTTTGTCAACTTTTTGTTATAGTGACACAAAAATTTTGTAAAAAATGTTTCATAAAAATCCCCTCTTTTAAATTCACATTAACCAAATTTTATGAATCAGGACATCTTTTTTTGTAGAATAACATGTACAAATCATACAATTTTGAAAAATAGAAGAGTATATGTGTTCCATTTAAATTAATTCGGTTACTGTGAATTTAAAAGAGGAGGTTTTGATAAAACATCCTGTATTGTTAATGCATAATTTCTGTATCACTGTAACAAAACTTCTAATAAAATAAAACATATTTGAGAAAACCGCACGTTTTTATGATTAGACGTTTAAAAATTATAAGCTCATTAAAGGGGCTACTTTTGGACACCCTGTATAACGAACGAAATGTTTATTTTAACGCACAAGGCGGTCGCAATCGATTTATTACGCGCCGTAAAAATTTACGTCGACGGCGAAATTACCGCGCTTCTTACGGACCTAAAAATAGCGCTCGCCGCACATCTTCCGACGAAATTACCCTAATCGGATTAATTAATAAAATCATTCTTTTCGCGAACGTATGTGACATCATTACGCGCTCCATCAATTCCCCGGTATTGTGTCATTTGACCGAGTCATCGACGCGGAAAGGTCAATTGCCCGTTCGCTGCATTCTAACAATACTCTCACTAAATCAACGCGAGTGGTAGCAAAAGTGTTCTGGTGTACCTGTCCGTGCTCGCGCATCTTCTGGATGTTCATCAGAGTCTGGGCGCTGTGACCGGCCGTCTTGAGGCAGTAGCCCCTTTGGTTGAACATGGGCGAATCGCACAGCTCGTTCGTGGGGGTCTGAGTGGATGCTTCGAACACGACGCTGGCGGTCAGCTGGGAGGTCGTTTCCGGCGCTTCGGAGTCCATCTTCCAGCACCTTTTGCTTCAAAAAATGAATCAATTGCTTCGAGGTGTACGCGCGAAAAGAGGAGAAGGGAGAGAGGACCCTGCTGGTGCTTTAAAGCGAAAGGTTTTGCGGTTTTAAAACCCTTTTCTCTTGTCTTTTCCTTCTACCTTTTACTTCGATGTTAATGCTTCGTTTTTATGAATGTGGACTAAATGAGTGTTTGTTTATGGAGGCGCAAACGGAGGCGAAGGGTCAAGGAAAATCGATGGGGGCGGGCGCGGAAAGTAATGGAAGTTTTGTAGGTCAGTCGAAAACGGGCGAGAGTAAGGGAGGAAACTAATGAGTCGAGACTAGAAGAGTAATAATTAGAAATTCAAAGATTAGAAGAGTAAAGACTAAAAGTGTAAAGACTAGAAGACTAATGACTAGAAGAATAAATACTAGAAGAGTAATGACTAGAAGAATAAAGACTAGAAGAGTAGAGACTGGAAGAGTAAAGACAGAAGAGTGAAGATTAATAGAGTAAAGACTGGAAGAGTAAATGCAGAAGAGTAAAGATTAATAAAGCAAAAACTGTAAGAGTAAAAACTGAAGGAAGTGTAAAGGCGATATTTTATAATAAAAGTTTGAATCAACGTTTTCTGTTCATACAACCTTGTACTTTCAATTTCACAAGTATCCAGTATTCAACGTAAAAAAGTATCTAAACTCCACCCTCCGTGTAATTTTATAGGGCTTCCTTTAAGGTCAATGCTTGTCCCCGAGGAGTCGTTCTGCATAAAAACCCTTCAAGGGCGGTAAACTTGCAACATTTTGCTGCACTGCAATATCTACATAATTTAATTATGCCATACTCTGAAGGTTCGAGTTCTTTTGCCTACAAGAGAGTACTCGTTGACCCCGGCGTTGCGCCCTTTCGTCGGGTCAATAACTCCGGAAGGGTTTAGTGGGTTCTCGAGCTCCGAAGGACGAAGGTCTCGAGGTGGCAAGGACGAAAAAAATCGGGATATCCGGGAAATGGAGGAATGCGGATAACGCGTAGGCATCGAACTCAACAAGTCGACTGTTACAAGGGGTTAATTTAGATAGGGATCTAGTCCTAGGAACGGTTCAAGGACCTGTTTATTATGATTTTATTCTGAAAGGAAATTCGCTTGATAGATCAATTGTAAAGTTCGCTTAATTATACGTGGGATTGACCTCACGGTGGCGTATCGCATTTTCATTGAACAAGTCGATCCGAAAAGGTCATTAACTCGGTTTTCTGGGCGAATTTTCGACGGTTTTAGGTTTTATGGCATGTTGTTCGGTGCAAATAACTCTTCGGCACGAACAAAACCGTAACGCGGCATTCGTGGTGACCAGACATTATAATTATATTATTTATTCGCTGCACAAAAGCACAAAAACACAAAAGCGAGCATAATGGGAGATTTTTATGGAAATTTTACGAGGTTTCTTTTGATAAATCGTCGAGTGGAATATAGTGTAGTAATTTGTTGTGAATATGCAATATTTTTTTATTAGGAAAATTGGGAAATTTAGTGTTTTTGTGGTGTATATTTGGGATACAAAGAGTATTGTCATTGTTTACATTTGGTTGAAACCTGCTTATTGGATATTTATAAAATTCAGACAAAGTGAGAGACATTTACTCATTCGGTTTCTCCTAATAAAAAACAAGTGTTTATTTGCAGTGAAAAATAGTACAATAAAAATTTATTTTACTACACGCCTTTAGTATATTTTTATATTAGATTAAAACTACCTAAAAAAGTGCACAAATTTTCTACATCACTGTTATCAATAAACATAAAAGTTTTGTTTTTGTTAAACAATCTTGTTTACTTATGATAATCTCATGTTTAATTCATTCGATTGATTCACACCAACTCGTATCGTGCATTTCGAAAACCTACAAATGCACAGCAGGACAGTAAAAATACAAAATTTAATACGACAAAAGAAATAAAGCCTTAAAACTCACCCCACTATCAATTCTCTTTCACTCGAAGGTCGCTTTTCGAAGAAACCTTTTTCCCCCAAAAAAAAAACCAACGTCGATAATTCGACGCGCCGCCGCCTCCCCCGACTGCTCCGCGCCAACTAACCAACAACCAACTACAACAGGAAGCAGGAAGATCTCCTCGGGATCCTGCCCATGCCCATCGTCGCGAATCGGTCCCGTCCGCTCGCCCAAACCGAATCCTGCTCGCCAAACGCCGCGATTATCGAGCTCAATTCGCCTGCACCGGCGCTTCGGACGGTTCTCCTGCCGCTCACCGTCGATACCACCAGCACGAGTCGAACTCAGGAATACTCACGCATGTTATTTCTGCGTTACAACAAGTGATTAAACGCCTCAGCGCGATTCTCGCCTTTATATCGAACGTTTATTAAGCCTACGTGTTTTCGCTTCGAACGCCATCCTTGCAGCAGCAGGATTAAAACGCAGGACCGTGCTAGCAACTTGTGCACAATACATGATTTTTTTAAGATCTCATTTTAGCCTTATTTGTGCATATTTAATGAGTATTATCAACCGAAATCGTCGAGTAATATCCACCTAAAAATTTCCTGTGTGTGTTTGATGTGCTCGATGCGGACCTGTAGATTGTCGAAGTCGAACGATCGGGATCGGGGACGTTGTTATCCTGCGTTTCCTTCGCAGGATTGCCACGAGCAGCGAGGATAATTTGACGGATGGTCGTTGCCCCTGCTGCACGCGTGTATCTTGGGTTGCGTGAAAGTCGGGATTGATTTTGTACGGGTAGCTAGCAGGAATGCAGCAGGAAGCGAATAGAAATGCCGATCGCATATCAAGGGCTGCAAACTTGTAATTGATAATGGTAATTATCGACTTTAATTGAGTTAAAAATCATCTTAAAACTGGCAACGTAAATACAGGGATTGTGTTTATGTATGAATGGCAATGATATGGTAAAATCGTCGGTGATATTCCGTTGAATGGAGAAGTGTAACTGTGTAAAATGTATATTTTTTTTGGTCAATATCGCCCGTTGTTATAATCCATTTGCCTTGTGACTTACTAATGGCGAGCGGAGAGCGCGGGGCGGGAAATTTATTCGAGAAAATTTCCTGAATACCGAAAGTAGATACCTACAAAAGCGAATTTCGCGCGATGGATTTTAATTTCTAATTTCCAATCGAATCCTCCGGTTTAACCTTAACCGAAAATCGATTACATTTTTTGCGATATTCTTCCCCTATTTCCCGTCGAGTAAGATTTATTACGCGTTTTTGTTGAACTAAACAGAAAACCAATTTCGCACCGGGAAGAAATTTCGTTGCTCTCACAATATGTTATATGAGAGAAGGGAAATAACGAATTAATTCAGTGAATTATTTCATACCATTTCGGTGATGTAGACTTGTAAATTACAGCCGACGTTCGTCCATCAAAAAGCCCTAATCAAGCTGACTGAATTCGTATTAAAGGCGTGATTGATGGGCCGCCATTAAAACAACCGAAATCGCTTTGACGAAACGAAATGAGGCTTATTTGTTACCACCACGTGCTGTCTTCGGTGACACAAATTTTATTCCGATTAAATACCGTTCGATTCCGCTCATCATCCCGCCCGAGATTAAATGTTTATTTGTTTACTAACAGGATTATCTACTCGGTGTAGGTCGCGTTGGTGAAAATTAATAAGAATTAGTTGACTGTGGCTGTCAATGTCACTTTTGTTGTTGTTTAATTGCGCTAATTCCGATGCATTATTCGATGCAACACAGATGCGCATATTTGGTGGAATCATCACAAAGTATAACAATTATGCAATTTTATTATTCTTTTCTAACGATTTCAATGCTAGATGTTGTTAGTAAACAAACTTGTATGGTATGTTTTTTATTTACCTTAAGATAATAAGAAGGCCTTGCTCGACTGTTTGAATCTTAAGCTTGACATTGACAGAAATGTCACAGTTTAGGTTTTTATTGAAACTTTTTGTGGTGTATAAAAAGCTCATTTTAAATATTATTCATCTAGGATTATAAGAAGGCCTTCATAGAGAAAGAAAGATGTCTTTTATTTTGTCTATGAAGACCTTGTTCGACTGTTTAAATGTCACACTTGACATTGACAGAACTGTCAAATTATGAGTTATCTATAAAATTGTTTGTGGTGTATAAAGAGCTGATTTCGGCGGATCATCTGTTAGATTTGAAGCCCTCTAGGGGATCACCTTGTCCTAACCTTAGCCTTGTGATTCGGTTAAAAAATTTAATTTTCAAATTTCGATTTTAGTTTCGTCCAGACGAATTTTTAAGCGAATTTGAATAACATTTTTTTATTCGGCATGGCTTCGACTTCCGTCAGCGCTTGGGCGATTTCGGGCAATTTATGCGCTCTCCGATGAATATGATCTTTTATTTCGGCTCTTTCGCGGATAGTCCGTTCGATTATATATGCAAAATATTGGCCTAGATAAATGAAAATGAAGGTACTTGGATATTCTCCGGATAAAAGCAGTTAGATGAATACCAACGCGGAGTTTATGAATATTGTATATACAAAATATTAAACAATGGAGTGGAATATTGAAGAGTTTTAGAGGCAGTGAAAGCGTTAAAGGGGCTACAATTTTGCACGCAAAATCGTAGTAGGCATCTCATTCACGAGTTCCTCTCGTAAGACCTTCAACTGTTGCGTTTTTCGCAATGACGTAATTCCGTTTCCAGTCGAAGTAAACAAAAGTTGTGTCGTTTTTCTCACATTTTTTTTTGGTCTTGTTTTACTCATTGTATCCTGTTTTCCGACGTCTATACTATAATTAGAACACCGGATGCTTAAATCAAAGTCAGTAGTATCTTCGCAAAGTGACAGAAGGTCATGGAGGAATTTGTTTTTCAGGAATATATCGCCTATATGCATTTCAGATAATTTCCACACTACTATGTAAGTAAACCGATCATTCATAATACGGTGAATTTTCGATATATACCACAACAAATTGAATCGTATATAATACATTCATACTAACACCGCGATGACGTCACGAACTCGTACATAAAACGAGCCATATGCAACGTGTAAAAGTTCCATCAATTATGCATAACCTTGCCTACTTTCTCATCCCAATTTTCCACGTAAACATTACGCCGAAATCCCGGTTACATTTTTTAAATGCCCGAAAATTCGCCACGGCATCTTGGCCCAAATACAACTCTTTAAATTAAAGCGATTTACGAAACGATTATATTTAGATAGTGCCCGAATACTAGCGGAAGGTTGTACTTTCTTTTCTATGGAATCCAAATACCCGGTACTACTAACGAATTCGGTCATATTAATGAGCGACACCGATTTTCTCTAAACATTCCATATCGTATATCGATAGGGATTTTATAGTGTGGTGGATAATTTTGGTTTTTTTTTTGTACAATGGGTGCTTAAGAAAAGTGGTGAAGAAATGCGCTGAGACACCTATCAAGTAGCTAAAGCAAGTTCGAGTAACTAAATTTAGTTACTTGTATGGTGTAGTTTAGTAAATTAGGTACTTGCAAAAGTTGCTTAATGAAGATGTCCACACTATACAAGTAACTAAAATTTAGTTACTTGTTTTAGTAACTTGCGCGTCCTCGCGCCTTAAAGATGGTTTTAAACTAGAATGAATTTTTGAGAAGCAAGAATGTTGAAGCGGAAAAGAAGAAGATTGTAGTACTTAGTTCAGAAAATTGCCAAAAAAAAACCTAACAACTAACCCAAACGTCGTCCCACGCTCAAAAATCCCCGTACTATTAAAACCAAAACCCCGAAACGGTTAGCCGAGGTGCATTCAAATGTATCGCTTTTAAAAAATGCAAATCGAACGCACACCGCATGTCATTATGTTAATCCCCATCTATAAAACCGCCGGCCCTCCGCGATCGCATCTCAGACAACGATCCGACGCGCCCGTTGATCTCCCATCTCGCCCGAAAGATGTTCCTCTCCGTCGCCCTCGTCGTCTTCGTCGGCCTCTGCGCCGCCGCCATCGCCGCCACCCGCGGCCTCGCCGACGAGAAGCGCCGCCGCAAGGCGCCCGCCGACGCCGGCGCCGCGCCGCTCGAACCGCCGACGCCGCCCCGCCTGCCCGTCATCGGCCACCTGCACCTACTCGCCGGCTACGACGTGCCCTACAAGGCGTTCAGCGCGCTCGGCGCCCGGCTCGGCGCCGTCGTCAGGCTCCAACTCGGCGCCGTCAAGTGCGTCGTCGTCAACGGACAGAAGAACATCCGAGAGGGGCTCGTCACCAAAGGCAGCCACTTCGATTCCCGACCGAACTTCGATCGCTACCAGCAGCTCTTCGACGGCAACAAGGAGAACTGTAAGTACCTCTATCGCTTCTAAACTCTTCGATAACTCTCTCCGTTCATCCAGCTCTGGCGTTTTGCGATTGGTCGGACACGCAGAAAGCTCGCCGGGACATGCTGAGATCGCACACTTTCCCGCGAGCTTTCACCAACAGCTTCGTCGCCTTGGAGAACCTCATATCGCGTGAAACCCTCCGCATGCTGGCGCAAGTAACGCCCGGAGAAGACGTCGAATTGAAGCCGATTCTCGCCAAGAACTGCGCCAACATCTTCTTCGCCCACTTCTGCTCGAAGCGCTTCGACGTCGACGACGCTCGCTTCGGCGATCTGGTGCAGAACTTCGACGAGATCTTCTACGAGGTGAACCAGGGCTACGCGGCCGACTTCCTGCCGTTCCTGCGGCCGCTGTTGAAGCGCAACATGGCCCGGATGAGGGGCCTGACGCGCGACATCCGGCGCTTCGTCGAAGAGGAGGTCGTCGGCGAGCGCTACGAGCTGTTCGACGCCGAAGACGAGCCCGCCGACTACGTGGAGAGCCTGATCAAGCACGTGAAGGGCTCGCCGACGGGCGAGTTCGATTGGAACACGGCGCTGTTCGCTTTGGAGGACATCGTCGGCGGGCATTCGGCCGTCAGCAATTTCTTGATGAAGGTGTTCGGTTTCCTGGTGAACGAGCCGCGGGTGCAGCGGAGGATCCAAGAGGAGATCGACGAGAACGTCGGCAGAGACAAGCACATCACCATCGGCGATAGGAAGGCCATGCCCTACACCGAAGCCGCCATCTACGAAGCTATACGAATGATTGCATCACCTATAGTACCCAGAGTCGCCAACAGGGACAGCTCCATTAACGGTAAATCTCATCTCATTCACTCGTTTAATGTTCTCTCATGTTCTCGTATTCTGTCAGGTTACAAAATCGAGAAGGGCTCGGTGATATTCATGAATAACTACGAGTTGAACATGTCGGAGGAGCTGTGGGAGAGGCCGAAGGAGTTCCTGCCGGAGAGGTTCCTGAAGGACGGGAACGTGGTGAAGCCGGAGCATTTTCTGCCGTTCGGAGGGGGTCGCAGGAGTTGTTTGGGGTACAGGATGGTGCAGCTGGTGTCGTTCGGGGTGGTCGGGGGGTTTTTGCAGAATTTCACGGTGGCGCCGGCGCAGGGGGAGCTGTACAAGGTGCCGGTGGGGTCGCTGGCGCTCAAGAAGGATACGTTCAAATTTAAGTTCGTTAAACGATGATCGGATTGGATTGGATTGGATTGGTCGATTTTTTTTAGTTTAAATTCTCTTAATTTATTATTTTTTTATTTTTGTAAGTTTTGCACTGGTGATATTATCTATTTATTCTTTTGTAATATAAAAATGATATTTATTTTTTTACAATAAGGCTCAATAAATTGTTAATACGTTTGAACTTTTGTAACACTGATAGAATATATTTTTTTAATATAAAAATAATGATTCGTGTCACTTCGTTTCCTCTCTTTATAGGCATTTATAAAATCGTTTGTAACAATAATCGAAATTTGTGCTGCAAGGATCTTCCGATGAAAGCGTTTTCCCGAAGCGAAAAACATGTTTCTAATCGAAAAATTTGTTTTATTAAATAAAAAAATTCAATACAACAAATAAATAAATTAGTTCTATGAGAACCGTTGTCAACAAAAAAAAACGTTTACTCCATAAAATCGTAAAACTTAATACTCTAAAAAGATCACAAAATCGCTTATTCATTTAAAAAAGTAAAATTCAACCTAACCAACAACATTTACCTAACCTTAACTAACCACCTCTCCGCCATCTTTAGCGTTCGATCTCCCCTCCAAGGACCCGTCGAAACCCGCGTTATCGATACCCGCCTTCATCACATCGACCTTCACCACCACCAGCTCCGAATCGCCGCCGCCGCACAGGCACGAATCGCCCCTGAAGTGCGCCTCGATCTCCTCCAGCGTCTTGTTCTTCGTCTCCGTGAGTATCGTCGTGCAATAGACAGCCGACAACACCGAAGCCCCCACGAACACGAACAGCGTCCCGCTGAAATCCAGCGCCTCTTTCATGTTATCGTAGATCTTCACGCAGAAGAATATCAACAGCTGGGCGATGCTCACCACGATGCCCGACATGATGGGCCTCACATTCAGCGGGAACATCTCCCCGACCATCACCCACGGCACCGGCAGCATCCCCACCATGCTGAAACCCACGTTCAATATGACCCCAACCAGAGGTATATAAGGCGCTAGTTTCGCTTCCCCCGGATGGTCCTCGTAGTACTTCACGTAGACGGCGACGGCCGACATCGTGGCGGCCATTCCGACGCTGGAGGCGGTGCACAACACCTTCCTGCCGTAGACGTTGATCAAGTAAGCGATGGCTATCGACATGGAGAACCGGATGCCGCCGACTATGATCGACGCCACGTACTCGTTGAAGCTGAGCTCCGAGTCCTCGAAGAAGCTCACCGCGTAGAACAGCAACGTGTAGATGCCGGAGAACTCCTGGAAGACGAACAGCCCGACGAGCACGAGGAACGGCTTGACGTTCTGCGGGCCGAAGTAGGTGTCCCGGAAGCCGGTCTCCTTGCAGCCGGCCTCCTTCCGGTTCTCGTAGAACCGGTCGATTTCGCGCTGGGCGAGGGCGTTGTTGCCGCGCAGCCACAGCAGCACGCGGAAGCCTTCGGCCTGGCGGTCGTTTTTGAGGAGGTACGAGGGGCTTTCGGGCACCAGCTGCATCACCACCGTGGAGAAGACGGCGAAGGAGATGCTGATGTAGGCGACGGTGGTCCAGTGGAGGACGTAGCCGAGCGTGTAGGTCAGCAGGATGCCGAAGGAGGCGCAAATGGGGCCCAAGGTTTGCATGAAACCCCTGTTTTGGGACGTCGAGATTTCTCCTACGTAGGTGTAACAAGCCGGCGACATGCCTTTAATTGAAATAACGAATTTAATAAAAAAAAAAATATGTAGGTAACTATACAGGGTGTATCATAAGTTTTTAACTGCTTCTGGCAACTTTTTCAAGTAATTTTATTAATATTCTAAACAAACTTTAACACCCTGTATCTCGATAACGAAGCATTTACTACCATATGTTTATATAACAAAATAGCATTATTTTTTCATGCAGAATCAAGAAATTTGTCGCACTTATCAATTAACTTAGGTTTACTAACCGGCTGCTATTCCAGTGATCAGTCTTCCTGCGTACAGCCAGTTGATGTTCTGAGCCAGGCCGAAGCACATGGCGCCCAGGATCAGCGGCAGGGCCGTTATTTGTATGGCCCTTTTCCTGCCCATGTATTCAGCCAACAATCCCGACAGGATCGAACCCAGGGGATTCGTTATGGTTCCCAAACTCGCTGCAAACAATTTTATTGGATTAGATATAAATTCGAGCGGTGTAGAAAAATCAGTTCGTTGACTCGACACCTTTGCGGAAGCGTGTTTCGTCTATTTTATAATTATAATTATAAATGTATAAAGCGAATAAGTCGAACAATGCTCGATTGTAGCCTTGATGGTGTTTGTATTCGGCTATTCGATATATAGCAAGCGGGATTATCTGGGCAAAAAACTGTGGAAGTGAACCACCTTGCGTGTTTCCGTTATTTGCCATAGTCTATGAGCTATGCATAGTCCTTAAAACATCCTTAAAAAATGATTATTGGGATCATTTCGAAGTACCTTAGTTGCAATTTTTTTCTACCGGTATATACGATTTTAATGTAGTAAATAGTTGGTGTAAAGAACTGGTTTAAAACCTCGGATATAATAGGAAATAATCCGTCCCATTTACTATACAGCAATGATATAATTGATATTTCGGAAGTGTTTATTTCAATTAGCGCTCGAACACCTGTTGGTAAACGATTTATTAGCGCTCCATTAGGCAACAGTAGTCTTGTTATACAGCCAATTTCGCGCATGCAAAGGCGACTTTTGAATTAGGAAATATAATATATTATAACAGCCGTAAATACGCCGGTTAATTGGCGAAATGCGATCGAACTTCCAGCGTATTATCCTTGAACGACAACCAATTTATTGGCACGGCGATCGATTAGGATATAAAGGATGTGTTGAACAAATTAACAGCTTTCGAGGAATGAAAGTTTTTCTATTGTTAAATTATTTATGTAATGGTAAGTGTTGGAGATATTGTATAAAACGGATTATTCAACTTTTAGTGTGTTAATCGGTACAAAATTATTTATACTCCGTTCGCTATCAGGAGATTAAAGTAAGAGTACAGTAAGATTGACTCAACGTAAAAAAATTAATATAATTTCAATAATAGTAATGTTTAATTTACTTTGGAAGTGCCACATTGTATACAGGGTGTATAAAAATAAGCGACCTATAAAGTGACCTGAAAACCAGTGCACAGCTGTTCTAATGAGATATTAAATAGTAACTAAAAGGATATAATAAAATTAAAAACGACTTATAATATAATTAAAAATCGCTTTCATTGATATTTGAAGTTATTACATCGAATTATTAATTCAATAGTAACTAGTTTTTTATATACTTGTTTGGGATTTACTGTTTTAATTACGATCTGCTGTTGGCGAACGGACTATAATTTTGAATTCTTACCTATCCACGTGGTTTCATCGCTGGTCAAATTCATGTATTTCGGCGATTTCTTGAGCTGCGGCAGCAGGATGGCGCTGTATCCTTGACAAATGCCGATGGATATGGACACCGAATGGGCGCATATCGCCGCTAGAGCCTGCAAACAATTTCCACAATTAACCGAGTTGAATAATTACCAGAAATTGTCGCGTTACGGACAACAACGACCTACTGTGTTGTGGTTTTTCGGCGTCGAGCAGTCGAATTTCATCGAAGACGCGCCAAAGACGATCGAGGCATCGAAAATATTACAGAAATAAACGGAATTGTGTGCGCGTGTTTTGTATCTGGAGGAACAGAAACGCGTCATTCGAAATTTATTTTCGACTTTTGGCAGGAGCGGATTGTAACTTCGTCCGTTATCATTTGTTGTTTTCAATAACTCGATAAATATTTTTTATTTTTTCGGATACACAGGCGATAATTCGATTAAGATTTTAGACCTAAATTTACAACAAATCTTATGGATTTTTATTGCTTCTATTACCAAAAGTTGAACCACCTTTCATTGCAACAAACAACAACAAACATTGTGTAGTGTATTATTAACACTCCACCAAAAAAATAATACACATAATCCTTCTGCTATTACTTTAATCCATCTCTGTATTTATCCGTTTCGTGGAGTACTGAACTGTAGATAAGAATAGTCTACTTTTACGCACAGACTTGAAAAAAAAAATAACCGATATTATACAATATTTCCAAATCGTCGAACATAATTTTCTATGATACGATTAAGCGAAAGCTCGCTAATAGAAAATCGATCGATTGAATCGATATCGATAAACCGCGAAGGCTGTGCGTGCGGATCGCAGTGATCCTTGATCTTGACCCAGCCAACGCGATTATACCGGCTCTATAAATGTTTTCGCAATCGTTCGCGCGCATTCGATCTTCCTTTTATTATCTACTTGCGATAATTTGTTTGTGACGATTGTATAGGTTTATTGGGCGCGAGATGAGCGGAATAATTTCCATCCTGAGTCATTCGAAGATTGGATAAGTCGAGTCACGCTCTAGGAAGTTCACTTACCCTTTTATTGGTACCGAGATGTTGGTAAATAGGCTCGAATTGTGATAAATTTTGCAATTATTGTTTGTCGCATCTTAGGGATTTATCAATAAAGTACAAACATTGCGTTATTATACTGAGTGTTGATTAATTTTACGTACTTTGGGCTAATTTTGAGTCAAAAAGTTCATATAAAGGTACTTCAATAAGGGAAAAAGTGTCCCGTTATTTGAACATAAAACAGGGTTCCTAAAACGGCCGCTAGGAGGCGATGTTGTAAAGGACCACGCTTTTTTGCCTACTAATTACATAGAATTAGCATTAAGAAAGATAATAATCAAACTAAAAATATATAGAAAATATAAAAATATACTTAAATCAGCGATAATCTTGTTCTTAACATCAAGCCTCACGTATCTTCGGTTAATGTATTTCTCCATTTTCTCCTCGAAATGTCAAATAATAAATTTTGACACTTTTGACAGCTCGAACTGTCATCTCACAACCGCGATTTATTTGTAGCGCGACGCTGATTGGCTGAGATAAGTTGTCAGAAAAATTTGATTTAATTTCAAAAATCAACGCCTCCTTAATTCAAATTACACATACCCACCTACTGCTATAAAATATTTGACATGCATACAAAGCTTCCTAGATGAGTCGCGTTAATTAATTAATAAACTTGGTAGAAAATTATTACGACGTGGAAACCCATCAAGCGTGTACACCTGGGGGAAAATCCCTTTGTTCAGATTCCTTACCGGCGCGCAGTGGAAATTAGCAGGCCATTTCTAGAATTTAATTGCCGTCGCGTTTAATTAACAAGTGTTATTTTTTTTGTACGGCTCAGAAATAACTAATGATGGTGTGATGGCTCGCAGATAATTCGAATCGGTACTTGCATAGATAATTTCGCGGAAAATTTTGCACGTTATATTTTTTTATATGCTATCTGACTATTAATTGGGTTTTTATTTAATTTGAGGTGCAATTAGCGCGTTTTAATTGATCGGTTTTTTGATGAAACTTTGTGTAACATTTCGATATTTGTATAATTAGAAAAATATAAGGTACGAACATTTTTTTATTAAAATTAATGTTCGGTACTTATACAAAAGAAACGCTTTAATCGTGCGAATTAAAGATTTAAAAGATATGAAAATTATTTGTAATTGACGTATTATTTTTTATTTATTGTAGATTTTATTGGTACAATGAAGATTTCATACAATTCGCTTTCATGTCTAGTGAATCCCGGTTTTATCTAACATTTCCCGGCAATTAGCAACGTTTTGCTAATTGATTTTCCAAATAAAAATAAGGATATATATTGCCATGCAATTAACCGCAACACTTCAAATTTCATTGTTCCTGGCGGTTTATTTCGAAGGCTTATTCGCAGCAAGTCCGGTATAAATTATTGTTTTCATCGAATTGTGCATCGATTGTAATAATTATTTAAAAATATAATTTCCAGAATAATAGCAATTACGGACAAATCGTGTAATACGTTGCGAAGAATTAAACTTTAAACGCTTGCGAAATAACATATTCGAAACTGCCTATTACGAAATGAATTAATTAGATTCGCCAAGAAAATTGGTGGAATATTCGAGCCGAACATTAGACGAAATATTCCACCAATAATTGCAAAGATATTGAACGAATAGGTGGAATATCCGAGCCGAAATTCGGCCTAAATATTCCACCAAAAATACCTACTAGTGATATTATGAATCGAACAAAAAGTGCCACTATTCTTTCGTGAATTAATTTCGAATGGATTTTTTTCGGCTGGAACCTTGCTCGTTGGGAAACAATACCGGCGAAGAAAAGGCGCCTTCCGGAAGGAGAAAAAAAATGCTCTCGCATTGCGAATGCGCTCCGTCTCATTGTGCATTGTTTCCGGCCGATGTCGGGAAGTGGTTGCTCAATACGGCGAGAGAATTGAAAAACCTCAGTAACCTTTACACTGAATTAATTTACAAGGCGTAACACTTTTCGAGAGCCGAAGAACAAACGGAAAGCTACAAATGTCCATTGAAAATTTACACACTCACTTCCGTCCCGTCGACTGCGCGGTTTACTTTCGCTTTCGCGACAATCGAGATCGTTTTTTGGATCCCTGATTGGAGTTAGAGAAGAGGGTTTTTTTTAATCTGGATCTGGAGCGATTTGAAAGCGAGTTTTCCCACGGCTGCGGTGCATTTATTTTCGACGAAAACATATCGTAATTGCATAATGCTTAGCTTAACCAACCGGCGAAAAAATGCAAAAATGATGGAGGCGCACGCGATCATTTGATGCGATGATTGTGCCGGATATGGCCTTGGCACTGAACTTCACGTTTGTCCTAGTATCAGATGATTATGTATTATGCGTTTTTTTTTAATTTCTATACCTACTATTATCAATCGAATAATCCGGTTAATTACTCTGATACCCTACTTGGTAAAAGGCCATAAAAGAATCAAAAAGAAGAAACGAGTTGTGTATTTACCCCGCTATATTAACGATTATTAATAATGATGAAGCGAATAAAAAAAATCGTATTTGGGATGGAAGCTCCATTAGATTGTGCACTGACAAGAAAATGAGTAGTATTTCGCCGATTTTTTTCATACGAGTACCCCGCTAGAATTTTCCGCTGGTGTGTTATTAAGGTTCCGCGCGGATTGTCGAGAAAATTGCCTGCATATGAACAATTTTCCCAATTTTTCCCAATTATTTACTAACGAATTGTAATTGCGCGTAATTACAATTATAAGAACATAGGAGTAGTATTCGTTGCTAATTATGATATCCTCATAGGATAATCTTTTTATATTTTTATAATTGTAGCTCTAATCATTATTGCTTATTAAGCCGATTATAAATCCTTCAGTACACCGTGTTTCGATAAAAAAAATATTATTTTTATTATAAATTAGCGCTAAGTGCAATTATATATCAAATTTTAACACAATTTTGAATTAACAAATAATTAACCGGTAGTAGAATTACATATTTTGATTAACTCATAGTTCCGCAAAGTTTTTTGTATTATAATTGTAAATTAATACAATAACACAAATAATTAAAAAGAACAATTTTTTTCGGGACTTCACTTCCCACTAATGCAAATTTTTGGGGAAATTTCGTACAATAAATAATATTTTTTCATGAACTTGAACTATCTAGAGGCAAGTATCGCAATGTGATGATAAATTGCGCGAAAAAAATTCTCTAAAGGTCGAAATTAATAACTTTAATGGCTCGTGTTTGCACATTAGATTGATGTTACAATAATTTTAATAATAATTCGGTTTAATTTCGAAAATGTGAATTTTCATTTGTTTACACAACACTTATAATATCGGTATTTGGTGCATTTATTTGGCTAAAAATGTTACTAATTAATAACTTAAAGTGCTTTTTAGCTGAGATAAATCGTGATTTGCAAGATTAAAAACTTGTAGAGGAATTTAGAATTTATTAATGGATTAAATCAGATATGAAGTGCCTGATGCAGTGATTAGATTAGCTATTTTATCCGATTAAAATAGTGTTAATCCTACGATATATTAAAACAAAAACATCGACATCATTACAAATGGAGTTTTTCGTTTACAAAGTCCAAAGTTTGTAAAATCGATATTTAATTTTAGTTACACAGAATAAATCAGCGAAATTACGTGATGTTACTTTTTTTTAATTACATAACCGTTGCGTTTATTAACAAGTAGCACTTTATCAGCAATTTTCTCTAATGACGATAAAACGAAAACGAAAAAAAAAACATGTAAAATAAAATTATACTTACTATTTTACCGCCTCCGTACTCCCAAAACTTTACTATACTTTTCAACATGTTCCTGCAAAAAAAATCAAAAATTTATGTAAAATGGATATGAAATGCGAAATTAGGCCTTTTACTAGTGCGGTCATTTGCCCGTGACAATACCATGTCAATTCATATAATAGTTAAATTATGCATGTATAGGGTGAGTCATTAATTTTAACGATTTCAAACATAATCTAATAACTCGACATAACAAATTTCTATTATCACTTATTTATTTACATATATTGTAATTAGCGTTTCATTACTTCCTTCTAAACCGTTAAAAGTTAAAATGTACCAGTCGAAAGATAAGAAAGTTATTTGGAATAGATTACCAGGAAGAATAAATGCATTGTTTCTCTAATTGCTTCAATAATATTATCAAACGCCGATATGTAATTTATTTTATAATGTCTTCGATTCGATGACCATCTAATCTGCCATCGCACGTCACCTAAACTATAACAAAGAATTTATTATTCGCGATTTAATCGCGGATTGTTAATTTATTAATTTATTTAATCAGCGTATTTTCGCCGGGCAAAAAATTTTCCTCCAATATATTTCACTCGATAATGTAGTGATTAATGGATATAGCAAGAGAAAGGTTAAAATATTCTCTGGAAAAATACTAGATTTCTCCCTACCTTCTAATCTCCTAGTCTTCCCTTCATTGCTTTATTCTGGTTAGTTGAATTAATTTTTGATGGCATCTCGTGTGATTTTCAACTGAGAAAGAGGCGCGTGCGAGTGGAAAACCGAACGGAAAATGTCCCAAACTGGCAAACACATACGTAGCGGCATAATAATTTGGAATTCCTCGAATTTGTTGCGTTTCGTCGAAAATAATACGAGGTTTTCGGTAAATCGTTGGAAAAAATTGGGCGAAAATTCATCGGCATTCGCGTGAATATTGTTAGCGAAACGCCTGTAATGCGTCGATTTTTGGATGTGGATTTATTTATTAAAAAACTGCAATTTTTGGATTTTCCAGTGTGCGTTTGAAATATTAAAATTGCGCGGAAAATTGCATTATTTCCTCATACACGAATATCTAAATAATTAATTTTTTACACGATAAAAGTAGGAAGAAACTCCTTAAAAAATTTAAAATTATTTATCGATGGATGATCGCTTTTTTTAAGTGTATTAATCAGCCTACGTGATTTTGCAAGCGTCAGGTGTCAGTAAAGTTTGTTTTATTTATTTTATTTGAAAGTTCATCATATGCGACAATGAGATAAAAATCGAAAAATACAGTTACACATTGCAATAAAAATATCTCTTTTATCGATTGCGGTAATTTACTGTCTTTCAAGTGCAACATTTCCAATCTTCTAGATATTTTTAACGCACTTTCATTGCTCGGAAGATTGTAACGAGAGTAAACAGCTAATATCGCCGGTTTCGAAAAATTCCAAATTATTCTGTTTTTCGAAAAATCGGTCCTAAATAAACCGTTTAATTATAAATCCCATTGACCTCTAGACAAACGAAATTTTCGCGTTAATTGCCCGATAAATTTATCTATTTAAACTACGAAAAAAATATATGAAAATTTCGACAATTAACCAAAGGGAATGGTTTCTATCTAACAAATTCAAATTTACATTGATAAATTTTAGTGCAGGAAGTTCCAAAGCGAATTCGAGTGTACCTACCTACTTGAAATTGGGAACAAATAATTTCGAAATAGTTTATAAATACATATAACAGAAAATATAAAAAAATATTATTTTAAATACTTATAGATATGCATAATTATGAAATCAAGGTAAGAAAAATAATGGTTCCGATTACTAATATTTTAGAAACATTCAAAAATCGTTAAATTCGCACATTTCTGATCGAATTCGTTGGAAAAACGCAGAAATTTCAAACCAATTAATACATCAAAAATTCTACTCTAATTAATCACACGAAATCACGAGCTAGATGTATAAAATTACTGAAATTTCACACACAACAAATTACACATCGCAAGCACGCAATAAGTCGGAAAACCTTCGAGAAAACTCACCTGGATTACACCCGAAAACTCCCCCGGAAAGAACGCAATTATCAACAAAACTCCACCGACACAACCCCGTAGATTATATTATATGGTAGAAATATGCCTGCGGTCGCTTTCCACTCGCATATTCACCCGAATTACCGCGGAATCTGCGGCCATGGTTTATTTATTATAAAACTTAAGATTTCGACCGCATGGTGCTTTTCCCCTTCCAATATCTGATATCGAATTGATAGTGCGATAGTGCTTCGTTTCGAATGGGAATCACTTCGGAGCCGCGCTTTTATTTAATACACTTTCACGTTAGCGGTACTCGCATATAAAATGTATTCGTAATATTAGATATGCATACCCAGCATACCCGAAAATTGGGTTAGATTATAATACATATCAAAAGCTTCGTAGACTTCAGCCCGAGCTGGACTAAACGCGCCTAAAAAAAATCTTAATTTCCAATTAGATGTTGATAGAAAATTTAATATGTATGCAGAAACCCGCTGGTAAAGGTTGCCAGCGCATATTATGACTTTGATACGATATTTTTTCTTCTAGCGCTGCACTTGCACTTTCAGCATTGTACTTGATTTTAATGGCGAGAATTTCTAATAAAAAAATATGGCCTGCGACAGATATGGGTTTCATTGACACAATTTCGTCGCGCGGGGAATTTTTTCGCGCGATTCTTGCACCAAACGCAACATTGTAATGGAATCCGCGCGGAGGTTTGTGGAAATTTAAATTTTTTTATCGAAAATGTACTTACCGGGGAGCTTCGGAAATTGTGTAATTTGTGAATTTTTTCGTGAAATTGTGCTTACCAGGGAGCTTTAAAAAGATATACATTGTGTGACGTTTTCTTCGAATTTTTCTGAATAAATTGCTTACCACGGCTCTCCTAAAATAATAATTTTATTAATTCATTCTCTTCGAAATTCAACTTGTAGCCTCAGTATGATTAATAATAAACTTGGCAAACACCATAATATTTATTAATGCAAAGAAATACGAATAATGTGGTTATTTTATACCCAGCTACATGAAGGTAAATTATGGTTGTATGAATAACACATTTGTTTGTTTTTTTTAACGATTAAATTAAATACAAAATAATTGTTGAAAGTAATTAGTTATTTATTATTAGTTGGATTATTGTTTTCTCTTTTTCGCAAGCTCCAAAACTCTGTCCAAATATAAAATATAATCTGAAGCAAAAAGTACTGATTAAAGATTGCATAATACACATATTTTTGCAACATTCTCTATTTAGATAATGAACATTTTTAATACCAATTGTATCAATTAATGAAATTCCTGCAAAAGACGAGTATAGGTATAAGAAATTGCGATTAAACTGGTTTCATAAATTCGTTAACAGATAAGGCAAATAAGCTGGAAATTCGAGTAGGTAATAACATCACAGAAGCCGACTCGATCGTTTTCCTGGATACTCACGTAATTACCCGCTTTATTAAACAAGTACATAATAAGAAAATGCAAATTGCGCGCCCGACGAATTTCCAATTCTGCTATTTTTAAATTCGAATTGTCGTTAATTTACTCGATTTGCGTAAGTAAAACCCGACTGAACAACGCAAAACATTTTATTTAATTTTTGACAATTATTCACAACTTTCTCGAAACGAAAGAAAATTATGGAAATTTTTACTCCATTATAACTCCGTGTTATATGTAAACTTTGTCGCAAATTTAAACGGACGCGAATAAAAACTACGTTGTTAAATTCCATAATTGCCAACTTGCAGGTACTTTTTTTTTCAAAACAATCTCGCTAGTTGGCACGGATAAATCCATTTTTAATAATAATTAGATCTAAATTATCGTAATGCGACAGTTTTGCCGGTTGCCACTCCATTACTTCGTTATAAAAAAATCAAAGCACAATAAACGCGTATATAATTATAAAAAAAGACGGGGACTTAATGAGCGACATCCGCTTTCCGATGTTTTCGCGAAATTTGTTTAATTTCGCAAAATTCGATTTTTTCACGCTAAATTCACTGATCCAAAATAAAAGCCGACGCGATTACCTCCGCAAATTGCCAGCAGAATCGTCGTGTTATCTTAACAATAACTATAAATAAACTAATTCATAATTACAGCAAAAATCACTCAATTTCTCTATCGGAAGATGATTAAAGGTGTTACATGGAAACGGGCAATTAAATATAATTGATCCGCCTAACGATAACGCCTAATTCCGGCTAATTGGAGCGATCGATTGGAATTTACGAAATTTATTCGATTGTATTGCGTCGCCCGATGAATCGAAATAAATCGATCCATTTGAGCAACTCTTAAAATAACTCGCCTTGTACGTTTTGTTATTGATACGAATCAAAACTAGCTATTTTTAATCCTTTCGCGGTTTCGTCTATCACTATAAGTACTTACATACGATTTTATTTCTGATGCGACTCGAAAATTAATAGGAACAGTAATTGATTTGTTTACTACTATCGACACCTATATTAACCTAATTAATTATTAATGTGCTGCTAAAACGAGTCCATTATTTTTTTAAATGACGGTATGCTTAAAAAACGATTCTTTTGCTCCAGTAATTAAGATTTTTTTTGTGTAGTCCCGACCAATTACCGTCCACTGTGTAGATCTCTAAAACTATTTTGATTAGTTATTTTGCTCTACTGGAAACGGTGCAAAAAACAGACAAGTTGAGTTATAAGTTATCTTAAAAAGGTGTTTGAAATGTTTACACGGCGTTATAAATAGATGCAGGAAGAGTTTTAATGAAAATATCGCAGAGCAATTGCGCGTGTTTAGTATTTTTTTCAATAAAACACCGTCTAGGATTTATCGGATAAATAAATTGACTTCCTAAATCGTAAATCACCTTCAAAATTTTATACGAGAGCAATGTCAAGATCAAAGTACCAATAATAATTGAAGTAAGCTCTCTAATGAGGGGGTATTAAAAATGTTCCGAGAAAATCGTTATATGCTAAAATGATGAATAATTTTGCCTTAATCTGTAATTTGTATCTATTTACACAACAATTTGTGTTTCTTTTGAATATATTATAGTCTATTCACTGAACTTTCGAGGGATTTGGATTATAAGGTTGTTGTTAATGATGGTAAAATTGTCAGTTTTCTTGGATTTTGTGTATCAACTGCACTAAGTGGGTAGATTAATTTTTAATAGCATTTAAATTTAGGAAATGATCTATTTGTACAATATTTATGATTTTAGTTGAATTTATGGCTTTGTAGTAGTTATTACGAATGGCTTTTATAATTTTAAATTTATTCGGATTATGTATAACCAGGACTGTTTTGAGTTCGTATTTACCCAAAAAACAGGTAAAAGTTTGTTGAAAGAAGATTAGTGAATCCTCTAATTGTATCAGAATAAGGTCTCGATAAATAATTAATAAAACAAACCTCCGAGATTATTTTTAATAAAATATACTTGCAAAGTATACGAAAGTTTGAGCCGTATAATTTAATAACACCCAAACTAACAATTACAATTTTACAAATTAAAGGTACAAACTCGACGAAAATACGATATCTCTCTTAATCAGCTTAATAGCCGTGTTGAATTTATTCTCCAAATCGGTGTTACCGATCGTCTTCGACGCCTGCACCATCTGCCTCAGCAACTCCTCCAGCCGGCGCATGCACCGCACGATCGATCCCTCGAACACGTCCGTCATCTCGCAGATCGACTTGAACGGGCTGCCGTTGCACCAAGCGAACACCACGTCCATCAGGAACGGCTTGAACCGCTCCACGTACGCGTCCTCGTCGAGCGGCAGCTTCGCCTCGGTGCTGACCTTCGCTATGCGCCGCGCCAGGTCCTGCATCTGGCGCAGCGGCCCCGACAGCTCCTCGGACAGCTTCGGCGCCTCGTTGCTCTTCTCGTCGCAGACGAAGCAGCTGAGCAGCGCCGTGCATTGGGCCGGCGTCAGGGCGCCGAACACCCCGTTGAATATCATCTCGGTGATGAGCAGCTCGTCGGCGGAGCTCAGCTCGCACGCCACGCGCCCCTTCAGCTGGATGACGTCGGTGTTGGTGCAATAGCCCAAGCGGCGCAGGACGCGCTTCCTGCACTTCAACTCGTCGAGTTGCAGGACGGACTTGGCGTCGCGCAGCCGCTTCTTGGCCAGCTCGAACTCCTCGAGCGCCAGGACTTTCTGCTTGTATTTGGCGTAGTCGTCGTTGACGTCGGGGTTCTGGTGCATCGGATGGTCGTACATCTTCTTTTCGAGCACCTCGATTTTGGAGACGACGTCCGCGAATTCGGGGTCTTTGATTTTCATGTCGGCGATGGGGTTGAGCAGAGGCGGGCCCTCCGGGAAGCGCTTCTTCACCTCTTTGACGGCCTTGTACATGCGCTTTCGGCTGTCCTTCGAGCGCAGATCGTTGGGACAGAACAGCCGGATGGACGACAGGTGGGTGATCAGCGTGGAATCGACGCAGACCACTTCGATTTCGCCGCCTTTCTGATTGTCCGAGCACGGTTTGGGTATTTGGAGTTCGTTGGATTCGTCGGAGACGACGTGCAAAAGGATGTCCACTTTAACTTTGGTTTGGGTCTTGTGGTGGCCCTGTCGGTTCTTCTTACCCGGCACGATTTCGTTGACTTTCTTGAAGTTTATGACGGCGCCCCAATCGTACTCGTCCTCGGGCGTTTTGATTTTCAGCAATCGGCCGGGCTGCAGGAACGGTATCAGATACTCCGGCTTGGTGAGGTACGTGCGAAACTGGGCGCTCAGCAGCTGCAATTGCTGTCTGATGTTGTAGTAGGTGGATATTTCGTCTTCGTTGTCGATCGTCAGCGAGTTCAGGCGTTCCAGTTTCTTCTGGTAGTCCTCGTAGTAGCCCGGTATGGCGGTTTGGTTTTGGAACTGGTAGAACGACCGTTCCAGCATGTATTCGGGATTGATTTCTTCGACGCGCAGCAGATTGAGGACCATGTTGTAGGTCAAATGGAAAGCGGAGTTGATGGGATCGGGTAGACCTTTCACGATGTTCCTGCCGGCGGCCGGTGGGACTTTTTCATCGACCATCAGTATGACGATGCCTCGGTCGTCGAGGCCTCTTCGTCCGGCTCTTCCGGACATTTGTATGTACTCTCCGGAGGTGATCCACCGGTATTCGGTGCCGTCGAACTTCCTCATTCCGGTGAATAAAACCGTTCTGGCGGGCATGTTGAGACCCATAGCGAACGTTTCCGTTGCAAATAGAGCTTTAATCAACCCTTCACCGAACAATATCTCAATCGTTTCTTTTAATATAGGCAACAAACCGCCGTGATGTATGGCTATACCTCGCCTCAACAGCGGCAGAAGGTTCTCGACTTGAGGCAGCTGTTTGTCCTCTTCGCTCAACACGTCGATGGCGTTGTTGAAGACCTCGTCGACCAGTTGCTTCTCCTGGGTGGTGTTGAAATCCAGCTTGGTCATTTGCATGGCGTACACCTCGCAGTCCTTTTTGCTGAAAGAGAACACGATGACGGGCGCGAAGTTTCTCTCCATGATCATCTTCACCACTTTGAATATGTCCGTTTGGGTGGGATCCTTGTTGGCGATGCCGCCCTTGCGGCCCTTCTGGTCGCCCTTGCCGGCCTCGCCCTGCAACACGGCCATGGCGGCGTTGAAGCTGTCGTCTTTGAAGGCGCCCGATTCGTCCACCACCATGTGTATGCCGTTCCCGCCGGCCGGATAGAGGAAATGCTGCAACGGAGTGGGACGGTAGTCGGTGTAGACGACGTGGCAGGGCTGCTGGTGCAAATGCGAGACCCATTCGACGAACTGCCTGGCGTTCGGTATAGTGGCAGATAGAAACACAAAGTGCACATTATGGGGTAGCAGAATTAAGGTTTCCTCCCATACGACTCCGCGTTCCTTGTCTCGCATGTAATGTATTTCGTCGAAGACCACCCAGCCGACCTCTCGCATGATTTCGGAGCCTCTGTATAGCATGTTTCGGAGGATTTCGGTGGTCATTATGAGACAAGATGCGGAAGGGTTGATGGTAACGTCGCCTGTGACTAAACCGACGTCTTTGAATTGGTCGAGGAATTCCCTGTATTTCTGGTTCGATAAGGCTTTGATGGGGGTCGTGTAGATGACTCTTTGCTTGTATTTCAGACTCGTCGCGATGGCGTATTCGGCCACTACGGTTTTTCCTGCGGACGTGTGAGCGGAGACTAGGACCGATTGGTTGTTGTCGATGCAGAGAATGCATTCTTTCTGAAACGGGTCGAGTTTGAAGGGGTATTCTTTGGCCGGTTCGCCTCTGGGGGGTTGCAGCGGGACGTAGGGTTGACCCGGTGGGTAGGCTACTTCGTGAGTACAGGATTCTAGGGTGTCTATCGCATGGACGACTATGCGATTTTTGAATTCTTCGAAATTGATATCGCTGACTTCGACTTCGTCGTCTATTTTAGGCTTTTTAGATAGGGATTCGTCCGCTTCGGTGTCTTCATTTTTTCTTTTTAAATCTTCCTTCGAAGAGTTCTGTTCGACTTCGGTGGAATTTTGAGCGTTTTCGGCGGGAGTTTCCTGGTCTTTTACTATGACCGGTTCTTCATCGAAACAGTCGAAAAGATCGTCTATTGACTCGGCCATCACTTAACTCGATAAAGAATTTTAACAACCTAAAACAATTGTCCATTAGAGATAATTTAAGGTAGTTTGTAAGTACAATATTCAAGAAAGTAAACGAAAATGGTCACTCACTATGTATAAAGTTCATTAGGTAACAGCAAATTATAAGGTTTTATCTTCATACGTGAACTATCAATTTATTTTCGCACGTTTAATTATAATATATTAAATATAGAAAATTAAATGTTTAATGCATTTACTCAAAGCATTGCTTTTGGTAATCAAATCAAACATAACCTCAATTTTTCAATGACAATTATGACATTTTTAAAGAATATGACCTTTTACATTCTAAGGTGTAAGCTAATTTTCAACAATTAATTAAAATGTACAGACGTAAGTGCAAAATACAAAAGGAATATTAAATAAGCTAATTATACGAATTAATTCGTAGTTGATTAATGATTTGAACAATAATTTAATTGAATTACAAAAAACAAATGAAACTACTAGCGATATCTAGTGCACATAAAATGAATTAAAAGTCGATAAAATTTTAATAACTTACTTTAAAGGCAAATAAAACTGCTAAAAATGAATGAATAATCCGTTTTTATTTTAGAGTAGTTCAAAAGCATTTAACATTAAGAATAATTCGCGAATTTAACAATTTTGATAAATAATTGACAAATGTCAGTGACACGTGTCATATGCCAAAAACGATGTTGACAATTTGACGTTAATTTTATGTCAAAAATGACGAAGAGAATGGATAAGAAAATGTGTTTATGTGCCAAAAATGTACATTAATTAAAAGTCGGACGTAATTTTAAGTTTTTTAAAACAGTAAAGACAAGTATCGAGATGAGCGACAGCTCGAGAACCCTAAGCAGCGAGGCAATGGAGAAAATAATCGGAAATATGACTGCAGAAATGCAAAATATCGATGGTCAATATGTTCCTTTGGGCTTCACACCACCACCGGCCACTGCGGAGTCCCTAAACTGGTCCCAACACCCACAAACGAGCTATATGAATCGGTTCCCGCCGACCGTAGATCAGTACGCACCGCAGAGTTTCAATTTTCTACCCCAAAGTGCTCAGCTGTTCGAGCCGAACGGCTACAAGAAGAGCCTGCCCGACTACGATCTCTACAAGCTGCAGAACGGCAACGACCTGGGGTACCTGGAGCCGGATTATCCCTACATGCCCCACGTCATGAACCCTCTACCCGAGCACCCGCTGTTGCACCAAGACAAAGTACCTGTGTCGAATCCCACCCAATTGATAGATCTGGTCGGTAACTGGATGGTACCGAACGACAGCGGTACTTACTCGCCCTTCGGCACGTCGGAATACAAACCGAACGTGTTCGATTTACCATCCGATCTCAGTAACAGTACAAACGCGAAAGATGAAAGTAGGTTTAAGAGCGATCAACTCGACGAAGTACAATTCTCGTTTAACAGAGACACCCGAAAGCCCAGAATGGTGGCCGAGGTGAAACCGATGCGACCGAGTTACTCGGACGTTCTAACCAAACCCGTCACACAGGTGGTTAACAAATGCACGAAAAACGAAGCAAAGGATAACAAACTGAAGAAGGATTGCAAGAAGAATTGCAAAACCGAGAAGAACCAGAAAGTGGCGAGCCCCTTGGGGAAATTTAACGTTACGAACGACATCAAAGACGCTTCCAACGAGAAAAGCACCGTTCACATTAAACAAGACAAAAAGCCTGTTAGAGGTTAATAAATTAATGATATAATTTATACGAAACCTTTACGATATTGATCTATTTACAGGCACCAACTTCAACAGGAAATGGACTTCCTTGGAAAACATCGCCGACTCCCACATCAAAGTCGAGGAGACGAAGAAGAGGAAACCCGAGGAGAAAAACTGCCCGAAGAATTCGAAAAAGTTCAACAAGCTCGTTAGCGAAATCAACGTCGAAGAGAACATCTCGAAGTGCGTCGGCGTGAATTTGTGCAAGAATCTAAAAAAGACCATCAAACCGATCGTCAGACCGAAACCGGCCGATTCGTTCGGCAGCAACGAAAGACCGCCCGGAAAAAGGATCCAGCGATCGAGGAAAAAGGATAATCACGTTCCGTTCGGTGAGCTAATTCGCTTGATTCGAGTTTTTTTTATAAGTGGTTTTGTAACCAACGTTGCTTATTTGAATCTTAAACAAGATGAAAGTGAAGTTAATTTTTTTCATTCTTCCGCCATTTAGAACATTTCCGAACCGTTTAGAACTCTCCTGACTCATTTACAACGCCCAAGAATCGTTCAGAACTGTCTAGAACGCTCCATCGTCATTTAGAACTCTCCAGACTCATTTAGAACGCTCCAGAACCATTTAGAACGCCATTTTCATCTTGTTTAAGATTCAATTAAGCAAAACGTTGTCATATTTAAAATTCGGAAATATATAATCGTTGGTTACAAAACCATTTGGTCATAAAACACTACTCGTATTAAAGGTAGAAGTTTCGCTAAGTAACTGTTATTAAATAGTCAGGGTCGGTTAACAAAATGCTCTAATTTACAATCTAGTTTTGGTGTCATTGACAATAATATGGTTCAATTCGAGTAAACTACACGAAAATCATTGTTTATTCCTCATGGAAATTTCTACTGGAATCGGAATAAATTTACATAACGCACTTTCAATACAATCGTGCTAGCTCGATCTAATCGTAATCGAACTTATTTCGCAGGAGTGTTTGGTCAAAAATTGAAGCAATACACCAAAGGCTGGTGGAAAATAATCACCGTGTTCCTACTATGGTTGTTTCACTTGATCTCCGACATTTGCCAGCTCAGTTTGCACATCAGTCGTGATATGTAAGTCGCATTCATATCTCATTGCATCTATCATGTTAAATTTGTTTTATTTGGCAGGGCTTTGATTTCTTGGATATGGATTTGTTCGCATTTGTCGCTGATTTGGGAAGCCGCCAAGAGTTGCCTGTTGAAGATCCGCCTCTTCCGATGGGTCCACGACAAATTCAAAGGCAGAAAAAAGCCGGAAACCGTCGAAGATACGCCGCGTTTCACGCAAAGTGGCCTTCAGAACAACATCAACATGCCGACGACCGGCGACGAGGCGATGAAGAGACTGTTGGCGTGCAAAGGAAAGGACCCTTACAGCATCCTCGGCGTAGCGCCTACTTGTACCGACGACGATATTAAAAGGTGGCTGCGTGAATGTATATATTCGATGGATTTTTATGTGTAATTTTTTTTTCTGGTTAATCGTAGGTATTACAAACGCCAGGCGTTTTTGGTGCATCCGGATAAAAACAACCAGCCCGGCGCCGAGGAAGCTTTTAAAATTTTAGTGCACGCATTCGACATGATCGGAGAACCGGAACGCAGGGCTGCTTACGATAGAGGTCAGTTTTACGAGGGTCGTCTACAAAGTACTGGGAATCTTACAAAATTTAGTTTCTATATAGGGTGGTAATTAATGCAATGTACTTATTTTAACGGGCGATTCTTAGGCACTAAGTTCATATAAAAGTATGTCCTCCGAAGCTCTGTTTTCGAACAATATTGCACTGGGTAATTGCATAAACACATCGAGACAATTCCCCAGAACTTTGGAAACATCTCATAGGTTAGGAAGTAATGCTATTTGCGCGAAACGATGTATTTATTCTTGAGCTATCATTGTATTGTGATAAATAATGGTTTGTTGTAGGCGTTGTGGAATCGGCGCAGGTGGTGCAGGCGTGGAGCGAGCTGACGGAGCTGCTGCAGCAGCTGCAGGAGAAGGTGGAGGCGGCCGCGAACACGATCAGGTGCAGCTCGTGCGGCATGAGACACAAGCGCGTCAAGATAGATCGGCCGAGTTACGCGGCGCGTAATTGCAACATGTGCAAGATCCACCATTCGGCTCGAGAAGGTAAGAACAGTCGGTTTGGTTCGCTGGAGTTGAGTGTACGAAACGTTGTTGTAGGGGACATTTGGGCGGAGGCTAAAGTGATGGGGTTCCTCTGGCACTATTACGCTTGCATGGAGGGGGCCGTGTACGATATCACGGAATGGGCCGGTTGTCAGAAGGAAAATCTCAAGCATCTCAGACCCGATTCGCATCACGTGCAATATAGGTGAGTGTATTAGATTTTAGTGGAAGCGAATTTGGTTTTTGGATTTTTTTTTTTAGAATAGCGCTCGGGAAACAAAATCAACCGCGAAGGCACGTGCCCACGGCGCCCGCCGATAGACCGGATTTGGAAAATTTGTTAAATACTCTCTATGGACAAACCGATGGTACTCAAAGTACCCGCCGTAGGAATAAGAAAAATAACAAATAAAACTCCAATATATTCTAATAATTTCTTTTTTTTGCGAAAAACTGCTAGATATATTATAAAATGCTTTAAGAATAAAATGTTTTAAGAAATTTGTGGAGTTTACATAACCCTGCGGCTTCGATCCGTTTCATACGGCAATTTTATTCTAACGCGCCATCCAGGAAACACATACTTGGTATATTCTCTATAGCAACTTCGACGTCTCGTTTTAGGACCGTTTTACGCTTGTTCTTTCCAACATTCTTTCCCGCTTCGATCGCTAAGAGTTCGATGAACATTTCCTGCAATCAATCCACAATTACTACCGCGATTTTACATCAAAACGAGCCGGTTTTACCGTAACTTTCGCAACGAGGAAAACAGATTCGTGCGATATAAGCCCGCAATCGGGGTCCGATTTCATTATATGCTTAATTCTAGCCAAGGGCAAACGCAAATGCTTCTTTTGCGTAGCGCTTTCCGTTCGATCATTCTTTCCTGCATCCAACTCCATATTCGTTTCGGTGTTGTTGTCGTTTAATATTTCGGAATCTTCTACTGGATCCATTGTTTTGTTTGCAATTGAAATGGAAAATATTGAGGTTAGAATATATTCTACTTCTTTTACTTAAAATTTGATGACAAGTGGCCTTGGATACTAAAGGTAAGTGGTTAATTTTATTATTGACGTAGAAAAGAAGAAATTGTCATCTGTCATTAGTACAGAAAACCACAACACAACATAACCTCCAAATCCGTTATAAAAACGTTTGTAAACTATTTTTATTGTAAAATTTATGCAATTACCGTTAGCGAATATTGTATGAAATCTAGTGCGTAAACATAAAATGGCGAAGCACCACCCGGATTTGATATTTTGCCGCAAACAGCCGGGCGTAGCGATAGGCCGGCTGTGCGAGAAGTGCGACGGTAAGTGCGTGATATGCGATTCGTACGTGAGGCCCTGCACGCTGGTGAGAATATGCGACGAGTGCAACTACGGTTCGTACCAGGGCAGGTGCGTGATCTGCGGGGGCCCCGGCGTATCGGACGCCTACTACTGCAAGGAGTGCACGATACAGGAGAAGGACCGGGACGGTTGTCCCAAGATCGTCAATCTCGGCAGCTCGAAGACCGATTTGTTCTACGAGAGGAAGAAGTACGGGTTCAAGAGGCGTTAGATTAAAGTGAATCGATGGACCGAATCGACTGAGTGTAAAAGGCCTTTCGAACATTTCACCCATAAACTATTTTTTATTATTTTAAAGTAAAAAAGAACATTTATTGTATGTAAATATGTGTATCATTTAGGTATCTTGTCTAATCTAATTGGTGTACAAGATTGAATTAATTAATAAATATTCCTACATTATATTACTCGTTAATTTTGCATAATGAAAAAAATATTCACAAACATATCCATTTTATTCAATTCTGTATACAAACATTAACCAATATGCAGTCATGAAAAATGGTAATATATTCAACATAATTTCCTGATAAAAACCTGTATAATTGGCCCGTTTTACGCAATTCGGTAATTAAACATAATTACAAACAAACAAATTTACCAAATTAAAGTAAAGTGCATTGAATTTTAAAGGTACTGCTTCTTAATAACATCGGATATCTTCTCACCTACCATCAAGCAAGGTACGCTAGTATGCCCGTCAATCGGCAGAGGCAGCACACTAGCATCTGCCACCCTCAACCCCTTCACCCCGAACACCCTCAACTCCGAATCCACCACGGCCCCCTTACTTCTATCCGCGCCCATAGCGCAAGTAGCCACCGGATGGGCCGCTGTGAGCGACACCTGCCTCAGGAAGCAGTACCAGTACTGCTTGGATTTGAACCGGTGCTGCTTACAAGCCGAAAGGGGCCGCGTGACGTACGTCATGTTGATGCTCCTGAAAGCTGGAGTATCGGCCAGCTTGAACACGTGCTGTATGCCCCTGTACAATATTTCGATGTCCTGCTGTTTATCGTCCGAAAGGTAATTGGGGTCGATGAGCGGGTACTCGTAGGGATCGTTGCTCTTCAACCTGAGCGTACCGACGGATTTCGTGGATAAACACCTCAACGAAAAGGATATCGATAAGTTCCCGTTACCCCACAGTTCCTTGTAGGTATCGTTCCTCCACCCGTTCGCTATCCTATCCAAATCGCTGGGTGAACTGACGTCGTTGATGATTTCCAAATCGGATATGCCTTCGTCCGGTACCAGCACCCTCAAGAAGGTAATCCCTTGTCCGTCGGTAGCCGCCGTTAATAAACCGTACCCTTTCAGGTACTCCTGCAGTTGCTCTTTCAACGACTGCTCGTTCGCCGGGTAATTCGAGCTGAACATGAAGTTCTTCGTTCCCGGCTGATCCAGGAATTTGGTGCCGACTTCCAAGTCTTCCACCACTTTGATGCCGAGGCTTTCGAGGTGCTTCTTCGGCCCGACGCCCGACAGCATCAGAATGTGCGGACTGCTCACGCTACCGGCCGACAGGATGATCTCCTTGTTGGCCTTCGCGCTGTAAATGGTGCCGTTGTTGGTGAAAATCACCCTCTCGGCGCGTTTTTGCCCGTTTATCGCGATCTTGGTCACGTAGCTGCCCGTCAGCACCTTCAAGTTGCTCCTGTCGAGGAACGGTTTCACGAAAGCGGTGCCGGTGTCGACTCTCCGGCCGTTTTTCGTGTAAATCTGCGCTATGGTGGCGCCGAAGCGGCTGCGACCGTTGGCGTCGTTGGCGGGAGTGCCCAGCTCTCGATTGGCCCGCAGGAATAAATCGTTGATGCGGATGTCCGGCACTTTGTGCTGCACGTCGAACAAGCCTTCGTAGCCGTGGTAGAAGGGGTCTACCGGCGCGTTGGGGTTCGTCCAGTGGAAGTGCTCCGATTTCTTGAAGTATTTAAGCACGTTGCGGTACGACCAGCTGTGGTCGCGCGCTATCCTGGAGTACAAGTTGTAGATCTGCTGGGAACCTCTGTCGTAGATCAGGCCGTTCATTAGGGTGGTACCGCCGACGCCTCGTCCTCGCGGGTACGGGCATTGGTTGTTGATGGAACCTGCGGACATCCAGCTGGGGACGGGTTCGGTTTGAGGGGGGGTTTACTCACCTAGACAGGCTGTGGTTTGGGGGATGCTTTTGAATCCCCAATTGTAGTCGGAGAGCCAGCCGGTTTGGGCCATTCGGGGGATCTGCAAGGCGCCGTTGTCGGCGAATTGGCCGGCTTCGAGGACGAGTACCGTGAAGTTTTCTTCGGACAAGCGGCTGGCTATCACCGAGCCGGTGGTACCGCCGCCGATGATGATGAAATCGTACGGAGCGTAGTCTGGAAAATGGAAATGCGATGCTTACTTTTTGGTGCTTCTATGGAATGTTTTGTAAATCTGGTACCTTTTGTTTCTGAAGTGGTGGGTTTGTAGCGGCTCGCGTCTGTAGGTGTTTGATAGTTTAGAGAATCTTTTTCGGCTTTTTTTACTACATTTTCGAGGTACTCCACAGAATCTTCGCTTCTTATTCCTGCTTGGGTTAGGAAATAGACGAGTAGTAATTTTTTTAACATGGTTGAGTAGAATGTCGTTAAGTAAATAGCTGGATATATCTTTATATAGTGCAGGTATGCATATTTTATTATCATAATAATTCCCTTTTTACTGATTACGTGTGGTGTAGGTAATTGTCAACGACTCGTGTATTTTTATTTACACACAATTGTGTGTATACTGTATGTACACAGAGAAAAAAATATAATTTTTCAAAAAATTTTACTTCATAAAATCTCTTGTAAAGTTCATATTTTAAGTAGATTTTTAAAATATTTTTAATATTTATTTTACAAAATCATAGGAGATTTAACACGGTTTAAATTAGTCTATTACATTTTTATATTTTTTAAGAAATTAAAAATAAAAAAACACGTGGACACGCTGTATTAAAAAATTGTTTAAAAAAATTATAATTCCTTATGATATAGGTATTTATTACTTTGTATTTTTAACTCGCACACATTAATTATACTTGCATATGACAAGTGTACATTTTTACTTTGTAAGGAAGTATTTATACAGTGGTCGTTAAAAATATTAATATTAATTAATAAATAGAAATAGGTAGTAAATCAGAACTAATTATCGTTTAGATGTATCCGATGAAAAAAAAAAAACAAATCAGTGGCGTAGAAATACAACATAAACAAACCCATAACTACGCCTCTGAATTTTTTATAGGATATTTCCTATAAACGCTTTAATGACACACTAAATTTCATAATGGTAAATTAAATGCTGATAAACTATCAATGCACAACTTTTGACGTTTATTATCAACCCGTCAAAAAAAATCAGAAACTTCCCTATGCAAATCAAGCGATCCGGCAACGCCGCTTCCGCTTGTGTAATCCCCAATTCGGCGTTATGTCATCGTTTTCAGGTTTCAGTTCGGCTGAAAGCCGAGATAGCGCGAGGAGCGCGCGAGTGCGAGCGAGACGGAGCGCTTTCGCATTTCGATTATCGCTCGGGTAATCGGATGATTCCCGATTCGGATTCCCGGTATACGTGCTCTATTCGACACACGCCGGGCGCGGTCCGGTACGATTTCCAATCGGTTCGCGATCTATCCGGGGCAACAGGTCAGCATTTAAATTCGATTCCGCGATTCTTGAATGAGAGAAACGAGTCTGGGCTTCCGTCTGGTTTGAGCGCGCGATTTCGGCCGGCGTGATCGGGGCGGCCTTGACTCGACAAATGTCAAGCGAATAGATTTTTTCGATATTTTATTTAATAGTAGGAAGTCGAAGTGGAAAGGAAGCACGAGGAGCCCGGCGAGCACGTGATTCGGGATGCGGAGAAATTGGTGAATTTCGAAAGGTTATTTTTCGTTTAGGTGAGTACTAATAGAAATTCGTGTAAGTTTTTTTTTGAAATAATTGATTGATGACGAAAAATCTATGTCAGTTCGGTTTAATTATTAATTGATCAGGAATTTTGTTGGTTTAATTCATATGTAGGCGGCTTTAAATTCGTGCGGTATTGTTTCTATTGTAATTTACAAAGCTTACTTGCTTTTTTTCGATTGTCAAATTTTGATGAGTCTTCGATGTTATCAGTATATCATTGATTTTTTGTTTTTTAATTAAAGAATTTAATTTTAGTGATTTTTGGAATTTTTTTGACATTTAGTCATTAAATAGTTTTAGCAAGTTTTATAAAATAAAGTAGATATTTTTCTAGTTAATTCAAATTTTCAAAAACATAATAGGTAAATGATAAAAAGAAACATCCTGTATAACGAAAACAAAATGATAATAATTTTAATTTATATTTGGAGCCAACAAAGCGTTAAATTAAACCAATTTTCATTCAATTGAAAACCAGTATTCCATTTTGTGTAATGTTTAATCATCTATCGTCTGTGTAATCCTGCAAAAATATACAGATGAGTTCAAATAAATTCGCAATATAGTCTGTGGGTGCAACAAAGACAACTTGCACTAGTCTCGTGTAAAGGAAAAAGATAGATTGATGATTGTGTGATTGCAACTTTCTTACTTTATCCCACTGTTATTTTAATAATCTATCTTTGTTTAACTGACACAATCGGCCATGTTGCGAACAAAATTGCACTTCTTTGCTCGAATTTCTAATTATTTAATTTGGCAACAGAGCATATTTAATGTTTTATCCATTATTGCAAAATAAGCAATTTTTTTTATCACATACTAGTTATTGTTTGTTTATGTCATTAGCTAGTCTAATCAAATTAGGCAAGATATAAAAAAATCTTAAACTAACCACAGTTGTTCTCTTGACTAGCCTACCCTGAAAAAAACGACTGCATCAAATAAAACCAGAACTCTTTCCGGAAATTTTTCCTTTTATTCGCCAATTTTATGGATAATTTGACCGAACAAACCGCTAGAAATTTAACTACAGATTTATATTACCGAGTGTGTAATCCAACACCATTATCGAATTATATTTTTTATCACTAAACGGAAATTCGTACAATAAACCGTCATCAATAAAATTCCACCTCAATTTCCTCGAAAACGCTATAAATTGTAATCGCAGATAATAATGGTTACATATTTCGAATAATACCTCTGAATTTCGCATTTCGCATCACAGTAGGCTGGCGAATGTTCAATTAAACGTCAAACACGTCAATTACATTTTTCGATTTTTTAGTATCGGTAAAATGGATCTGGAAAACGGGCAGATAGTTTTCCGGAACTTGCCGGTTGGGCCGCTGACTCCATACAGGAACCGGGCGAAATGCGATTGGAGGAAACTGAAGCTCATCTTCGAAGACGAGGATCTGCTCAAAGTGAAGGTACACATTCGAAATTACTCTTGTCATACGTCAAAAAAAAAAACGATTTTCTTATATTCTTGCAGTTGTTCGTGTGGAAGACGTTGGAGAAAGATCCCCTGTTTCACAGGTCGATCGTCGAGAGCACCACCGACGAAAAGAAGAGATTAGCGGCCGTGAGATTGAGGCGGTACATCGATTACAAATTCGTACCCGGTGAATTGCAAATGCCATATCGAAAAAGGGTGAGTGCCGTTTACATCGCGTACGCCATGAATACGTCAACTGTCATTCATGTCAAAGTGGCAGTTAAAAATCGAATTGAATTGTTTCCCGATCGTCACGTATGCTATGATTAATTATTTTATTTGCAGACTAAATTGTTCATGGCTTACAATGAAGCGTTGGCTTGCACTTATCCGGATGTCTCAGTCAAACACGCTCTGGGCGTTGGACTTTTTAGCAACACTATCATTACATTGGGTACCGAAAAACATCGAAAGTACGCTTATGTCGCCGATAAAGTAAGTATATAGGTAAGTGCAAATTTGTTTGCAACATGGCCGATTCTGTCACTTGAACAAAGATAGATTATTAAGATAACACTGCGTTAGAGTGAGAAAGTTACAATCACACAATCATCACTCTTTATATGAGACTAATGGAAGTTGTCTTTGTTGCACTCACAGTCGCCGTATGCTGCGTACAAATTTGCGCTTATTAGATATTCACGACCAATTTAAAACCAATTTTGGACTTTAATGTAACTAATTCGCTGGTATAATTCGATTTAATTTTTTTAATAGATGTTATCGTGCTTGGCCCTGACGGAAATCGCGCACGGCAGCGACACCAAGCAAATGCGAACGACGGCCACCTACGATCGCAACACCAAAGAATTCGTCATCAACACGCCCGATTTCGAAGCGGCCAAATGTTGGGTGGGCAATTTGGGTAAACGCGTCCCATCTCTCGTACAAACCAGGCAATAATACCGGCGTTTTTGCAGGCAAACAATGCACGCACGCCCTGCTATTCGCGCAATTGTACACCAAAGGAGAATGCCACGGTTTGCACGCTTTCGTGGTGCCTATCAGAGACCCGGCCACTTTGCAGCCCTATCCGGGGATACTAGTCGGCGATATGGGCGAGAAAATCGGATTGCATGGTATAGACAACGGGTAAATATGATGACGTCTTGTACTAGTACTACTAACTAAAGGCGCAGGCGAACCTTGACCAAAAGACAGGCTCAAGTCAAGGTTCTGGCACTCAGAATTGGATCTATGGAGTCTATCGATGAATGGCTCGGTACTTCTCTATGGATATGCTTGTCTTCGAAGACTCCAAAGATTCGCCTACGTTTATCTCTAACATATTTGTACATCGTTGTTTCGTTTGTGGCGCAGATTCGTGATGTTCGACCGCTACAGAATACCCAAGGACAATCTGCTGAACAGGACGGCGGACGTGACGCCCGACGGGGACTACGAGAGCTCGTTCACGGAGCCCGGCCGGATATTGGGCGCCGCCTTGGAGAACCTCTCGATGGGCAGGGTGGGCATCATGCAGGAGTGCTCTAATAATCTCGTGTGCGCCGTCACCATAGCCGTTCGATACGCCTTCGTGCGCAGGCAATTCTCGCCCAAGGGCGAGGGCGGCGGGGATTCCGCCGAATTGGCCATCATCGAGTATCCTTTACACGTAAGTTTCATTCGAATAATTCGTTCCAGCTCACTTATTGAGGTGTCTTGAATGTTGGGAAATTGTCGGGATGTGGCAACGTTGTTTGATGCTTCTGTTCGGTTGAAGTTGATTCGATTTTTTTTTGTAGCAATGGAGATTGTTCCCTCATATGGCGGCGGCCGCTGTGCTCAGAATATTCGTCAACGGATTCACCGAGACCTACTTGACAGTAATCGAGAAATCCGCCTCTTCGATCGAACTGGAGAATTTGGTACCGCCCGTTAGGAACCTTCTAAAAACCCCGTTTATAAATCGAATCGTCTTTCGCAGAGCCACATGGTCTCGGAAATCCACGCGCTCGTGTCGGCGGCCAAGCCGTTGATGTCGTTCAGCGCGAGGGACGCCGCCCAGGAGTGCAGGGAGGCGTGCGGGGGCCACGGGTTCCTGAAGGCGGCCCGCCTGGGCGAGATTCGCTCGACGGTCGAGCCCTGTCTCACCTACGAGGGCGACAACAACGTGCTCGCGCAGCAGACGAGCAATTGGCTGCTGAGGCAGTGGCGCGCGCCCGAAGGGCAGCTGTCGTCGCCGTTGGGCAGTTGCGGGTTCTTTTTGAGGCGGCGGGAGATCAGGGGGCGCCGGAGGGCGGTCGGGAGCGTGCGCGAGGCGCAGTCACAGGACTGTACGTTTCGAAATAACTATAATATATGCAATATCTGTTTGGTTTTTTTGTTTGTAGTTATAATGGATGCCTATGAGTGGTTGATTTTGAATCTAGTGGAAGAAACCGATAAGAAAATGACGGAAATAATGGAAAGCGGCTCGAGCAAGTTTACTGCTCGAAACGAATCTCAAGTATACAGGGCGTCCGTTTTAACCAGGGCATACGGCGAATATACAGCACTTCGTTACTATTGGTTGAAAGTAGTCAATGGTAAATTCTTCTCCTACTCATGTAACATTCTCGGAAATACAATTGTTGGTTTTTTTGTAGCTGAGGATACTTTGAAGCCCACTTTAGTGGATTTGGGCGTTCTGTACGGGCTCAGCTGCCTCGATAAGCATTTGATATATTTCTATCAAGGCGGCTACGCGGTCGATGCGCAATTCGCGCGGAACATCAAAGAGGCGGTGTTGGAATCGTGTAAAAAGTTGAAAATCGAAGCGTTGGCTGTGATCGACGGAATGGCGCCGACGGATTTCGTGGTGCATTCCGTTCTAGGCGCATCGGATGGGAAAGTGTACGAGAATTTGGAAAAACTGTTATTGGCATCTCCCGAAGCTACCACGAGGCCTTCTTGGTGGAAGGAAATAGTTTATGGTACTTCCGCATTAACAAATCTTCCGAGCAAATTGTAACAAATGAATTTATAGCAGATTTTTATGAATTTTATCGGAAATTTATTTTGTCCTATGGAATTTGTTTAATGTATTTTTGTAATTATATTTCGTTGTTATTAAAGTATAACTCAATTCAATTATCGTTGTAATTAATTTCGTTTGTGTTCATTATCCATAAACATTTTATTAAAACCGATCTGGCAACACTGGAAAGCGTTCTGTAATTAGATTATTTGTTAAGTTGGTACTGTTGGTAGCATTGTTTGACAAATGACATATTTGACATTCGTGAACTAGATATTTGAGAAGATTTGTCATTGTTTGTTGTTGTGAGTTTTGTTTTTAAGAAATAAATCGAGTATGTTTATACCTTATTTGAAATAAAATAAGCGATATTTCTGCTCGTAAATTCGTGTAAAGTGGACTAAACGTAATTTCAGTAGCGTCAAAAGTAAATATTCGTTTATTGACCAAAAATGGCAAAAATGTCCTATTACAATGAGTGAGTAACATTTAAATTAAATAATAATTAACTTTTGTGTCGAATTGTTAACGAAACAGTGATTAATTTATCACTTTATATCGAGTGTTTCGTATTTTGATATGTACAAACTGAAATTTCTTTATTTTTAATGCTATATTCGTATAAGAATCGTCCTAATTTTAGTTATTATTAATGATTTTTAGTGATATTTTATAATGTTTTCAGTTCGATGTCTCAACCAACAACTACAATTGAAACTGTCACCATTAAAAGGCCACTAAAAGTAAGTATAAATGAATTTATTGTAATTAAAGTTGTAAATTTCGCTTTAATTTATAGAAAAATCGATAACATTTCTTCAATTTTGTAACACTATACGAAACATTCTTCTAATGTAGAATGTAACCGATTTACATACATCCTAAAATTTCCCCAGACCTCACGATTTTTCCGGCGCATCCTTAGACCCGGCAACGCCGCCCATCCCCCAACATACAATCCACCCCAATCGATTTTATTCGTATCAGCGCCAGGGAGGCGCACATCCAGTGTTCCAGCATTACCCAGCACGTCAGTGTTGTGTACTTACATGTTCATCATCACACCAGCTAACTCGCGCCGTGTTGTTTACCCCATAACAACAGAAAACGACCATAATTCACCCCGAACCCACGCCGTACTAGCTCTCAATATTGCACAGCAGGTGGATACAGTATCGTGAATAACTACAACCACAACCGTAATGTAGCCTCGTTTATTTTGTAATCGAAAATTGTTTGAGATATTCCTGAAGTGCTGCATTTTAGCGAGTAATTCGGGTTATTCGCGGGTCGTTGTTGTTGTTGCGCTGGGTGGTGGGTGTGAGAGAGAGAGCAGGTGGCCTAGATCTAGATGGCTGAAAATCAGATCGCTCAGGTAAAAATTCCTTTCACGGGAACGCCTCTTCTATTCATCCGCTAACAATCGTGAATAAGGTGAAAAACGTACCGTGTATTTTTTAAATTCTTACGTTACGTTATTTTGTAACTGTTATGAAATAACGTGTGGGTAATTGTTATTATTTTGTCGTACAGGTGATAGCTTTCATATGCGGTCTCATCGTGATCATCCTCATGATAATGGGTCTGGCCTCGACCGATTGGCTGATGGCGGCCGGCTGGAGACAGGGATTGTTCATGCACTGCATAGAAGAGAAGGCGCCGCAGCCGCTCCCGTTCGGCGTGCAGGATCCCCCCGGTTGTTACCGGTCCAGAGACGCCGGTAATTCATCCGCTGTACCTTTAAATTTCCACGAATACCGCGCGAATCTATTCACTATTCTAGCTTATTGGAAGCATTTTTAGACGATTAAACGATCTTGTTTTGTATTGTAGATTACATTAAAGCAGCTGCAGCTTTATGTGTGATAACGCTGCTAACGGATCTCGTTGCTACTGTGTTAACTGGATTAGGTTTAGGCACCAAAGATCACCACACGAAATTCAAATACTACAGATTCGCTGTCATCATCATGGGCCTGGCACGTAAGTGAATGGTATTTCAAGGTGGATATTTTTATCTGTATTAATTTCTCTTTCAGTGGTTTCCATACTGGTTGCTCTTATCATTTATCCGGTATGTTTCGCAGCCGAACTGAATTTGGGTAAGTCGATGTAGGTTTTATATGAGTTACACAAATAGTTCAAATGAACTAAATATCAGAGTATAATCAAGTAGCTTAAGGGTTCATTAATCGAGCTTCAATCGATCCTTCGGTATACTCCACTATCAGGAATTTGTAATAAAACCTATAAGCTGAAAATCTAATTAGAATAAAATACAATTGACATTATTTACTTGACGTTTAAGTGACAGATGTAGCCTACTAACAAAATTAGTTATAAAAATTCTTGAATAGTAACATCTCGAAAATACTGGAATTAGCATTATATTTCAAAAATGCAACAAGTAGCATTATATTTCAAAAATGCAACAAGTAGCATTATTTACATATGTGATATATGACGTTTGAGTGACAGTGACAGCTGTAGCCTACTAATAAAATTCGTTATAAAAATTAAAATTCTTGAAACATCTAAAAAACAACAATTGACATTAATTACATGACGTTTGAGTGACAGTGACATCCACAGCCTACCAAGAAACCAAATGAAAGTAATTTTCTAATATCATTTCGTACGGTTTCCCGCAGGTAACCGGACCATCTGGGAATTCGGTTGGGCGTACGGCGTCGGCTGGGGCGCGGCCATCTTCCTCTTCGGCGCCGTCATCCTGCTGATGTGCGACAAGGAGACGGAGGAGATCTACTACAAAGAGAGGAAGATCGTGCGCGACGGCGATTCGCGCGCCTAGTGGCCGCACAGTCTGCCCGACGTCGTTCTCTGATCGTAACGGAGACGGATATTCTGTCGCTTCACTCGGTGGACGTCCGTCGACGAATGAACGATTCGTGTGAACGATGATGGACGAATCGGATCCGCGCGAATGTTCCGACGGCGTGGTTCGTACGCGTATGCTTGTTATTTATTAATCGCGAGCGAATGGACGAGCGAATTTTTGTTGTTGAATGTTGTACGGCGCGTATACGCGTACGGATCATCCTGTATGCTCTGTTAATTTTGTTTTTTATTATCTATTACGACGACAGTTGTTGTGGAAAAGGTTTGGTATTCAGCGCCATCTTGCATGTTTTCGAGTTCTAGTTACTCCATAACAACAATGTAAAACTGTCAATTGAATGAATCTCCTTAGTTACTCCATAACAACAATGTAAAACTGTCAAATTAATGAGGCGTTGAATATTCTCTTTTCCAAATAAACTTACTCTATAGTTTTCGTTCCTTTCTCGTTTTAATTACGATTCGTTTTTTAATTTATTGTGTTTATTTGCAATCGTTCGACATTTAAACGCACTGAACATATCCAATAGACGGATTTAAATGGCGAACGTTGCGAGTAAACGGGTAAAAATGAGCAAACAGAGCGAATGTTTGAGAGACTGAAGAGGCAACCCGGGCAGGCTAGATGCGCAAAATTTTTGATTTTATAAAATACAAGACTTGATAGACATTTTTTCGGATAAACTACACGTGTTGACGTGCGTGTAAGGTCCAAGAGAAATATTATGCGGACATGTTTGTACATGTTTTAGCTGTTTGTAGCCATGTCAATATGCTTAGGTAAAAATTTACTATTAGAGGATTTAACGATATTCGTTGTAGTTTGGAAAAAAAGTTATTCGAGATAGTATTAGTATTTATCGTTTATTTTTTTTTGTTAGAATAATTTTTGTATAATCTCGAGTAATTTTGATTTTCCATATATATATTTTTTTTTCGTTTTCTTATGGTTGCTTTGACTCATTCTCTCGAATTTTATTTTATTATTTTGTGATATACAGTAGTATTGAATAAGGACTTTTTCCGTATTTGATTTGAGATTGATTTACAAACAAAATGTATTTAATCGAGTTGTATTTAATGAAAAACTTTATTATAAATATATAAATTTAAGCATATCGTATTTGAGATATTTAAGTATATTATGTATATTTAAAATGCTATTACTATTTACAAAGGGACTAAATATTTCTAATTACCTAATAGCATACTATATTGATGAAAAATTGTAGGGATGTGATATATAGCTTAATGTAAATATATTGAATGTAACAGAAGCCGTATATTCACATAAAAAAAATTAAATAACTCATTGTTAGTACGTAATATTACTCATTTTAATTTCTCCAGAAAACATTCTGATATTGAATTGATAATCGGAATTGGATCTCATTTCATTAAAATCCTAAAGTAATAACTTTTTTCGAATGAATTTTTTTTTGTATATTATGTAATAATATCGATAATTACGTTTACATCGTAAGAATAAATCGAAATATTTGTATATCTCCTTTCATTAATTCCTCATCAATCATTATATTTTCAGATTCGGCAACGTTGGATGAAACTTACTAATGGATTCAATTTGTTTCCGATTCAAACACACAGTAGTAAAGGCCAAAATAAAGAAGTAGAAGAAATTGTGTGAATTTGTAAATAGTTTTCATTACATTCATAGTAAGTATTGCAGACTTTGTAAAAATACTTTTATTGGCTAAATAACAACAAATCCAGCGTTTTACAGCAAAAGTAAATAAACTCTCAAAAACATAATATAATTCCCTAAATCTTTCGCTCCGAAGGCGATTCGTTTCTTAAAAAACGCAAATTCCAATCACTCATCTCCGCGGCCTCTGCCCTCGCAGGACTTCAGATAATCACGCACGGCGCCCCGTTTGTGCTTCGCGGCGATGTCCAGTGGCGTCCGGCCCTCCTGGTTCTTCAGGCGCGGATTCGCCCCCGCGCCAATCAACTGCTTGCACACAGGAAGGCTTCCAGAAAACGCCGCGGCGTGCAGCGCCGTTTCCCCATTCTACAAACCATACCTTTCGTTATCTATATAGAAACTCAAAGAAGTGAACTAACCGATAAAATCCCCAACGAAGGCTTGCGCTTGAGCAGCTCCGCCACGACGCTCGAGTGCCCTTTGTGGGACGCCTTAAACAGCGGAGTGGCCCCGTCCTGGAAAACATACGCATAAAATTCGAGTGTAAATGAGCTACTTTAGGTGTCTCTCACGTGCCGAGCGGCGTCCACGTCGGCGCCGGCGCTGAGCAATCGCTCGACGATGCCGGCGTGCCCCATTTGGGCGGCTATCCAGAGGGCCGTGGCCCCGTCGGTGCGGCGACAGTCGATCTGGGCCCCGCGCTCCAACAGGTACCCCAGTATCTTGTAGTGGCCGTTTTGGGCCGCTATGAACAGCGGACTGGCCCTGTCCTGCGAAGGAATCGGGTCAATTTTATATGAGAGCGGTCGCAAATGGGCGGTTTACCTTCATGTGAGTGTTCACTTGGGCGCCCCTCTCGATCAGTTCCTTGACTACGTCTATGTGCCCGCATTGGCAGGCTACAAACAGGGGACTTCCCCCGTCCTGGAAGCGCGGAAAAATTAGTTTATCGAGTTTTAAGTTGGCTAAAAGTTGTCATATTTGTTCGTACACGTCACTCAAAATTAGTTGTATACTCGAATGTACGTTTTTACAATGTGTTGAAGAAGTAACATTAACATCGTGCATAACAGGAGATTATAGGAGTCTCTATGGATAGGAGGAAGGAAATATGGAATCAGAAAATCAATTTGATCATTGACGATATCCTGAAATCGGGCGGAATGAAAATAACGGACGTGAACGGGAACAAATCCTTGAACAGGATCGGCAAAAACCGGATTTCTTCCTTGCAGAAGAAAGTAGGCAACAGGCGATTCTCCAAGATTAATAAAAAATAACCAGCTTTATGTTAATAATAAGAAACTAATCAACATTGTTAAAGAAACTTTGAGTATAAAACACAACATTTGACAACACCGCTTTCTCTTTACCAAGAAATTTTAACCTCTAAACGTCAAAATGACATTTATAGGTCAAATGTCAAAAAAATCCAAAACTACCTAGATACCAATGACTTACTATACTGAGTGAATCAACCGGTGCTCCTTTGTCCAAAAGAAGCCGAACGACGTCCAGAAATCCGCCTTGAGCGGCGAAAAACAGTGGCGTGGTGCCGGTCTAAAAAAAATTACATATAATTAAAATAACCAAACATTACGCAGAATGTTTACTCACTATTCTCTTCGATTTCGGATCGGCTCCTTGCTCTATCAGCTCCTTCACGCACTCGTAGTGCCCGTTGGCCGAGGCTAAAATCAACGGCGTAGTGCCATCCTGTATACAAATAAAAAATTACAGTTTCCTGTAATTGGACGTCAAAGTGACAGGAACAGACTACTTTGATGGATTGATGTTTTATTATGACAGGGCGCGGTTTTTTGCGCGTTTGTCATACGAGTTTATTTTTTCGGGAAATGTATTTTCTAAAGCAATTTACCTTATCTTTGGAGTCTACATGGACTTTCCCGCTGTCTAAAATTTTTCTTAATAACAGAGCGTCGCCGTGCAGCGCCGCCAAATGCAATTGAACGTCTGATAAAGATTCTTTCTAAAATAAAAATAATGCTTATAAAAATGTTAATTTCTATCATAAAGTTTATAAAGAAACTGTTATGTAACTTCCAAAATATATTCTAACCCAAAACAACCAACCCGCAATATTTTTTATTTCAACTAATTATCTCACCTTTAAAGACATATTTACACATTCACATTTCTCCTTGAAGACTAGAACTTATTACAATTTTTTCTCAATTCATTCTACTACCTATCCCCGAAACAATCTTATCCAATTTTATTTTAAATGTACGAATTATATCCTTCAATACACAAACTCTACACGAACACTGTGCGATAACAATTCGATATTTAGCACAAGAAGAGACGTGAGAGAAATTTCCTCACGGATTTTTCATTTGATTTGTGCGAGTTATCTGGGCGAAATGCGAATGAGTTTAACGAGAAATGAGGACAGCATTGTCGGTATTTCGCGCTGTAGCGGAACAAAATCGCAAAGTGAATGTCGAAATGCATCCGTGCGTCTTTCGTACGCATTTTATCGAACTGTGAAAGTCTCCGCTTTACTCCATCATCCGCTATTCGTTCTGCATGCGCTATTTTAGTATTTTCACGCAGAAGCATGCGCTCGGCCCGCCGAACGAAAATAAATTCGAGGAGTTATCGTTGTTCGGCTAGTTTTAACCAGAATTTATATTTATTAACATTTAAATTTATTGATTTTATATAAAAAAGCGACGTCGGTTGCTAATTAGAGAAATAGTAACAGGCCAACGAAACAGTAGTTACGGTTGACAGTTGACAGTGATATCATACGTCATCTCGACCAATCAAGTCTTGCCGACTGGAAAATAAAATACAGGGAATCTAACCTCTTTGGCCGTCCGAAAAATATCGAAATTGAAGTGTGTGCGTGTCATGATTTCGTTCGGTGGTTGATGGTTGTCAAAAATGGTCCAAGCCGGTTCGAAAAAAGCGTCGATATCCAAAATAAACACCAAAGCCGGAATCAGCAGTCTGATCATATTCGTCGTCCTTCTTTTAGCATGGATCGCCGGGTTTTCTTCTCGTCTGTTCGCCGTCATCCGGTTCGAAAGTATCATTCACGAATTCGATCCATGGTCTGTATTTTTCTAGCTCGCCTCGCGCGATCCGGGAATTAATCGGGACATTCTTTCAGGTTCAATTACCGAGCCACGGCTTACATGGTGAAACATGGGTTCTATAATTTCTTGAATTGGTTCGACGAGCGAGCGTGGTATCCTTTGGGAAGGATCGTAGGGGGTACCGTGTACCCCGGCTTGATGCTCACTTCGGGCAGTATTCATTACGTTTTGCATCTGTTGCATATTAACGTTCATATACGCGATATTTGCGTATTTTTGGCTCCTGTATTCAGGTAAATAATTCTATATATTCACCTATAATAGTGCAAGTTGTGCATATTTAATCACTGATAACGTGTAATCAGCGCAAACTCTCGAGTATTATCTCTGATATTCGAACCGTTTTGGTTTTGTGCAGATTTATCTCTAATCATATTGATTACTCAATTGGTGTATTTTTCGATAACGTTTATTCAATCGTATATATATTTTTAGTGGATTAACATCGATATCTACTTACTTGTTAACGAAGGAATTATGGTCAGCGGGAGCCGGCTTGTTCGCGGCCTGTTTCATCGCCATTGTGCCTGGTTACATAAGCCGATCGGTGGCGGGTAGTTACGACAATGAAGGAATCGCCATTTTTGCCTTACAATTCACCTACTACCTATGGATCAAATCGGTGAAAACCGGCTCCGTGTTTTGGGCGGTAGCCGCCTCGTTGTCCTACTTTTACATGGTACAACAGCCCATCTAAGGCTCGAGCCGACACCACTTAATATTTGCATTCGTAGGTGTCCGCATGGGGAGGCTACGTGTTCATCATAAACCTGATACCGCTCCACGTGTTTGTGCTGCTGCTGATGGGCAGATACTCCAACAGGCTGTTCACCAGTTACACGACTTTCTACATACTCGGTTTGATTTTCTCGATGCAGATCCCGTTCGTCGGGTTCCAGCCGATTCGAACCAGCGAACACATGGCCGCCGGAGGTAGGCTTCAATCGATTCAACTTGGTAAAACGGTAATCTAATTGCGCTATTTTTGCAGGTGTATTCGCTCTGATGTTCGCCGTCGGCGTGTTGAAATATCTCCAATCGATGCTCTCCAAAACGGAATTCAAATCGCTGGTCGTGTTCGGGGGGTTGATAGCCGCTGGGGTGGTTTTCCTCGCCGTGGTTTTGCTCACTTACGCCGGCTATGTAGCTCCTTGGAGCGGAAGGTGAGAGGTTTATTACAGTGCGGTGCAGAGGTTTAATGGTCTTATTAAACGATTACAAATGTACAGTACATGTGCCAAGAGTAGCTCTACTTTTTGAGGTATCGAAGGTAGGAGAAAAGGCCTTGCTGGTAGCTTATAATGGCTTCTTAAAGAAGTTCTTGCAGTGCAAAATAGGGTATCTGTATCTCAAAAACTAGAGCTGCTTTGTAGATTTGAAGACAGCGATATAAACTTGTATTTTATCATCTAGATTCTACTCTCTGTGGGATACCGGATACGCCAAGATACACATACCGATCATAGCTTCGGTATCGGAACACCAGCCCACCACTTGGTTCTCGTTCTTCTTCGATTTGCACATCTTGGTGGCCACGTTTCCCGCCGGATTGTGGTACACCATTAAGAACATCAACGACGAGCGAGTGTTCGGTACGTTTCAGTTCGTACTTCGTCGAAGTCCTCGACGGTCCATTCGATCTCTAACCGTTGTGAATGATTTTAGTGGTGTTGTACGCATTGAGCGCCGTCTATTTCGCCGGCGTAATGGTCCGTCTGATGCTCACCCTGACGCCGGTCGTGTGCATTTTGAGCGGCGTCGCCTTCTCCGGCCTGCTGGAGCTGTTCCTGCGCGAGGACGACAACAATCGCGTCGAAGACAGCGAGGAGGACGAGCAGAGCACGCCCAGCAAACGGTTATACGACAAAGTAACATCCCCAATCTCCCTTGTGGAGCGCAAACATTTACTGTAATATTTTTTTGTAGGCCGGTAAGGTGCCGAAAATGAAGCACGAACAGACGCGCGACACCGACAGCATAGGCCCGAACCTGAGGAGCATTGTGACCGTGGTGATTTTGTTGTTGCTCATGCTGTTTGCGGTGCATTGTACTTGGGTGACGAGCAACGCCTACTCGAGCCCGAGCATCGTGTTGGCCTCGTACGGCAGCGACGGCTCCCGGCAGATACTCGACGATTTCAGGGAGGCCTATTTCTGGCTGTCGCAAAACACCGCCGACTACGCCCGAGTAATGAGCTGGTAATTTCGATAAATTTATTGCCGCTAAAGCGTACTGTAATGTTGTTGTTTTAGGTGGGATTACGGATATCAGATAGCCGGTATGGCGAATCGAACGACTTTAGTGGATAATAACACGTGGAACAACAGCCACATAGCGTTGGTGGGTAAGGCTATGTCTTCGAACGAATCGGCCGCGTACGAAATCATGACGGCCTTGGACGTGGATTACGTTTTGGTGATATTCGGCGGGGTGATCGGTTACTCGGGCGACGACATCAACAAGTTCTTGTGGATGGTGAGGATCGCCGAAGGGGAACATCCGAAGGATATTAGAGTGAGTGGTTTGCACGGATTTCGATGGATTGTTTTTCTCTATGGTATGTTGTGTAGGAAAGCGATTATTTCACGGAGCACGGGGAGTTTCGGGTGGACGCGGAAGGTTCGCCGACGCTCTTGAATTGCTTGATGTACAAGTTGAGTTATTACCGTTTCGGCGAGTTGAAATTGGATTATAGAAGTCCGGCTGGATTCGATCGTACTAGAAACGCTGTTATAGGCAATAAGGATTTCCAATTGACGTATTTGGAGGAGGCCTACACTACGGAGCATTGGTTGGTGAGGGTTTACAGGTATGTTTTTAAATCTATACTATATGAAGCTTTTATTTAAAGTATGTTTTTTGCGGTAGGGTTAAAAAACCAGAAGAATTCAATCGTCCCAGGATTCCCGTAGCTAACAGGGTTGTAAAATCCAGTAAATATATTTCAAAAAAGGTATTAATTAATAAATTTACTAACACGTTGCAAAGTGTCGAGTAATAAATAAATGCGAATATTTTTCCTCCCAGAATACCAAGCGCAAAAAGGGTGTCATAAAGAACAGGCCACAAATTGTGAAAGGAAAGAGACTGTCTTCACAGAAGTTGAAGTAAAACCTTAATAATTAGTTGTATAGTTTAAATGATTTTTTTTTGTTAAATGGTTATTGTTTTACTTTTTTTTTCTAAAAAAACGAACTTTTCCCAATTCAATTTTAAACCAATAAGATATATTCACGATTTACAATGTTTTCAAAATGAAATATATATTATATATGTTCGTTCACAATGTGATGTCAAAACGGTAAATACAAATAAAAAAAATACGTCGACTTGTTTATCTTCGCAATTAATGATTTTCCTTTAAATTAATCTTGAAACCTATCCAGGCGATCCTAAAAAATATTTACAAAGTTAGCTAGAGGACCAAGTGCATGAAATTGGCTGAATACCTAATTAGCCCATACCAGTAAATTCGTTATAAAGAGAAGATCAAATATGGCAACCCAATCCATGTGCTAATTTCCTAACCTCAACAAATGTCAATAATAGAACAATTTTATCATTATGGGGAAGTTTAGGAGTACATTAAAAGGCAGGACGAAAGGAAAACGATGGCCGAAAGGCCAAAGTTCCAGTTCCAACCCGGAGACGAAGAGATACCGGGACATAGCGAAATCTCGCTTCTTCCAGGAAAACTTAGGTTAGTTAAATTTTTTTCACTAATTTTTATAAAACTAATTCCCCACATCGTAGGACCCAGCAATTTAACATCCGATGCGCTCAAACAACACGATGCCGTACAATCGTTTATACCGAAATCTCGAGAAACCAGCAAAATGGAGGAGGATACGGAATCTTCGGTTGGAACACAATCTTCGTATATTACAATGAAATCTTTCGCTTCGGAATGGTCGGATTGCAGTAACATGTCTTATAATAGATTTTTGAACGTCTTCCGTTCGGATTCGGCTTTACATAAGGAAATGCTGGCTATTTTGGCTGCTATTACGGAGGTTATCAAAGATAACGGTGGATCTGAAACGTCTACTGAATACTTTTGTGCTCTAGTACGTATTATTTATAATGTATAATTGTATGTATTAAGATGTATTAATTTTGTAGATGACGACATTGGAAGAAGTTTATAATGCCGAAGAGAAAAACGAAGATCAAGTTACAGCTGTATTGGCTCTATTAAATATGGGCATTAAAACGGTTCCGGAAGCGGTTTTGAAGAAAAAATTCGACGATATCGCTTTGAAAATGTTACACATCCTTAGCGAATACGCCAATTCCGAAAACAACACGATAATCAAATCGATTTTCGGCATTTTAGGCTCGATTTTGAGAATACAAGAGCTGCCGATGTGGACCAACGAATCGACCATTCAGATTTTCAAAGCCATTCTAAATCCGTTTTGCACGCACACCAAACCAAAGGTGAGCATTTACTGCGTTATAACAATTTCATTTGATATTAATCCCTTTATTCGTAGTGGCGTAAAGCTGCTCAGCACGCGGTAACGCTCGTTGTAACAACGGGATCTTTTATCAAAGAAAACGGTCCTAACCCAGCGGCCGATCGAGCCGCGGAGTATTGCGAACAAACGCTGGATTCCTGCATGGGTGGAGCCCACGGAGCCGTCCTAGTCTCCTCCGTACAATCCCGACAAACCACCATACTGCACGTGCTCGGCCTAGTCAAAGACATCATAACGAAATACTCGAAAACTCATTTGAAAGTAAGCATCGGTCGTTGCATCGATTCGCGAAATACTAGTTAGTGTTGCAGGTTACTTGCGAAATTTTGCTGAAACTGATGACCCTGAACTATCCGATAGTAACAGCCTGCTGTATGCAAGCCCTGCACGCCGCCTTCTCGGCCCAAACCGCGGTAGTACCGGCCAAACTCAACGCCCAATTAATTACCGCCCTCTACGATTACCAACCGCCCGTTACCGACGTCCAACCCACCCAAGCCTGGGTGGCTGTCATGCAGCAGGCCCACGTTCATCTATCAGAGTAAGCGCTACTACTACTCGTAGCAATCGCTAACTATAAAATAACTATCGTTTTAGCGTCGACGTATCGTTAGCGATGGCCGCGTTGCCGAAAATATTCGACCACCTGACGCAATTGTGGCTGTCGGAGAAGGTCGAGGTGATGACGGCGACCACGCACAGCTTGGTGGTGTTGATAAAGGACGCGCTGGTGAACGCTTGCGGCTCGAAGGAGTCGGTCGAACGGCACAAATCGAAGATCGAGCATTGCGTGAATTGCGTGAGACAGGGCTTGGGTTATCAGTACAACGCCAGTTGGCACCAGGTGCTGCACGTCGTCACGGCGCTGTTCGAGACGACGGGGGCCCATTGCGGCGATTTGCTGTTGGAGCTGTTGAAAGGCTTGGCGGAGCTTCGGGATTCTTATAAGTTTAGTTATAACAACGAATTGGAGCACGCGGTCGGCGCCGCTGTGAGATCCATGGGGCCCGAGGTTGTTCTACGAGTGATATCTCTGAAGGTAGTAATTTTCTAATGTTTGCTATGTTCTGTTAATGGTGGTTTTATTTTTAGAAACCGAACGGTGATTTGAACATCGATCGTTCTTGGCTTCTACCTGTGCTCAAAGAAAACATCAAGTTCTCTACGTTGGATTATTTCGTTAACGGTATATTACCTATAGCGTTGTTTTGCCATCGGCGATCGTCGCAATTGGCCCAAAACAACGACGGTATCGGAGCTCACAGTTCGGAGTTGCTCTATTTGCAATTGTGGAATCTTTTGCCGTGTTTCTGCAACCATCCCACGGATATTAAAGATAATTTTAAGGTGGTTACGGCGAATTTTACTTGCGTACTTTTAGTACTAATCGCTTCTTGTTTGTAGACTATTGCTAAAATTATGGGAACTGCCATTTCCGATAAAAAAGAACTCCGTTTAGCCGTAATGGCTGCGTTAAGGAAGCTGATAGCGAGCGCTAAGGAATCGAACAACGAGGACGATCTCCGTGAATTGAGCAGATTCGATAAAAATTACTTACCGATATTGTTTAACGTTTATACGACTAAACCGATCGGTACCGACGAAGAGGGCCAACGATTAGCCGCTTTGGACACCATAAAAGTACATTCGTTTGATAACTCTTAACAATTTTTTTAACATACATCCATTATAGGTTTACTTATCTATAGCGAGGCCGGAACTCAATCAACAGCTGTTCAACAACGCCATGGAGCGATTAAACAGCAACTCCGACGAGCCCGAAGACCACTTCATCAAAGAATCCATCTTGGATTTAATTAGGGCTCTAGTGCCCTATCAGAACGCCGACAACGTCGATCAACTTTACCAGCAATGCGTGAAAAATCTTCCGCAAATTAAAAACAACAAAGAACAGAAGAAGGCTTACAGATTATTAGAAGAAATATGCAGCAGCGACACCGAAGGATGCAAGCACTTTATTCGAAACAACAGAAAAGAGGTGTATAATTCATCGAACGCTAATATTTTCGTTTTGTGTTAACGCTTTATCGTTATTATAGATTCAACGATTGCTAACGGCCTCGTTGAATTCCGCCGCGGTGTCCAGCAAAGGGGCCAGATTGCGGTGCTTCAATTACCTGATCAAGGCGCAGCCGCAGCTCGATCACGATTCGAAGCTGATCAAATCGACGATACCCGAAGCGATCGTGTGTTGCAAAGACATCAACGAAAAGTGCCGGGCCACCGCTTACGAATTACTCAACACCATCGGCAATACGTTGTTGGATCACGATAAGATGCAGGAGTTTCTCGCGTTGATAATAGCCGGTTTGGCCGGTACGCCGCAACTCGTCAGTTGTACCGCCTTGGCTTTGGCTTCGGTTTTGCATAATTTTTCAGGTTCGTAAGAGAATGCTTGAGTAGATTATAATGTGTAATGTATATCTGTTATTTTAGGTACTTTGGGTATGGATAATATAAAAATTGTATTGAGTAACATTTGCACTTTACTGTCGTCGCCTACGAGGGAAATAGTCGCTTCGTGTCTCAGTTTTATTAAAGTTTACATAGTTTGTTTGCCTAGTCCAATGGTAGCTGCTTCTTTGCAGACTTTGGTAAATTCTAATTCACAATATTTATTTTCGAAATACTTATTACTCATTTTTTAGATGAAAAGTTTGTGTAGCATGACGGAGGATTGCAAGAGGCATTTCCGATTGAAAACCAGAGATATATTAGATAGATTAGTGAGAAAATACGGCTGTGAATCCCTCACACCCTTCGTACCGCAAGAAGATACCGTCATGTACAAACGGTTGAGGAACTTGAGGAAATTGAACACGAGGAAGAAGCGAAGGAAGGAAGACACCGCGAACGACGAAGACAGCGACGAAGAATTCAGCGTCAAAGCGAAACCGAAGAGGTAATTAATTACCTTAATAACAGCATAATCGTTTATTACCGTTTGTTTGTAGCGTCGAAGAAATTTTGGCCGATTCCGATTCGGAATTCGAAGACATGGAGACCGATCAACAACCGAAAGTAAAGAGCAAGAAAGAACCGAAAACTTGGATCGAAGAAGATCCCGAGAGCATCGTAGATTTCACCGATCCGTCGGTGATTCGCAAAATATCGGCCACAAGACCGAACGAGAAACAGCAAACCGTCGTCGAGAAGAAGAAAAGCGACAGGGATCGCGGATTCAAAACGGCGCCCGACGGCCGATTGATCATCAAAGACGACTCGTCGTCGGACGAGGAATCCGATAAAAAGATCCGATTCGAGGCGAACTCCGACGACAGCGACGACGATTCCCAAAGCAAAGCGGAGACGATGCTGTTGACCGATAGGAAACGCAAGCGCGGCAACGCGAGCGTCAAAAGCGGCTTCAGCAGCGCCAGTTTCCAACCGCCGCCCATGAAGTACAAGACCGGCGGTGTGGGTATTCACAGGTATATAAAATTACGCCGCGAAATATTCGATTCGATACGATTTGGTTAACTTTTTCAGACCGACAACCAGCGGTTCGTCTTCGGTGAAAAGCGGCAATGACAATCCGGGCTCGGAATACAAATCGAAGAAAGCGTCCGGCGATATCAAGAAGAAAGGCAAAGTGGATCCTTACGCTTACTTGCCTCTGAAACGGACGGCGTTAAATAAAAGGTACGTGCGAATTGACAATGGGTGAAATTTATTGTAATTCTATTATTAAATTTTAGGAAAAAGAGCAAAGCCGCGGGACAGTTCAAACACATCGTGAAGGCCGCTAAAATGGGTGCTCTGAAAGGGGCCAAGGCGAAAAATAGAAAATAAATATTTGTTATTACGCTTGAATTATTAATAAAAACTAGTTTTTAAAAACAAGATTTTGTTTTCTGTAGACTACAAAAATTCCTAATAAATAATATTTAAAATGTTTACTTACACTTTACTCCAACAAATACATGTAGACACTCAAAAGGAACGTCCACAATTTCAAATAATTAAACTTACAGATGAACCCCTTTAAGAATTGAGAAGCATATTTCTAAAATCCGCGTTGCTCTTTTTAACTTTCGCCGGCGAATCATCGTTTTGCGTCGGTTTTTCCGAAATATTTTTGATTTGAACCGTCCTCGGAACCATCAGAGGTACTTGCAATCTGCTCCTCGAATGCCTGATGGGCTCCAGGGTCTCATCGGGCTTCTTTTGCGACGGCTTCGGAGGATCGCTGATGGCCACAAACAATTCGCAGTCGTCTATACGCGTCGAATTTAGCGCTTCCAACGCCCTGCGAGCCTCTTCTTTGGTCTCGAATTCGACGTAAGCTATACCTTTCGACTGGCCGTTCTTTTTGAAAATCAACCGAACTTCTACCGGATTGAATTTCTTGAAAATTTCTTCAACGTCCTCCTTCGTTTTCGTCACGGGAAGGCCTTTGACGAAGAGTTTATTTTCTTCGGTGTTTGTGGAGTATTTGAACTCTTTCTTGGTCTCCAATTTATCGGATTTCAGTTCAGATATAAAGACAGGTCGACCGTCTATTGGAGTTCTGTCTCGTGCTAAGGCTGTTAGAGCTTCTTCTTCTTTGGAAAAATGGATGTACCCGAAGCACCTGGATTTTCCCTTTTTATCAACCACCAAGCTTACTAGTAAAGCGTTCGGGAAGAGCTGTTTTAGTTGCGGCTCCGTCACCTTGGGATGCAAGTTGCTTACGAACACTGTACATTTAGGGTCTTTTTCGATGGGTTTATTGACAACAACGGGCGCTTTCTCTTTTTCTACTCTCGGTTTCTTGAAGGTAGGAGTACCGTTAGAATTAAACTCGCCGTTGGTAGTTTCGTGTTTCCTTTTGAAATTTCCACTTCTATGCCCCGTATCACTTTCTGTAGCCACTTGAGAGCCTCGAGGGATCTTTTTGAGCTGCTCCGAACATTTCATAACGTCTTCTAAAGAACCAATTTGGCGTTCAAACAACATCCACTCTTCTCCTATAAAATGGGCCCAATCCTTGCAGGCAGACAGCGCTCTTTTAAAAACACTTCTAGCCTTGTGAATTTCGCCGTATTGCCTTTCGATATTGGTAAATTCCAACCAAGCATTAGGGGAAGCTGAAAATAAATACACACATAAATTGCGAATCTAATCCTTAAAGTAAACTCACCTTTCATGTTGGGATCGCTCAAAATATCACTCCAAATCTTCCGGGCTTCTGCTAGGTCTCCTCTGCTAGCCAATAATCGTGCATACCATCTGCTCAATTTCCACGAAGGATCTACAGTTTGTACATGCTCTAAAGCTTTAGAGAATAATTTATCTACTTTCGGTTGATCGCGGCAATTCCTGCAATAATACTCCAAGAAAGAGCACCAGAATTCCAACGGCGGCGACGGGTTTATACTCGTCAAACCTACCATTAAAACAAACATTACATGATAAATATTATAGAAATAATGCTTAAGTTACCTTCTTCGAAGCACGATACTATTTCCGCCTCGTCTGCCTTATAATTCTCTAAAATTTGTAATCGAATGATCCACAAGTCTTCACTCCAAGGGCAGTTCCGCAGGGCCTTCTTCGACACCCTCAAAGCGACCTCCTCCATTTTAAAAGCGACTTTAATATAATCCTCCCATATGCTCGGAGTGAGGCACAACGAGACTACAGCTCGTTCGTACAAACAAATCACAGTCGAAGGGTCCTTAACAGCTTTTATATACTCCTTGTAAACGTTCTGCAATTCCACCGCATCTGCGGACGATAATTCATCTAATCTATCTTCGAACGGCTTGTATGTTTCGAGTAATTGCAACGCCTTTTTGTAGCCCCATTCGATTTGCTCGGGATCGATCAGGTTATCGGGTAACGTTTGCGACCACTCGCGCCATTCCTCGTAGGTGTTCTCCATGTTCAACAAGGGAACGGAGAGTTGCCGTTTGAACACCTCCGCTACTCTTTTCAATTGATTTGCCCATTCTACGGAGTCTTTTGGATGGAGGGAAGCGTGTGCATTTTCCACTTCTCGTAGGGTGTCCCAGAGAAGCCCGCCCTTGCTTGCGTGTAACCCACCGTACGTTAGACCCTTCTCGATGATGCTCCGAGTGGTTTCCAAGTCGCCGAGCGTGAGGGAGAATTGCGCGTATTCAATCCATAAATCAACGCCTACGGGATAAATATGTTATTTATTAGTTCACGAAGCTTGTAATATAAGTATACTCAACAAAGATAATCTTCAACTGCTTCTTCGAACAAGCTTAGGACGGTTCGGCGCTCTTCTGGTGTGTGGGCTATTCGGATTTCGTCCCGAATCCAATCCAGCCATAACTGAGGGGTCAACGGGAAGTATTTGTGGAAGCGTTGATAAGCCTCTCGTAGGGAATTCAAATCAGACAGTTTTCTGTACACGTTTATAACTTCGATGTGCACATCGTATAGGTACTTATTGGCTGATAATTCGCTTTCTAATTCGCTCGACTTCTTCACGAGTTGCTGGAATATCGGTTAAGTTAGAAACGTGAATAAATTTAATAGTTATATACGATACCGATTCGATGTCGTCGTCTTCTTCGTTCGAGGAATCGGACAAACTACAGGTATCTTCTTCCATTAAACTCATTGTTTACTTTGTGCAGTTAGAATTACAAAATTAAAGCGGTTTATAAAGAATTTCCAACAATATACGAAAAATAACACACACATTGAAATTTTGTTCGTATAGTTTGCACTTTTGACATTATTGACAGCTATGCTATAGCACTCTTATTTTCTAAATACATGGGTGAGACAAGGATAGCAATACAAATTTTACAAATGTCAATCGGGGTATATTATTCACACTAACTACTAGATATGCAACGCACATTACATTTAACCTCAATTATTAAAAAAGAAGAATAAGTTGGGTTACTTTAGTTAAAGAAATGTTTTTATAGTTTCAAAAATAAGCTTTCTCTGTATATTTTTCGAAAATACGACAAACTACAATAGCAATGACCGAAAAATCCGCTATGTCCTTACCTCAGAAACGCTATTACAGGCAAAGGGCTCATTCGAATCCAATAGCAGACCACTGTTTCGAATAGTAAGTGATCGTTTGTATAAAATAAACAGTAAAATAATAATACTTCTATTATCTAGCCCGCAAACACCAGATCTAATGGATTGGTCAACATTTTATCCGGATAAATTTAAACAATCGGAGGATACTGTTAACAAACCGCTGGTGGAATTTGCAGACATCGGTTGCGGTTACGGAGGTTTATTAATAACACTCTCCCCTATGTTCCCACAAACGCTAATGATCGGAATGGAAATAAGAGTGAAAGTATCGGATTACGTGATGGATAGAATATCCGCTTTAAGGTCCCAGCATCCCGAGGAATACCAAAACATAGCCTGCTTGAGAACAAACGCGATGAAGTACCTACCTAACTTCTTCAAAAAAGGCCAAGTAAGTTAGTATAGACGATCGGAACTCATCGATACTAAACGAACGATTTTAGCTGAAAAAAATGTTTTTCCTCTACCCCGATCCTCATTTCAAGAAAGCCAAACACAAATGGAGAATCATCAATAGGAGTCTTCTAGCCGAGTACGCTTACGTGCTAGCCATAGGGGGAATTGTTTACACCGTAACAGACGTGAAGGATTTGCACGATTGGATGGTGCAACATTTTACAGACCACCCCTTATTTCAACGCATATCTGAAAAAGAATTGGTAATAATATTACACTCTAATAACCTTACAATATGTTATTTATGATATCTCGTAGGAAGAGGACCCGGTGGTAGATAAACTATACAGCAGCACAGAAGAAGGCCAGAAAGTAACCAGAAACAACGGCGACAAATTCTTAGCGGTATTCAAAAGAATCGCCGACCTCACCCAAATTGTTAACCAGTAACAATAAACGTATACATTTTATTAAACGATTTTGTGCGAGGGACATTTACAATCCGCCACTGTGCAGATGTCGCTCAAGTGCTCCATGGCGTGCTTGATGGCGTTTTCGTCTTTAATTTGCTCCTCTAGCGGCGTCAAATGGAATATCCCATCGACGGTGTCTCGAATGAACGTTTTGAACGTATCGGCCAGTACAGGAGCGGCGGGCCTCGTGAAGTACACGGCCTTCTCGCGGCGCCACGGCATCTTCGCGACGCACCCGCACGATCCGGGACAATCGCAAACCTGGCCGCATCTGGTCTTTTTGATTTGAGTGTAGTAGGGCGGATAGTTCTCGAAGGTGGTCGATGCGATTTGCGGGAACGTACCGTTGAACACCACGTCCCTGCAACGAAATCGTTTCAAATTTTAGAATACAATCGGTTTGAGTGTTTACGAAATGACGTGTTCCATGACGTTCTCGATGGTATCGGCGTTGACGCTTTGACAGCGAGGTTCGTGTTTCGCGCTGAGGCATCTGTTTGTTTTATTGGGTCTGGGGGCTAGTAAACCGGGCAAATCGACTTTCATGGAGTCGGTCGAGTTGAATTTGAACACGTTGGTGGGATCGTACAGAAATATGTGCATGTCTTTCCTGTCTATAACGTGCACGTTCACCACTAGAGATACTTGGTAGTTCACGTGATCGGGGCATATCTAAACACGCAAATTTGTTTACATAATTTCAAGTTAAATCGGTTTGCGGGTAGATACCAATTCTTCGTCGTTTTTATCGCAGTCGTCGTACTTCACGGGATAGTCGGAGAACTCGAATTCCTCCTCTTTTCGCTTCATCAGATCCTCTTTGATGGCCTCGAATTTCTTTTCGATGTACATCAATTGCAGGTCCATGGCGGTGCAAGTGACCACGAACGAGGATAACAAGCTTTGATTGAACGATTCGATCACGATCGTCAGGGATTTGCTTTTGCCGGGACGTAGTATTCCGGTTTTTTCGCGCACTGTTATCTTGATGACGTCCTGGATATTAACCCTGGAAAATATTATTAATGTAAAAATCGGTTGTTATTCGATCACTCACTCGGTCCATTGGAAGTAAATCAGCCTGGTTTTGGAGCGGTTTTCGATGAAGATGACCCTTTCGCAGTAGTTCCACGTGGGTAGACACTTAACGTTCAATTGGTCCTTGGAGAATATCACGGGGAATTTCCTCGTCGTGGAGCCGGATTCGGGCATGTTGGTTTCGAAAAATTGGTGGATAATAGGCTGCAGCGAACCGTAACCTTCCACTAGGAGAGTGTGGGATTCGTTGTTGAAGCACAATTTTATGGTGGTCTAAAACGCTTAATAGGTAGGAATCGTTTCGTAACCAATCGAGCTGCATTTACCGCGTATTTGATCAACTCGATGGGCTGAAACCGAACCATCAAAGGCCACAAGCCCTTCGGCAACACCGTCGTGCCGTTGTAAAAAACCTCGAATATTTTGTATCTCTTCAGATCGTTCAATTTATGCACTTCCGACAGATCCACGCAAATCGGCCCGGCTATGTTCGAGTTGTTGTAGAACCAAAACATTTGCGCCGGAGGATTCGACGCCGATAGCACACCTTTAACGATACTGATGTGTTAAAATATCGGGAGTTTTGCTGCAATCTTACCCCCGTACATCTTCAATAACAAGTCGTTTTTGTACAAGCTAATCCTGCTCGAACCGGCCGGTATTCCGAAGAAACTGAAATACAAAACCAACGTCCTGGATGGTCTGATAACCACTTCGTACGCCATTATGTTCACGAACGGCAGGTCGTAACACACGTCTATAGTTATCATTTGACTGGATCGTTTCTAAATAGAACATTTATTAAGGAGAATTCGAGGTGGGCGATAGGTTTGCGATAGGTACCTCTATCCGAGTTTGGGTCATTTCGATCAGCAGCGTCCTCCTGTGGGCGCAATCCAAGATGTACTCGACGCGATATTTGGAGGGCTTGGGCTTGTAGCCGCAATTGCACAATTTCAGCTTCTTCAGCGTCACCTCCGTGTCCAAATCGGACTCGTTTTCGAGCAGGATCGTCACGTAATGTCGGCTGCCTACGGGGCAATCGGGCAAAGTGATTTCCAGGGCTTCGATGTGATCGGGAAACATGTTATCTAGTAGCGTATTTATGCTGTAAACAACGCGATAGGTGGAGGTTTTGCACGAGTTTTCCCGTAACTTACATATCGGCTTTGAAGAAATTCCAGAAATGGCGTTTCGAAAAGAGCGGACCGAAGTCGTGCTCGACGATTTCTGATACCTACGATTGATGTTATTAGAACGAGTTATGTACTTTGATAATTGTAGTTACTTTGAGGAAAGACATTTCGCATCTGTATATAAACTCCACGAGTTTTATTGATCGGGGGTCTACCAGTTCGGAGTCTTCCCCCATGCGATTGAAATAGTCGATGGACACGTAATTTTTACCAAACATTCTGCATTCGAACTTTACGTTTATCTTCATGCTAGCGTTGGGCTCCAGCTGAATTTCGTGGTTCCGATTTTAAGAAATTAGTTTTATACTCCGTTCGCCATCAGGAGATAGTAGTAAAACGAGAAAAAAATCATAAATTTCTCCAACTTCAAGACTTTCACTATTGAGTAATAGTAATGTTTATTTTACTATAGCAGTTCCACTCTGAGAGTTCTAATCCCAGATACAGTGACCTGAACACAGTTTTGTTGGATTTACTGCATCAAGAAGGCCCTACTACCATCTCCCGATAGCGAACGGAGTATAGTTAGAGATGACGGTCCATCTCACCTGGCCTTTGTGGGGCTCCAACGAGATCTCGTCCCTGCTGCAGGACACGAACAGATAGAAATAAACCACCGACACGCCGAAGTTGCGGATGTAGAACGACGTCTCGATGGGTGTACCGTACTCGATTAGATCGAAAACGTCCGTCAGAGGGGTGGCCTTAGGAGGAAAACATCCCGAACGAACGTATATAAACGATTAGGTAGAATACTTACGCTCAATTGCGAGTACTCGGTGCTGGTGTACACGGTGAAGGCGTGCTCGAAATTCGGTCCGACGAGTTCGGCGAGATCTTGGTAGATGAACAGGTGGAGGAGGACGTTGGTGGCGCGCGGGGCGCACTGGCTGGCTCGGAATATTACAGTGATGGGTATTTTACCGTGCATTTCGAGCTTCCCTTCGGCCGGTTCGACGGTTATGTAATGTCCCTCGGGTTGGAGGAATTTGAAGCTAAAATTCGACTTTCAAGAAAATTCTCTCTGCATGTACACGCTTACCTTAAGTTGTAGTTGCAGGTGTTGTACATGAAAACGGTTTGTTTAGTCACGGTGTTCACTTGTACGGACTGGAAACTGACCACGTTGTCATCGGCGATGCTGATAGAGGGTAAATGCGAGGCGGCGGTGACCCTAAACCTGATGGTTTTCTCGTTTTGTCCGTTCAAAACCACCTGCCACAATTCGTCGACGGGCCTGCCACGCTTCAGGTTCTTTATGTACGCCAAAACGACCACGAAATCCGATATCATCCCGGCCATGGGCGTCATAACAACGTTGCTAAATCGCGAACGAGCAAATATACAATCGTTGTGTATCAATTATTCCCTTACCTCGAACAAGGCGGTAATAATTTGAACATAACCGGTCGAGAAATTTTATTGACCATCCTGAAGTTCTGGTAAATCGACTCGCCCGGTAAGGAAATCGCGAAACTCAATACGGTCGGAATGAATTCCAAATTCCCCAACGGCATTTGGCCTTCTTTGTACGAATGACCTGCGAATGAAATTTCACATCACCATATTCTTGGTGCTCGATTCATTTACCTTGTAAATTTATGGATACTGTAAGAGGCACCACCGCTACTTCGGCGCTGTTCATCGCAAACAAATCCAGATTGTGGGGTTTCCAATAAACCTGCGCCGTCAGCATCCTGTTGTAGCAGGTCTCCGCGTACGTGGGCTTGAACAGGCATTTGAAAATCATGCTCTCACCGGCTCCCACCGTCGTTTTCTTCGGGTAAATACTGAACACTTTATCGTCTACAACAGCAACTCAGCAGAAATGATAAAATTAGATTGGGAATCAAACACCTTCGATCCAATGAACGGTGACTTCGCACTCCATGTTGTTCTTCAAGCTGAAATTCTTGCTCACAATGGTCGATTTATCATCGTACAATTCCTTCACGACGGCCCTGCCCAGCTCCAAGTAGTGCGCATTGAGCACGACGGGCCTCGCAACCTCGCTCTCCTCCAATTCGTCTCTAAAACAGCATTTGTAGCCGCTCTTGTGCTCGAAATGGAAGGGATAGTGGATGATGGACACGTCCATCGGATCCAACGGTTTCCTGCTGTACAATCCGACCACTTGGATCACTATGGGATGCTGGAAAATCCACCAAACTGTGTAAATCCACAACAGTAGCGAGAGTCTACCCACGGTTCCTTGCACCATGCACTTGACCTCCTGGGCGTAGGTGCCGAAAGCGCCCTCTGGCGGGTTGAAGTTGATCACCACGAAGGTGAGGGAGGCGCACACGCCGTTGAGGGGATGCACGGTGAAGAGCTTCTGCTTGGCGTCGACGTGCATGGAGAAGGGCGCCGGGACGCCGCGGCAGTTCTTGATTTCGATGACCTTCCTGCCGCTCTTGTGGCGCGGCTCCTGGAAGAAGGTGATTTGGGTGGTGGAGGCCGCTAGAGCGGGACCTGGAGGGAACGATTTGGGTGTTTGGGTGGTGTGTTATGGTGAATTGGGTACCTAGGGATTGTCCGCGCATGGAGATGGTGGCGGCGTAGTTGTCGGCGGTGAGCTGGAATTTTTCGTAGTTCATGATGTTGGGTATTTTGGGCTTGTAGCAGCATTTCAGGGTGAGTTTTGGGCCTTTGTGGTCGCCCTCTTTGGGCGTGATGGAGAATACGTCTTGGTTGGGTTTCGAAACGGGCGATCTTTTGATTTGAAATCGGTTCAATGCCTTGGAATTATTTACAAGTGGGTTAAATTGCACGAGATGATTGCTTGAATATACCTTATCGTCTAGATTTAATTCGATTTCTTTGCAACTTTTGGTCAGGAACGGGGTTTTACCGAAATTAACTTCGACGTGGTTTTCTTCGGTTTCCGGGACGTTTTGATCGACGTCTTGATTCGAGCTGGTGATCATTTTAACGTCGATAGAAAAATTTCACGCGTAAAAAATCCTTTTTGTCAACAACCTGTCAGCGGAACGAAATAACTCTTCTAATTTTTTAAGGGATTAATTAAGAACAAATACGTAGGCATTTTTAATACAAGCAAAAAACAACAAAAACACACAATTAAATTTAATGAGGTAGATAACAATGATAAACTTAATCTAAAATCCAACTAAAAATAAATAAAGAATCTTAGGATACAGCAGCATAAAAAAATGGTTGTCGAGAATAAAAGGGTAAAAGAAATTGAGTAATTCGCGTAAAACTATCTGCTACACCCTGCATAATTTTTTCGCAACTTTTTTGGAAATCTCAAAAAGATCACAGAATTGATTTTTGTACTAAACATTACCAGAGACGCAAATCTCTAATTAAAAAAAATAATACCAGAAAACGAGCGTTTAAAGTAAAATGGTAACCAGCGCATTTACACGTACAAGACGTTGAAACACCCCGTACAAATAAATTCGTCGAACGCCTCGTCTTCGAGGAAGGAAAGTGCCGGTGAACGTTTTACAAATATCCTACTAATACTGACATTAAACATACTGATAAAATAAACCCCGGCCGGGCGCCGGAGTCGGTGGAGAAATCCGCGGATCCTTCGTCTGTAGCGTTAGCTGTCGCTTCGGTAGCGGCCCGCACGCAAACGTTATCCGCGTACAAATCGCTGGAATTCGACCGATCGCACGTCGATCTCAAGCAGACGCTCGCGTTCCTGGCGTCGAAAAACTCGCACAAACCGCCGAGGAAATCGCAATCCCAGCCGTTCCCGTACACGACGATCTCCTCGACGCCGGGCAGATTCCTCGCCAGCAACTCGTAGTCGATGGTCCTCAAGTCGTTGTTGCTCACGTCGAGCAAAAGCAGCGAGTTGTTCGTTGGGTATTTGAAGCCGAAATCGACGGTTTCCAGCGAATTGTTGTTCAACCAGAGGTACCTCAAGTTCTCCAAGCTGCCGAAGTAATCGAAGTAGTTGATCGATTCGAAGCGGTTGTTGATCAAATCGAGGACTTCGAGGCGGTTGAGGCCGATCAGGCCGTACGGTTTGATCGTCGATAGGACGTTGTCGCTCAAATGGAGCGATTTGAGATTTTTCAGGCCGTTGAACGAACTGGTTTGGATTTCGGTCAAATTGTTGAACCTCAGATGCAAATCAACTAGACTAGTTAACTGTTTAAAATTGTATTGTATTAGATAGTTGATGCTGTTGTGGCTGATGTACAAAAAGTTCAAGTTGACTAGGTGATTGAAGGCGTTCGGGTGGATGTTTACGAGTTTATTGTGCTCCACGTATAATACTTTTAGATTGATTAGATGCTTGAAGACATTCTCTTCTAATTTATCCAGATTGTTGTAGTTCAAATAGAGGTATTTCAAATTCGCGAGGCCAGCGAACGCCTCGGAATTGATGTACACGATACCGTTGTAGTTCAAATTCAGCAAGTCCAGCCGCTCGACGCCCGAAAACAGATTGTTCGCCAAGATCTTCACGTAGTTCTTGCTCAGATCGAGCTGCGTCAGCCGCCCGACGCCGTCGAAGCACATCGCCTCGAGCGTCTGCAGCGCGTTGTCGCGCAGCACCAGCGCCTTGAGCAGCGGGAAGCCGCGGAAGGCGGCGCGCCGCAGCACGCGCACCCCGCACCGCGCCAGCTCCACCACGGTGACGTTGTTCCTGGCCGGGAAGCCGAAGGTGGCCTCGTCGAGCACGTCGAGGGCGCAGTCCTCGCACTTGAACCAGTGCGTGCGATTCAGCGGCGCCGCGAACACGTGGAAGAAGTTCATGTTGGCGGCGGTGCAGGTCAGCTGCTGGCCCCGCAGGACGCTCTGGTGGAACCTGCAGGTGGGGTGCAACCGGTCCGGTCCGCCCGACAGCCCCGCCACCAGCGATAGCACTATCGGTAGCCATTTCGCCATCTTCTCTGCAATCAAACCATGCACTAAGTGACGTCAGTGTATGTTTAGTTGCCTATAGTCAGGTGTATTTAAAAATTTACTATACAAACATACGATTATTTTTGACCCCGAATCTTCAACAATATTAATTATTTACTAAACTATAAGTACACTTCAACGAAACGACATTGATGACCTTAATAGAAAAAATTCACTAATGATAAATAATCGGCGTAAACATCAATTCACAACAACAAACTCGTTGAAACAATAAACGATTTACGTTATTAACGAGAGAGTATATACAAAAAAATTTCACTCACCTTCTTCTCAACGTCTTCTCGTTAATTTTCACCGCGTCGTTCGAAAACGATTCCGAAAAACTACATCGTTTGTATATTGCGCATCGCCCGCGAACAGTACCAGCACCAAGCACCAGTACCACTTCGAGATCGGCGCTCTCGTTTATACGAAATTTTCGCGCCGCCCGACGACGACCGAGCCACGGAAGACACTGAGGAACCGAAGAAACCGAAGAAAGAACATTTACCTTCTGATTTTTCTCTTCCTCTCGCCCGAGATCGCCGAGAGTTCGCTTCGGTTTCGGCTGTAGATTAATAAATCCAACCAAGGTCAACTCGCCATGGGAGCCGCTCCGATTCTCGCATGGGAATGGGAATCGAACATCTCGGCCGGTACTCGACGAACGAGAGGTACTCGCGTTATTTGTTTATTCGCAAAACTGTTACTTATTAAGTGATTGTTCACACAATCGATAGTATTGGAGCTGGGGGTTTGTAGCTCATCAACTGGAGAATCTCGCTTGAATTGTGCTAATGATTGAGCAAAGGGGAGTAGGATGGTTGTAATGTGGAACAGGTACTATCGTGGGCGCCCAACTCTGGTTTTGTGAGGAGTTATTGGCGATCTCTTCGGTCGACGAGGAGGAATTGGATTACGAAATCGAAGCGAGGCGGAAACGAGGGGGAAATGGTAATAGTAGACCGGCTGGTCGATTTCCGCCGCGCTGTTATTACTGTTTATAAAGGAATTATTGTGCGGAGCGCGTCGTTTCTAATTGGGATTTAATTTCAACGGGTTCTCGGGCGGTGGGTAGATGATTGAACACTCGCACTCGTTACACCTACGAGGGTGTTACGAAATATCAACTTCGACAAATCGTTAATCAAATGGTAGTCGAATTTGAATAATTGGTTGATCGTATGAACCGGATTTGATACCTATTGATTAAATTTTGGCGAATATCTTATGCGTGCATCCTAATTGTTGGATTAAATGCGCGAAATTTGATCGATTGTATTGAAATCGAACTCGAATTCAATTGAAATGATTTTTTGTGTACACTATCATCGGTAGTACATTTTAAATGGTAATCACTAACAATGGCGTTACGATAAATTTATCCAATTATTCCAGCGTTCCCGTAACTCCTTCGCACAATTTACTAATTATTTCAAACTTTCGTCGATTTCGTTTACGAATTTTACTTACTATAATATCTCATTAGAAGTTAAATTTGAGTTGGAAATGTTTTGGTGTACGAATGTTACGCCACTGGCTAATACATTAAACAATGTTTTGCTATAATGTTAATAAAACTGACGGTTTCAAATTGACCAGTAAAATGTCGGTAGAGCGACACTGTGCAGCCGTCGTTTTTTTCTTTATTTTCAATTTACAATGGGCGAATCCTTCTGGAATAGGACCATGCCCAAGATTACACTCCGGCGAATCCAAGATTAATCTGACAAAGGTAAGCCTATCAAAATAAATTTGATAATTTATCAATTTTGAGCCAATTGGGCTATCCAAACTGTAAATTTTCTTCTTCTATTAGAGAAATCGATTTTGATTTGAGTGAAATATTTTTTAATTTAGTAATTAGACTTTAAAATGTAGATATTAGAATCGAATTTTGTACTATTCAAATGAAGCCGGCCGCTAACAAAACGTGTGTACTTGCCTATTTACCAATCGGTATGCAAATTTTTCAATTACCATTCAATGATAATCGAAATTTAATGAAACGCACATCGACCTTTCGTGAAAGTGACGATACTATAAAAAATAGATTAATTTAATCCGTCTCGCTCGAAAATTGAGATGTACTTTCTTCCAGCTGACCGGCCATTGGTTCGAAATCGAACGGTCCTTCTATCTCATGGAGCTGATCAGCAACTGCGTCACTTTGGAGCTCTCGGAGACGGTCAAAGGCCGGCTGGACGTCGCCGTGAGCACCAGGAGTTCCTGGTAAGCTCTATCGCGTAGCCTCGAAGCGGCGATTACCTTTAATTTTGCTGCAGGACGGGCACGTTCTCCATCAGCGAAGGCACCGCCGTGCCCACCAGAAGGGACCCCAACATGTACCTGTACCGCATCAACACCAGATTGCCCAGGATCATCAACAGATACCTGCCCGGCTCCGGATTCTACCAGGTCCTCAAGACGGACTACTCCAACTACGCCATCATCTATTCCTGCTCTAACTACCAACTCATTCACTTGGGTAAAGTACATTGTGTTGATATTATGCGTAGTTATAGTGGATGTGCCGGTTGAGGCGGTAGTCTGTAATTTAGGTGGGTGGATAATGTAATTATTCGGTTTAGGAAAGAGAGATTAACGACCTTTTAAAGGTACCTGCACGATGTAAATATCATTATCGTTTCTGAATGGAAAAAGGGTAATGCAGCCGGAGCGGAGAATTGATATAATGGGACGAACGTTGGAATTTTCAATTTAGTTTCGGGCCCGTCACGCTGAATTGGTTATTGATTCATTCGATCGTGACTCGATTCGTACGATATTCCTTTCGTAATTATTTAATATCACGAAAAATCCGAAGAATTCACGTCACTAAGTCTACAGCCAATCGCAGTGCTCGATTTTCTCTACCGGTCACTAAGAAAAAAAAGAGCTCTGTTTGAGTGGTGACGTCACGACTACTAGATTTTGTACTTACATATAGGTGGAGAAAATTGGTCATCCTCATCTGGATTAGGTTTAATGTTGTTGGGATAATTTACCAGGGATTTTTCAGATATGATTTGGATTTGGAGCCGCAAAAAGGAAATCGAGGCCTCGCTGAGATCGGAGCTGTACGCTTGGTTGACCAAAAACAACATGGATTCCGAAAGGCTCATACTGTCCAAGAACGACAACTGCACTGACAACGTACTTAGCGCATTAGATTATTATATTTAAAAATAAATTGTACAGGGATGTAATAAAATTCTTTCGTTTAAAATATCGCCTCCATGTTGCAACCTTTTAAAAGAATGACGTCGAAAAAGTAATTGCTGTCAACTGTCGATTTGGTGACTTTTTGTTGTTTTGTTTAGAAGCTAGAAAGATTCTTTAATAACTTACGTTATAATGATAAGTTATAATTTCCCATTTCTCCAATTTTCTTGAATCTGCTTAAGCCACCTCCACAAAATTTCCCCAATCACCGAAAAAATCGCTCTAATAACGCAGACGAACCTTCATTCAAACTCTCACCAGGTGGCGCCAGCCATCCCGTTTTTTCATCGCGTTTTTTGACAGCCAGATCTCACATTGCACTATGGCGTTGAGCCGACCAATCGGCTCCATCCACCGCGCCCACGTGACCATTAGGTCGGTTCACAGCCGTCGAATCGGGGACTCGCGTTGTTTATTTTAAGCTCGAAGCATTGCGAAGTCGGTGAATGTCGATTCGTATGGTCGACGTGCGAACGAGGAGTTGTTGGACTCCGGCCCGGTGAATCCGACAAATCGAGTTATCGAGAAGAGAAGTCACCAGGTACCGCGTCAGGTCGGTGTGTCGGCGAGTGCGTGCGTGCGATCCGCAGGTGCGAAATGACCCTCTTCGAGCGCTAGACCAGGAGGGCCGTCGACGAATCGAGTTAGCGAAAACAGAAAATGCTGGGTGTTCTGAAGCGCCGTTGGAAGCCCAAAAGGTAAGCGAGCGAGATGCTAAAAATAGTCGCGCACGGCAGCCTTGTTAGATCGAATGCGTGCACCCGGTGTGTTTACGATTTTCGTGCCCGATTCGCTCATCCAGGAAATGGATCTTTGCGCTAAACGGCTGACCCACATTCGCGGAAATTTAATTGAATTTCGCTAATTAACAGGGGCAAGGTAGGCAGACCACCGTTCGTCACCTGAGTGTCTTTGTTTATTGATCCGAGTCGGCCGTGCAACCCCATTCGCGATGCTCAGCTGTTCTACTGTTGCTTGATTTATCGATTTGCCATTCCTAACCCAACTTTATGCAATCCTTAATACGATATGCAATGTATGCAAAATTTCCACATTCATTCAAACGTTGCATTTCTATTTCATTAAACTATCAAAATCCTATTATTTGTCGAGACAAAATTATGGGTACTAATAGAGTAATCTATCTGTAAATTTAGAAAGCGCTAGAATATCCCCAAAACGTTTGACAGGTGAATGACATAAAACATAAAATTGTTACAATCTAGTAGGCACTATACTGTACCTACGTCATTGTGATATACATAAATCTGCTAGAATAAATAAAAAGTTTTCTAAAGTGATAAGAAAAAGATAAAGAAAAGTTTTCTAAAGTGTTTTGAAAGCTATAAAGGTGTTAAAACTTTCAAACAATTAGGTGCATACTAGATGCGGCATTAAACTAGGTAAATAAAAAAATAGTCAAAATTGTCAGGCTGCCTACTCGTTGTTGGTTCTGTTGCTGAGAACATTCGGAATTGTTCGTAAAAGCCTTTAAAGGACATCCATCATTTATTTAGAGATTTCTTTGTGAGTACCGTCAATGACCTAGTCGCAGTCGAATGTGTAGGTTTTGTACAGGAAATCAACTTCTTATTATGGGATGTTAGTGGGGCATTCGATTCCGTTTGCCCGAGCGTATTTATTCGTCCGTCCCATTATTAATGGCCCGAACCCGAAGAGGATTCCGCTCAACTTGTCGAGGAATCGTATATAATTCAAATTTCGAACAAACGCCCGTCCAGCATTGTCTCCTATACAGGATGTTCTCGCGCATTTCGACTGCCCTTTCGCATACTTAATTGATTGGAAGTAATTTCGCTTCCATCGCGAGTTCTTTCTTCGCGTAATTCATGCGAGTTATTTTGCGCCATTATCTCGCTTTTTCCCGGCGTACAGGTGCGCACGTTAACAGTAAATTCTCTATAAATTCATTTATAAGTTGACAGTTAAAAGTAATGCGTTTCGTTACGCAACGTTGCCGTTACCTACCGTCCTTTTTTTCCGCACTTTTCCTGCTAATTACCCACTCAATCAGTGCGTTGAGAATCCAGTTGATCAAATATTTTAACCACATCTTCATCCGAGATATTTTATGTAATATTGAAGTAATAGAGCAAAAAAATGTATTCGTACTGCGAGTAATGGGCAATGAAAAGTTATATTTTAATAATTAAGTGTAACTAATACTTTCTAATAAACGAGTAGGCCTCTTTAGGCGACCGAAGAACAGCCGTCGTAAAGTACAACTAAATAAACACAGTTTAAATTGTATACTTAGCTGGTGAAGTGTATTTTTGAGCGACTTCTTTTGTCTGAATCTAAAGCGACCAGATTTTCTACGAATCGGTTTCGACATCAAAAGAGCGGCTATGATAATAAACTAGATTTTTCCTGCGGTTACTAATTGGTTGAAATGCATAATAAGTTCTCCGGAAATCTTTCATCCTTAGTGAACTAATAATAATTACCGAAAGAAAGTACTTGCTTTAGCACAAAGCTAAAAAAAAATGGGTAACGTGTTAGGTCCGTGGGAATCGCTCTAAAACCACGTAGGATCGACTTTTTTCCGAATTTCATACGACCTAAGTGCCTATATATCGAGAGTTACATAACGGACACACTCATTCAGTACCGGCCTACGTGAACACAGCAAGATATACTAGACACAAGCGGCGATAAATGCCTCGTAATTTCGAGAAAGTCGAAAATTACGATCGATTCTTTAAACTTATCTAATAGTCGGTACTTATGATACGCCTATCAGGTGTAGACTCGCACGACCAATAAAACCGTCAAGGACAATTAATCGAGATTTATGCAAAAAAAACGCACAATTCTCAGTACACCCAAAGATCAGAGTTGAAGTCTCAGCTCGAGATAAACATTTACCAGCGACATGCAATATCTTATATTCATCTGTATTCAGCGCTCTTTTTCTCAAAGTTACAGGCGCATGTTTAACTTGACAGTTGTTCATTGTTGTTATGGAGTAACTAAGGGCATCGTTTGATTTGACAGTTTTACATTGTTGTCATGGAGTAACTAAGGAGATTCTTCCAATTGACAGTTTTACATTGTTGTTATGGAGTAACTAAGGAGATTCTTCCAATTGACAGTTTTACATTGTTGTTACGGAGTAACTAAGGACATTAAAGAGCCTGCTTGAGCAATTGATTAGCATCCTATAAAGAGAGCTACAACAAAATTCGTCTCGATCGCAAATCCCCGATACGCGTTCCCTCTTTTCCCGGCCTTTTAATCCACCAGATCGCGTAGGCGGATGATTAATCCATCGAACGCGATGTGGCAACGCGCGCCGCTCGCCGCGTCGCAATGGCATTATTTTTGCGGTCGCGATTTCGCAGTCGCCGCGGAGGCGTCGCGCTGTCTGCGTCCGCCGAACGGGGCGTCCTCCTTCTGCGACTTCGCCAGCACCGTGCGTGAGCCGCTCGAACGCCGCCGGAGGTTCACCGACCCAGCCCGATATACCGGTCCTCTTTATCTTCGAGGATATTCCGTCTATCGGAGACCGGTCAATTGCGCCCGATCTCGATCGATTTCCAATAGATGCATTGCATTGTACCAATTGATAGGTTTCCATGATGGAGGTTGTAGGTAGGCCTCCAGGTGGCCTCCGTATGAATAGCCATTTGGTTAACTCATGAAGAGAATTTCTTATGTAGATACAGAAAGTTGAGTTTGTAATTAGCGCGTGTAACATTGAGTTGAATGAAAATTGGAATTGCACGGTTGGGTTAATGAATCCGACGTGTTTCTGTTGCATAGCGCTTTGGTATTTTTGGATCTTCGGTTTGGTTATTTCCGCATATATTTTGGTTGACGAACTCGCGGGCGACTATTTTGACACACTTTATGAGAAGCGAAAGTTTCGAGTCGCACGGAAATTTGTAGAATTTCGATGTTTGTTAATAAACGCAGCAATTTAAATTCGAAAAAATATATTCGCAAAGTGCCATGCGATACGTTTTATTCGCGCGATGCGAGACGAAACTCGAGACGGCCGGTTGACATTGTAGATGGCAGGAAAAAAGGCCCGTATGAAATGAAAACGTCGAGTTCTGCATGGACGAAAGAGCGGGAATATCGAGGACGAATCCGATGCGTTCGGTGCCTTCCGGCTCTCGATCCATCGCGCGTCCGAGAGAAATATTTTTCGCAAGGTGTATAGAATGTCGGATTGTTTGCTTGAAATGCAAGTTGTCGGAGAACGATCGTAACTCGATACACGCCTTGTTTTTCGATCCGCGGATTTTATACACTTTTATCACATGTAAAGAAATTTATTTCGAAATATAAAGAGTAAATGTTTGCGTCGAGGGGTGTTTAAGATGCGTACGGTTGTACTTGTAAGGTTAACAAACTAAAACATCCGAATGAAAAAAAAAAATATAAGACCGCAGTGATATCCGTAAAATGCATAAACGTTGTTACTTACAGTAGATATTATAAAGCGATATTTACATCAAGCATTTGCATTTCGATAAAAAACCTGTCGCTTCGTTCGACGCATCATGCATTTAGAGATCCGCGATAATCCCGATGCTCTTACAACTTGTTATCGTTTATTGACGATCCACTTTTTAATTAACTCCCGTTGCAACGTTTTCCCGCAGGTTTGTTCCTTACATTGCTCTAATACAAACGCAAAAATTGCGCTCGATTATACTCCGTTCGTCATCAGAAGATGGTAATGAAACCATATTTAGCAGACAGGCATCCACGAAAGCTTCTTGAAGCATATAGAGTTCATTATGACTCCACCTTTGAGTACCTTCACCCATACAATTTCGTCATTCCTATCTCCGGATAGCGAACGGACTATAATTTACCGGCGAAGCTCCTGCTGGTGTTTCTCCACGCGAACAAAAAAAAAACAACAACAGAATCGTCCGGCGCGTCGATTAAAATCGAACAGGTGGTCGATATTTTTTCGTCGAACGGGACATCGGACGGGAGTCGCGCGCGCCGCCTGCCGGCCGGATCCGGTGCACCTGCTCCGAGGAGGCGACGCTCCGCCGTCCCAGATGGGCCGTCGAGCCGTGCCCGACGTCGCGCGACCGTTGACCGAACGAGAGAATTTATCGAACGCGAAAATAGCCTCGTTGTTTGTTAAATACCTTGATCGACCAATCGAGATTCGATATAAGCGGATGAGTTAATCGAACGGACGTCAATCAACTGCTAATTTTATGCAGATGTTGCCGAATTCAAGCCGTTTTTTTGAACTACTTAGGTACTTCAGGACAAGTTAGAAGTGTTTAGAACGAATTAGGGAGCTTCAAGATGAACTGGAACTGTACTGGACAATATAGAACGCTCGAAGATAAGCCAGAACTGTTCAAAACTATTTAGGAAGCTTTGGAAAGAGGTAGAACTGTACTGGACAATTTAGAACGCTTCAGGACGAGTGGGAACTATCCAGAACTATTTAGAATGGTTCAGGAAGAATTAGAACAATTTAGGAAACTTTGGAGAGAGCTACAACTATACTGGATAATTTAAAACGCTTCAAGACGACTGGGAACTATCCAGAACTATTTAGAATGGTTCAGGAAGAATTAGAACAATTTAGGAAGCTTTGGAAAGAGCTAGAACTATACTGGACAATTTAAAACGCTTCAGGACGACAGTGAACTATCCAGAACTATTTAGAATGGTTCAGGAAGAATTAGAACAATTTAGGAAGCTTTTATTCTACTCTACTCCATTCTACTCTCGAAGTTAATTTCGAAAATCACGGGCTAATAGCTTTCGTACGGTGCCTTTTAAAAAAATGAACGAGACCCTTTTGATTCGGGCTGTATCTCTTCCATCGAAAAGCAGAGGTTTATGTCCGCTATGGTTTTGAATAAAACGCGTAGAGGGGTGTTTTTAGAATCGACAATTAGCTAATAAAGCCCCGGGCAGATGATGATTCATGTGTTGATAGAAAAGCTCCCCGACGTTGAGGAAAAAAGGGCTTTTGATCTGCGCCTTGTCAATGACATCACCCGAGTCGTAGCTCACTAGAGCGCGACGCACGCATTTTAATGTGTATGAGTAAAAAGGGATTTTCCCATATCGAGCCGCTTTGATGGTTGTAGATGCGAGGGAAAACGCAAGATTAGAATTAACATTTTCTCTAAACAGTAGGGATATTGATAAATTAGAATTTATTTCAAAGTGAATATTTAATGCGTTATATTTTTCATATACGGATTCTTTCATGGTACAATAGAAAATGCAATAAACAGTATAGAGATATTGATAAATCGGGTTATTACAATTCACTTCAAAGTGAATTTTTTATTCATATAATGGATTATTTTTTCCATTATGCGGCCGCGGTGCGAATAACCCTCCGCCGATACGGTTTCGCGAACTCGTTCGTACACCGATCGCAAAAGATCATAATCAAACAATTCCCCACAATGGAAAAATTACGGTTAAAAAAATTATGAATGAATGCGTGCGCTGAATGCATAATGACAGTGCGAATTTATCGCAATCTCTCACAAAAAACACAGCCCGTTCTCATGAAATTTATATACACAGAATTAAGGCCGTCGGTTTGTATTAAAAGCGCTCCTTTCCATGCGACAGTGTACGAAAGTGATTTATTAATCCTCTTCAAACGAAAAATCGCTTTAATTAGAGCTTTAACTCGGCCGCCACAATGAATAATTAAGCTCTAAAAAGGCGGGGTACACCTCTCAGCGCGACTGCCGATATTTCAATAACAACCATAGGCACGAATTAAACAGTTTTTAACAATCACTCCAGAATCATTTAGAACTGTCAGAACCATTTAGAACGCTCCAGAATCATTTAGAATTGTCTAAAACCATTTAGAACGCCCCAAAATCATTTAGAACGCTCCAGAATCATTTAGAACGCTCCAGAACCATACAGAACTGTTTGAGAACCATTTTGTACGCTTGAGAATCATTTAAAATGCCTAGAATCATTTAAAACGCTCCAGAATCATATACAGAAATGTTTGAGAACCATTTAGATCGCTCCAGAATCATTTAGAGCTGTCTAAAACCATTTATAACGATCTAGAATCATTTAGAACTGTTTGAGAACCATTTAGAACGCTCCAGAATCATTTAAAACTGCCTAGAATCATTTAAAACGCTCTAGAATCATAGAGAACTGTTTGAGAACCATTTAGATCGCTCCAGAATCATTTAGAGCTGTCTAAAACCATTTATAACGCTCTAGAATCATTTAGAACTGTTTGAGAACCATTTAGAACGCTCCAGGATCATTTAAAACGCTCCAGAATCATACAGAACTGTTTGAGAACCATTTAGAACGCTCCAGAATCATTTAATACTGCCTAGAACCATTTAAAACGCTCCAGAATCATACAGAACTGTTTGAGAACCATTTAGAACGGTCCAGAATCATTTAAAACTGCCTAGAACCATTTAAACTGCAGAGCCGTAATGTAATTCATACTCGGCCGCGACTCGCGTGGTAAACTCGCCGCTCGTGGACGAACAATAACGACGCCGAGGCTGGCGAGGAATAATTTGCTCGAGACTTTATTGGGCATCGAAGAGAGCGAAGTCATAGACCGGGGTTAGGGACCGTGAGAATCCGCTGCGAAGACAAAGTACAAAACGAGTACGCAAAACTCATTGTGGACGGGCCGTTTTGCTTCCAATAAATCCGCTTTACTTCCTATTCTGCGGCGCGGCGGTTTCGCGATTAATATTCTTCGTTATTTCAATTCGATTTTTTAGCATTCGAAAATTATCCGTCCGATAACCGTGAAATGGCGTACGAAATCGAGCAATGTCGAGCTTGTTTTATTTCCTTCGTATTGTTTTCTATTGTGTTTGAGCCGACGCGTGCAATATAGGTCATAATGCACACTTACTTCCTAGCCGAGTGTGGATACAATGCAAATACAATCCAGTCATTATATTTTATGTTTTGATGGGCCAACTCTACGGATAATTAGAGAGCCGGGCTGGAATGTGGGTGTCTCTGAAGATAGCAGAACGCTTTAGTTTCGCGCCGCCCACGCCCCGAAATAGTGCAGGGACGCACTTCAAGAAAAACTTTTTCTATTCATACGAATAAACAGCTTTCTATTATGCTTACTTATACATTCGAGAGATAGTTCATTGATACTAGTAAAAACTAAACGACCATAACCAATAGCTTTTCTCTAATTAATAGAGAATGAACTTTCTTGTATTTAATTAAGACAACTCGATAGTGACGTCATCTCTAGATAATCGCGAATGTACTATACCTAAGATTTTTTTTTCGAAATTAACAACCCGGCTTCTGGGAATTGCAAGTAAAATACGGTAATTCTAATTATTATTATTATACGACCAACACACTTACGGTAGCGTTGAAATTGCACGTTATAAATTACAGTACTGTTAAAAATTATGCTACAATTAAATTTCTCGCAACCGGTGGTCGGCGAGTCGGAGCGCAAAATTGCGAAAATTACAAAATCCAGATAGGTCGATAAATTTATTATCAACAAACATTATCGTAATTTAATTATTTAATAACCGATAATAATTTAATTGCGAAACACAATGCCGCGACTACCGTTAAATGCATCGCAAAATTTCAATCCGCAATTCCATTCCATTGCATCCCCGTAAAAATCATTCGACGCTCGAAACCCGTTAAACGGCGTTAAATATTCCGATTGTCCGTGGGTTTTTTCCTCTTCTCTCGATCGATGGTAACGAATCGCTTCGTTTCGACTGGGAAAAAAAGGGCGCAGCGGCCATTCAAAAAGAATTTCAACGATGTCAATGGTTGGAAATCGATTGTCGATTTAACGTCAGGTCATAGGCGATTGTGTGTTAATGAAATCGGACTTTTTAGTGCTAAGAGGAAATCGTAAAGCTCCATTATGTCGGCCGATTCGGGCGTGCTTTCGATTACACAAAACTATTAATCGATACAAGACACACGCGGAACATTCAACACCAATAATAGAGAGGATTGCGACTTTTTTGTGTATACTCCTCTCCGTAATAGACTGACAATTCTAGGACTACGAACCGATCGAGATTATAAAAGGTTATTTATTTTTTATGCTCGAGCATCGAAAGTAATTTCGTCTATATTTAAAACTTAATTACGAATTCGCCCCGAAACGAAACGTGATTTTCAGTTAATTCTCGTTTCGGAAACTATATAAGAAGACAGGGATCTGATCCCCGTAGCGTCTTCCGATTCGAAGAACCAGTAATTTGTGTAATTCCAGAAATTACACGTTACAGATCGAAGCGCGTCCGCCGTGGGGCCTTACAGTGGATAAACCCGAGAGTAGACGAAGCTCGAAAAATCCTTATCTCATTCAACTACCGTTTATCTATTGCCCGTATCGAACTCGAAACCAGAAATTACATTATTCGAAAAACCTGTATTGATATTGATATTTCCCGATTTATTTTTTTCGCTGGTTCCCTGCCGCGTGTACGTATAAATATAAAAATTAAATATTAGTGTTTGTTTTTAAAATAGAAACGGACTGACAAGCGTAAAAAATTACCCAAATATTTTCGTAACTGTAGATAAACGACCGACGTCTCGTAGAATTAACGGTTTATTTTGAAAATTTTAAACTGTTGTAATTTAGCGCCAGTGCCAATTTTTTCCCGTTCGAAAACTCGAATGGAAAATTTTATTTCATTACTCCAAAAATACATCGCCTCGTATAAAATTTACCAAGCACCGAATCACCATGGTTATTCGTAAACGAAACGTCTTTTAGACAACTAGCAATGGCCGATACAATAATAATAAAATCCAGCGATCTGATACACGTTATACCGTTAGTGCTGCTAGTGTTCCTGCTGCGAGCCCTAATCCTGAAATGGATCCTGCACATCGTCGAGCTCTACCCGAAGGCTAGCTTCCTCAAACCGGACCCCAACAGCAAGCACCCGCACCTGGAGACCGCCTACGCCAAGTCCAAGACCTGGAACCGGCGCCGGCTGGTCGAGCTCGCCGAGCTCACCGGCCTGCCCCAGGACGACGTCGCCGAATGGCTGAAGCGCCGCCGCCGCGACGACGACGACCTGCTCAAGACCTTCGGCGAGAACGTCTGCCAGTACACCTACTACACGCTGATGTTCTCGTTCGGCGTGGCCATCTTGAGCGACAAGCCGTGGCCGTGGGACGCGCGCGAATGCTGGCGCGACCACCGCGACCGGCGCATCGGCAAGGAGTTCTGGTGGTACTACATGATACCGCAGGCGTACTACTACGCCAACCTGGTGATACACGCGACGGAGCCGCGGCGCGGCCGCTTCGCCTTCGTCTGCGTGCACCACGCCGTGTCGGCGGCGCTGCTCACGCTGTCGTGGATCTACGGGTTCGTGCGCGCCGGCTCGGTGGTGATGGTGATCCACGACAGCGCCAGCGTGTTCCTCGAGGCCTCGAAGGTGGCGTTCACGCTGAAGAAGGACATGGCGCACGCGCTCGCCTTCGTCGTCTTCACCGTCGTGTGGATGGTGACCAGGATGGCGTTGTTTCCGTTGTGGGCGCTGAGGAACTTCGTCGACGGGCCGCGGGAGGTGATGTTCCAGGATGCGGGGGGGTACGCGATGGCCGGGCTGTTGGCCGTGTTGTTCGGCCTGCATTGCTTCTCGACCTACATGATTTTTAAGATCTTCTACAACGCCGGGAAGGTGTCGAGGTCGAAGGAGCATTTATGAGAGGCGGACGATCGGCGCGCGGTATCTAGTAAGGACGAAAATGTTGGGAGGATGATTCGAGACAAATCGATTGTTGTGTGAACTTTCAGGTGGAATAAATTTTAGGCAGTATAAATTTGGCGTTTTTTTTTACAAATTTGAATACCCTGTGCACTCTACTATTCTAATCAAAATCATAAATTTGGACAATTTTTCAAAATAGTCCAGACAAAAAGTTCTGTACAATTTAGAACGCTTCAGGAGAATTTAAAACGCTTTAGGACAATTTAGAGCGCTTCAGGGCTATTTAGAACGTTTCAGGGGAGAGTTTCAGGACGTTTAAAGAGCTTCAGGACGAGTCAGAATTACTTGGGAAGCTTCGGCAGGGGCTAGAATTGTCCTAGACAATTTTGAACGTTTCAGGACAATTTAGAAGGCTTTATTAGGACAATTTAGAACGTTTCAGGACAATTTAGAAGACTTCAGGACAACTGTCCAGAACTATTTAGAACGGTTTAGGAAAAATAAAACTGTTTAGAACAAATTAGGAAACTTTAGAAGATTATTTTGTTATACTTTTCGTGCTGCACTAATCCCATGCAGGAATTCCCCACTCTACTCTGCTCTACTCTCTACTCTACAGTTAAGCTCTCGGTTAATGAATATGAATACATTTCTGATGCGTCCAGTTTACCACAGCAGTATTTTTATTTTTATTTTCACTAAAAATTGCGATGGTCGTCGGGGAAATATAACTCACGGCGGCGGAATGTTAAGTGCTCGACCGCTTATCGAAAAATACGCGTAAAATCCATTTTCGATTCCCCGAAGAAAAAAAACTGGTCGCCGTTTTTAATCTCCGAAAAATTTCGACGGGCTCGCATCGTCAAAACGATAAATTACGACCGGAATTTCGCCATCGCGAAATTTCTGTATACGATTCTTCGTTGATTTCCAGGTCCAACGCCGGGACGAGAATCCCCGCCGGCGACGCCGCCCCGCCGGACGGCTGCGACAAGGACAAACCCCAACTGCGCCAGCACCAGGTACAGACAATTAATCGCTCGCCGAGTTCGTTATTGTACGAATAAGTCCGAATTGCCCGCAGGTCCATCCGGTGCTCGACGTCCGCCAAACGGTCACCTGCTACGACAAGCCGGCGGCGCCGCCCGCGCCGCCCACGCCGCCCCCGGCCGGCTCGTGCTACCCCCTGGCGCCGAACATCTGCGTCGAGGCCGGGCGCATCCAGTTCATCCGGCAGGAGGCAGAGGGCGCGCCCGTCCCGCCGCCGCCGCCCGATCCCGCCGCCAGGGTGACCGTCGCCAGGGGCGCCCAGACCGACTGGATCGAAGGCGACGTCGACGGGTTGCAGGATATCCAGGTAGGTGGCGGAATCTGTCCTGTTTCTTATATATTTACAACCCACTGTTTATAAGTTATCAAGAACATTCTCCCTTCCTTTAGATGGGGTTGTAAAAATACTAACTATACTGCTCCACAAAAGTTAAGGAATTCCACAAATATTGAGATTAATTTAAAAGTAGCAGGTTTTTTGATTGCCAAATTTAATACGAGTTGTATTAGAGGTAGGGGCAAAAAATCCACTCAGATATGAAAGAAAACATTTAATTTCGCATCTTTGAAAATTTGGTGATCAAAAAGTCTGTAACTTTTAAAATAATCGCAAAATTTGTGAACTTCCTTAACTTTTGTGGAGCAGTTTATTTTTACCCGTAGTTTTACAGCAATATTTGCTTGAAAAAAGAAGTCGAAAAAAAGATTTTACGCCCTCTCCATTGCTCGATTATTATGCATCAGTTGTAGCAATAATTGAATTATTTATATAAATTAGGGGGTTTTGAATTATAATTGGTTTCCGCGCGAATTAGCCCCGCTTTTATTAGCCTGGCCCCCCCGACGAGGCCGATTCGTCCGGCAAAGACGTTTTAATTACAATGGAGCGGAGTATGAGCGCAATAATCGAATTCGTTTAGGCGTTATTTGCATTTTAAATTGGATCGAAGGCAATTTTCCGGGAGTTCGGGCGCCGCGGGCGCGCGCCCCGCGGAAAAACCGGAACCGTAAAAGCGGATATGCAAGTGATAAAAATCCCTATTTAGCCGATCGGACTTATCCCGGAACGGGAGAAAGCTGTTTTCACTTATCCTGCGGTCATTTTCCTTGAGAAATCGCCCGGATTTCAATCCGGGCCCGCTCGCACTTTATCCACAATCGCAGGACCTGACCCGAGGATTTTTCCTAATTATACCGTTTTCGCTTATTCCTGCGATTTTTTATATATTTATCCAGCAATAAGAGAGTTTGAGAGTGAGCTTTTTTTATTTCATGCACATTTTTTTCTTTCAATATTATGGTTATAAAAAAATAGAATTCCCCAAGCACCCTACTCTACTTTTTACTCTAGTATACTCGAATCGACTGTACTCTATTTTACTCTAGTCTACTCGACTCTACTCTATACTTTATACTCTACTTGAGCACTCTACTTTACTATAGTCTACTCGACTCTATACTATACTCTATACTTTACTCATAAGAACGTAACATTAATAAACACCCAGTATAGAGAAGAATTAGAGTATTAAGTGGAAAATCTCGTGGATTTTTGCCGGTTGGAGTCCGCACCTGGTGGATCCCTCTTCCCGCATTATTCCGAATTCCATAATACTTAGCTTTATCTCCGGTTGCATCCGGCCTGTGCGACGGTCAGCTTTGGCTCTTTCGGGCCTTTATCCCTCGAAATGACCCAACTAGGAGGATTACGCCGCCTCTTCGGGATGATCCTGCGGGAGGCGGCGGTCGAAGAGGTGGCGTCCTCTCCGCGGAACGGTTACTCGGAGCGTTTAATATTATAAGAATGGATATTTTTTTACCTAAAATCGAGCGCAATTTCTCGAACGGAAGTTTATCAGTTTCCACGCCCGAGCGGCTCCGATGAAAAGGGGGAAGTGTATTCTATTGAAAACTCATTTCTCTAATAAATCTTCATCCCGAAAACGTACGATATTCACTGCCGTCTACAATGGGAATATAAGGAGGCTAATCGGGAAAGAATCTTCGAATCTCCCGGATTCCGGATACCGAATTCTCTTATTAAATTTCAGACGACTTTATTCGATGCCAAGTCGAGCGCGAACTTTTATATGAATTTTTCTTTATTAAACGCTCTGTATACGAGGCGATTCGTTTGCAATTAATCCCGCTCGAATTACAATATACGAGGACTAGTTTATATATATTTCACAATATTTATCTGTCATTTATCTGTCATCGTTACTTACATAAACACGATACACTTACTAACGGCAATAGATTCTAATCGGAGGTAGTTATAATTTAAACATTAGGTAATACAATAATTAAAAAAAAATACCGGTTAGCTAATGATCGAACCGCAAGATACAAAAACGAGTCGATTCCTTTCGTTTTCTTCACATCCTAATTACGCTCCGGAGCACCTGAAGGAAGTTCACTTTGAAAAATCGATTTGTCACGCTCGATAATAACGCCTATACAGGGCGTATCTAGCCAGCGCTACATATCATTATCGCGAGACATCCTGTATACAGGATGCGTGGGAACTGGGAACGGTTCGTTTCGGTTCCATATAAATCAATCTCGTCAACATGCACCTGTACAATTCGGCTTTAATATGGTAGTTTCGTCGTCTTTTCGAGTCGTGATCGAGGGCCGAAATTCACCGCGCTCAGTACTTAGCAAACGAGCTATATGCACGGCCATATTTTATGCCGGTCATTAGGGAAAAAGGAAAAGTAAATGGAAAAGTCTACGGCGAATTTTCTACGAACACGACAACCGGGGGAAATGTACACGGCGGAGATTTATACGCGTGCCTTGATGCGATCGTTGTAAATGCCGAAATGTACAGATTTTATTCTTCTTTTTTCGACTCGTTGAAGACAATAGAATTTTAATGAGCGTGTGACGTCATCGCTGGTTTAAATTGAACGTACCGTACGCAGTGATGGAATTAATAGGAGAGTAAATAATAAGCTATTTAGGCGCACCTGATTTACTATCGCGCACCCATTAATTTCTTGCACAAAACGACTTTTTGTTCCGAACTATCGATTTCTATTAACGCTGATTAACTATTGTGAGCGATTTAGCGAATGTCCTGCGGAAAAAAGCGCGTTTTTACACCGATAAAAAAATCCGGTAATTAGATTTACGGCGGATTAACCAGATAGACCGATTAAGATATAATAATCGAATATTATATGTCGATCGTTCGCGCTCCGCCGGTTTTATTAGCGCCTTCGATCGCCCCGCTTTCCCCATCGATTCCGCGAAATTATCCCTCGGAAAGGCTCCGCGTCCGTGGGAAAGTCCTCGCAGGCACGTCGAGAATTTGTACACTATGCATTCATTTTTTCTTCCAAACCAGCTACATAAAATACATGAAATTACGGCGGGGCAGTTGCGCGTGGAATTCAAAACGCGGCCGAAGCTCGCCTCGAAATCGAGAATACCTCGCAATTTGCAAACTCGGAAAAACGGCCTCTTGAATTATTGCGAGACTGCGTCAAATGCACAAGGCGATGCGACATTAATAATACCATCGTCTGCGTTATGAGGTTGTTAAAGTAATTGGAAATTATGAGAGATGTCGAGTGGCGTAAAAATTGAAGCGACATTAAACTTGTATACTTTCGTCGATTGTAGCTTTATTTGGAAGATTGTTGTTGGAATTGCGTGTGTGTTTTTTTCCAGGCTTTCCTGGAAAATCGAATACGCGAGTTGGAGAGCGGGCTGGAAATGGCGCAGCGCAACGAATTGAGGGACAAGCAAACGATCAACAAACTCACCAAGCAGCTGAACAGGGTAAGTCCGTTCGTAAATTTCGCGATAAGTCCGGCGATTTTAAGCGGTTTCGATCCGGTTCGGCCGGCCGCTCGCGCGCCGTTCGATTTTTGACCGGACGGTTTTTGCATATAAATCTCCGCGCGGCGTTTATTAAAACGTTAAAAGCGACGCGACGGGCCGCGAATTAAACCGTAATTTCGGACGGGCATCGAAAAAGCTAAATGCAGCTAGTCAAACACGGCTGAAATCCGCTTTTAACGGCGGACAAAAAAACCGTAAAAAATCGCCCGTGTCGTTTGCTCAAAAATTCACGTGATTTACAGCGCTCGGAGATTTTAATATCTATTTTTATACAAAAAAAACTCGTCGAAAAATAACCGTGCATTAGCCTGTTGATGGGTGAAATTCGCCTCATTTATTATGGAAAATAATTTTACTAGATACGCAAAGTGTAGATAGCAGAGGCGCATCGGAACTCTACATCGAATTTAAATTTAATTTAATTTTGTTATCCTATGCTTTGTAAATAACCACAAAAACAATCAAAATTGACATTAATGACATTTCGTATGACAGAAGTTTAATAGAGGTGAGAATTACTATGTGGGTGTAGAGGTGCAGTAACGACTGTTACAAAATAACCGTTATTTTTCTATTCTACTCTAATCTATCGCGTAGTAGTACACAAAATGTTTAAAAATATTTCTATCCTTTGATCCAGCAAATGATTCCCTACGTATCCATAACATACAGGGGTATTAATAGGTAGTAAAAAATCCTTTTCAATAATGCCAATGCGAATATACCTTTTGTAACGAAATATCACCGCTTTAGCGCGATTCTTTATTAAAAACCGGTGCCTTTTTGTGTCCCCCCGGCGAATAATTCGCATTTAATTCCGCCGAATAACGGACATTCGGACGAAGCGAAAATCCAAAAAAAAAAATACAGATATGCAACGGGCACCTATCCGAAACACTCGCGTCTGGTAGCGAGCGCGAGCATTGTTCGCCCGTTTCGAATTACAACGGGGTGAAATGAAACGTCGAGACGCACACAAAAATTTAATATCTTAATGGGGACGCTTAAACAACGCGCTTCGTTTTCGATTTTTCGCGATTTTTCACGTCCAGCGAGCGGGATTAGATCTTAGCGAAATAGGTCGGATCGATAGCGGCGATGTTCGGGGGCTCACGACCTACGAAATTGATGGTTATAGAGCGATCCCGTTGTCTTTATTTATGATGGACGTTATTGCCTCTACGTGCCCGAATTCCTAGTAGTTCGTCGACTAATTGCGCGTCCTGTAGCCTTTTGCCAGCCCGGAATATCCCCGTCCTCGCCGGCTATTAGGCGTCCCGGAGGAATATGGCAGCGTAATTATCCACCTAGCCTTATATACCGCTATCATACCCGCCAAGATTTTTCCAATTTCCATTATTTACTGGAGGATTTCCGGAAAAATCCTGCGCACAATACACTCATCCGATCTCCTCGAGAATCTTAGTAGATCTTAGTAGATCTTAGTAGTAGTAGTATCTCCCTTTTTGTAAAAACCATCATCAACATAATTTTTTTGATACAAATTTCCTCAAAGAACCCACTTTAGCTCGCTCTCTTATACGCTCCTTCATCAACCTTTCATCAATCTACCGTAATTCCGCGAGCGGAGCTAAATTAAATTTGTCCTTTTAAAGTCGCCACCTCACCTGTGCGTTGTTAAGGCGTCAAATTCGCCCGACGTAGGTTCATCTGCGATAAATTATCGACGTTTCGGGCGCACGTCGTTACGGCGACCGTCGCGACGCCCTCCCGCTAGCGCCGTAAATTCCAACGGGCCCTAAATTAAAACAACGCGAAGGGCCACCGAACAACTCCTTTTCTCCTACCAATTAACCGGGTATTTCGGGTAACAACTAACCAAAATTGGCGTTAAAAAATTTAATAAAGGAATTTCTATATGAGTGCGTGGGTTGGTAAATTACAGTGCATTTGGATGTACGCTGAGGAATTGCAGTGCACTTTATTTTTTTTCAATGTCGTAGGAACGTCTGCTGCGAGTCTCGCGGTGTTTTATGCGCGAATTCGCCCTTCGGGGGGACTCCCCCGGTCGTTTTCCGCGAAACCGGTGCATGCCGGAACGTTCTCGTGTATAATACAGCGCGCTAGATGGCTTTCACTTTCGGTTTTTTGCAGTCGGGTTATTCAAATCGGGCGTAACACGAATGAGTGTAATTTTATTCGCCTTCGCCACCTGACTAATATAGTGCGGGCGATTAGATTCGAATTGTTATCGGAGGACGTCAGGGGTTTGTCCCTCCCCCGGCGTGGAACGCTCTAATAAATCTTTTAAATAGCCCGAAAAAAGGCGCCCGGCGCGTCGCAAATTCGCCATATTTTCCCATAAAACTTTCCACGGAAATCAATAACGTTAGATTTGATTCAGTGCCCTACTTTCCAATAAATTCTCCGATCTCCCCGAATCTCGGCGAATAGTAAATAAAATACATCGCCTACTGATTTTCCTTTTAGGCCGGTACAATCGATCTACTCCAACGCGCAAAGTAGTCGAATAATTTTTCCAAAAAAAAGCTCGAAATTCCTGCCGTATCGCATTCTACTCCCGTCACGTTCCCGCTATCATATATTTAATCATCGGCTCGATCGGGGGCCCGAGCCCGCTCTCTTATCGATAACAAATTCGCTGAAATTCGGCGGGAAGGCGGCGTCGGCGTCGGCGTCGGGACGTGAACTTTGGCGCCGCCGTTCGCTGACACCGAACCGTCGCGACGCTCCCCCAAGAAGCGCACAAGATTCCTCCGTTACTACTCATTCATTCACTCGATTCACCTCAAGAGTATAAAGCATATTAATAAAATAAATGCGTTATAATTGTACCTCATCCAATGTAGCTTGCCAATTGAACTGCCAAGTTACATCGAACGAGGTAGGTATAGATAAAATAATGGTGAATACATTACAGTGTTTTGAATTGCGTTTATAAATAAACTTCGAGTGGGCCCGCTATTTCGGCGGGTGCTTGCCTCGTTGGGAATATATTCAGGCGGGTTTTATCGGAGCGTAAATGACGGATTAAAAGTTTCATTGCCTTCGATTCGTCCGGGGATCAAACGGGCGATTTCGGGGCCGTAAATTACGTCGAACGCCTTCCATAAATCATGGGATCTCGGTGCGTCGTTGTCGAGGATCTTCCGGTGGCTGGAAAGGATTTTTGTTAAAGTTTCGATGCCGAATTTTTGGCTCGAATAAATGTTAATTGATTTATCGAAGTGCGGAGTAGATGATCAACTCCCGATCCTTTATAAAGTAACGCGCGCCGCGAGTGTATCGAGGATAGATTTACGACCGCGCCAATTGGGATGTTTTTTTTTATATATACAAAGTTAAGTTTCTGGAAGCTCTTGGGTCGTAGGGCGCTTCGCGATTTCGCCTCTTTCGCCTTGTGGTATTTTAAATTAGCGCAGCGCCATTCCGAACAATTAAGCCGGGATATATACCGCTCCTTAACTGCTCCTTACTAATTGCGCACTTCATTATTCAAAAGATTTGCGAGCGCTCTCTACCAGACGAGATTACGTTTTTTGTGTTATTTTTCGAAGAGCGGGCGCTCGAAGCCGTTTAAATATGGGGAATTTCGGTAGCGCGGCGTTGCCGAAATTCTTCAAAAATCTGAAAAATTAATCATTATTTCATCCGACGTTTCGGTTCGCCGGAGCCCAATCAACGGGAATGTTATACAACAATACGATCGAGTTTCGGATCGGCCGCTAATTGAAAATCAAAACAACGGGCGCCGCGTAATGGAAAATAATTTGATATGTGATATTCGAATTTTTCCCTCGCGTACGCGGACATCAAAAAATCCCGCCGATAAATCGCCGCGTGCAATCGAATCACCGCGAGAGCATTAATATCTAATGCACATTTTAATGCAATAGCGCAATCGAGAATCCCTTTTTGTCGGCATCAATACGACGGACCTGTTCGCTGTTATTCGCCCGTACGTTAAATTATCCTGCGGATTCCGCCGGATCGTTGGAAAATCTGGAATTTAAGCGGTCTCTATCCCACCGTGAGGCTTATCTCTCTATAGCAGTGTTTATAATTTGATTTTACGACTGTTTTAATTAGAACGTTGCGGATGTTTCGGAGCGCAAAGGAAACAATTTCGAGAATTTATCGATAATAAAAAAAAGTAAATACCAACCCCCGAGTGGTGGAACGTCGTCCTATACGCACACGCTATTCGAAATTAATCTGCACAAAGAAAGTTTCCCTCATTACGTACCCCTAATTACGTATATATAAGACTTCTTCGGTATAAAATGCATCGGTGAATGGAGAATTTCGAACTACCAAAAGAGAATCCCTTCAAGTTTCGTCTCTTATTACATTCAACTGCGAGCAATTTTACCAATTATATCACCGGGTTTCGTTTCGATGTCTTGTTTCGATAAAATTAACTTTCCGCCGGGATTACAATACGCTGTATATCCTACCAGACTGCGCCAATTCGGTTTTTACATTCGCGCCGTTATTTATTCCAACATTTGTACGTTAATTTCGGCGCGTTTAAATGATCGAAGCGCCCATAAAGGCCCATAAGCGATTATGGTGCATTCGTATGCAGCCGGCAATTATCCCTCCCGGTCGATTAAAAACGTCTATAATTCCGGCGGATCGTTTATTCAACGATTAAATTTCGCCTTGTGACCGGGCAATTAAACGGGCATTTGCCGGTGCAAAAAATCCGCCGCTGCTAATCGCTGATCGATTTCGAGTTTTGTTTTCTCCGTGCGTTTCTTCTTCATCGGGAATTGTACAGAAATATTGGTCGTTGATTACACTGATGGCGTGTGGAGGTGTCACATATTTTCCGGGGATTTTCCGATGAAAATAGAAAGTTCTCGTAGGGCTGGATTAATTGGAAAAGGAGCAGATGTGCGCAACAGACGGGAAATGAGTTTTATATTTTTTTTAATAGGCCATCTTGGTAG